GCCCGGATGTGTGTGTGTGTGTGTGTGTGTGTGTGTGTGTGTGTGTGTGTGTGTGTGTGTGTGTGTTGGGGGGGGGGGGGGGGGGTGCTGCACAGGATTGCTCACCACAGGGGGGAGGGGTTGATGTGGTGGGGGAGTGTGGGGGGCTGGATGTATGGGGGAGACAGACGGCTGTGAGCTGAACCAGAAATTGTTCAGCTCGTTGGCTCTCTCCAGGCTGCCTGATGGTTGCCTTTGTCTCCCTTTACATCCTGTGATGTGCTTCATCCCAGTCCACACATCCCTCACGTTGTTTTGCTGGAGTTTGGCCTCCAGCTTCCTCCTGTAGGTGTCTTTACACCGTCTCAGTTTCTCCCTGAATTCATGCTGCACTTTCCTTAGCTCCTCTCTGTCACCAGACTTGAAAGCCCTCTTCTTCTTATTAAGGGGGACTTTCAGGTCCCCAAAGACCTCACGTTCCCCGTGATAATCACTGGTACAGCTGGGTGAAATCACCAGTAAACAGTTATAAATGTTGAAAATACACCTTATTAAGCAGTAGTAAAGCATAACTAGAACTCTTAATTCATCATGAAATTATAATTTGTAAAGCAGTATTCATACATTACTAACTATTAGTAAACAAGTTATAAATGTTTGAACTATATACTATTGATGATTACTTAAGCGTCAGTAAATTCTTAATTCATCCTGAATTCATAATTTGTATAGCATTGATGATACATTACTAAGCATCGGTAAAGACAGTTATGAACGTTTTATTGTACCTCAATAACCTAATCCTTAAGTGATTAATACTTGTATGCTCATACTTTGTAAACAATAGATTTCCCATTTATAAATAAAGTGCCACATCAATTACAAACGAGCTAGTTATGAGTCGTAATGGTCCTTAATATCATTTGGAACGTCCAAGGATAGACCATATACAACCCATTTATATGTACATTTATACGCACATTTGTTCATGGTTAGCAGGTGTGCTTATACATGTTTTATAAACACTTATTCATACTCAATTAATGATTTATTAAGGTCGTTACTACTCATTAGTTAAGTATTTTTCGTGAGCCCATCTAAAGTGAGGACTATCTATGTCTTGTAAAGCATCAAGAGAAGCCATGAGAGGATGCTGGCGTGTATGTTGCCGCTTCTCATGTCCAGCTATTTTACTATTTACAATCCACCTGATACATTTCGCGAGTCTAATTCTGCCATTTTCGCATGCTTTTATAGTACAACTTTAATTGCACTGCGCGACCAGGAGTGATCAAACACTACCAACGTTACCTGGATGAATTCAGCTGGCTACTACGGAACAAACTGGAACCTTACTGTTGGACAGGCTACCCTGGCACCACCGGCGGCAGATCCTAGTCTCTCTGACCAACATCTCTGCAGCTTTCTGGGTCATACATCGACAATGTCGTCTCTGTATCCAGGTGGGACCTCCACTCGAAATCGCCCGGCAGTGCAACCTGTGGCTTAGCGCCTAGCCCAGCTAGGTGCACCCTCGGCATGGCTCTTTTCAGATACTCCGCAACAGAACTGATGAATCTCTGCTCCTCCACCGAGCTGCCTGGATGTCTTAAAGTCTCTCCACATCTTGCATCGTCCCAGATATGTCCACAGAGCCTCCCGATATAAGTTTGTGCATATGAATACAACTCCGACTGTCCCCACAGTGCGATGCCATACTTCCTTGTTGTGATGTCATCAAAACAAACGTCACACAGAGCTTGGCAACCTGCGTCCTCTGGCTTGTGCTGTCATACCTGGCCCCTCTGATGCGTCCACCAAAAAGACTACAAACTTTATGCTTCTGAATACTCACTCATTAAACAACAAGGCAGAATTAATCCATGACATAATCACTGAAAGAAAACTCCATTTCATGTGTCTGACCGAGACATGGCAAAATCAGCAGGATTTTTTTATCTCTCAATCTGGCCACTCCCCCAGGCTATGTATACATCCAAAAGCCTCGCTCCATGGGCCGTGGTGGTGGGCTGGCTGTCATACACAATTCAGACATCATGATCAAAGATCTTCCCATTAACTCCAGCACTTTCGAATGCATGCATTTTGTGTTGATAGGGGCCGCACAGCTACAAGTTGTGCTTGTCTACCGCCCTCCCAAAGCCACCAGTGGGTTTCTTTCCGAGTTCTCTGAGTTACTAACCACTGTCTGCCCCATGTCCCATCCACTATTATTTTGGGCAATTTTAATATTCATGTGGACTCACATTGCTGCCCTTTCCCAACTGAGTTATTATCTCTCCTTGAGTGTTTAAACATAACACAGCATGTACATGGTCCCACACATGTCAAAGGCCACACTTTGGACTTAGTGTGCTCCACTGGCATAACTCCCCTCAATCTCCAGTGCCTGGACCTAGTTGTCTCGGATCACCGTGCCATTCTCTTCTCTGTACTTGAGCCTCCACCCAGACTGTGCGTGAATCAAACAATCACAGTCAGGAACATCAAGCGCGTATCCACACTTGCACTGTTGAGCATGCTGGCACTACATCTTGCCTCCCACCCCTCCAGCTACACTGTGGATGCCCTCACTGAGCACTACAACAAAGCTCTCTCTCTCAGTCTGGATGCTGTGGCCCCCCTGAAGACTCAGTCCATCACTTTCAGCCAGCCTGCACCTTGGTTTACTCCTGAGCTCCGCCTCCTGAAGGCAACTGGGCGTCGGTTTGAAAGACTGTACAAAAAATCTGGACTAGTTGTACATCAAGAGGCCTACAAAAACTCTGTACTACTCCACTCTCGTCAGTTAACACCAGAATCACCCAAAGCAGCTCTTCTCCACTGTAAACCGTCTCCACCGCCCTCCAGATCCACCCCAACCATCGGACGCCGCAGAACTCTGCTTTAAGTTCAAAACTTTCTTTCAGCAGAAAGTGGACGATATTCACCTGCAGCTCTGTCAGACTGGCGCCTCATGTCCACCTGCCTTTCACCTAAAGGCCCTACCATGACCGACATCATTAACACCTCCCTTACATCTGGTGTGGTGCCCTCCAGTTTTAAGACGGCTGTGGTCATTCCCACCCTTAAAAAATCCAGCCTGGACCCTGATGACCCTGGAAATTACCGCCCAACCTCCAATCTACCCTTCCTCAGTAAGATTCTGGAAAGAGCAGTGGCTGCCCAACTACAACACCACATGTCCCACCATGAACCCCTCCAATCTGGCTTTCGACCCCACCACAGCACGGAAACAGCTCTCATTAAGATCATGAACGACCTCCTCATAGCTGCAGACAATGGCCTCATCAGTCTCCTCATCCTCCTGGACCTATCTGCAGCTTTTGACACAGTCTCCCATACCATCCTGCTTCACCGTCTCCATGAACACTTAGGCCTCTCTGACTCCGCTCTCTCCTGGTTTCACTCCTACCTCTCCAGTAGGACACAATACATCACTATCAAGGACTCCAACTTGACTCCAGCTCCAGTCAACCACGGCGTGCCCCAAGGCGCAGTGCTTGGCCCCCTGCTGTTCACCATCTATATGCTCCCTCTTGGCCAGATCATCCATCAACATGGACTTAGTTTCCATTGCTATGCTGATGACACCCAGCTCTACATCAGCACCAAACCTTCTGCCCATCTCCCTCCCCTATCACTAGTTCACTGCCTACTCGAAATAAAGACATAGATGGCCACCAACCTACTCAAACTGAACAACAATAAAACAGAGCTCATGGTGGTGGCCCCTCCATCTCTGTCCAAGGAAGTTGGTGATGTCCTTCTGAATGTGGATGGCTGTACCATCAGGCCTTCCCAAGAAGTGCGCAACTTGGGTGTTATCCTGGACTAAAACCTCTCACCCCAAGCCCACATCAGTAACACCACCAAATCCATCTTCTTCCACCTCAAAAACATCTACAGACTCCGGCCCTCACTGTCAGACGCTGTTGCAGAGACTCTGATCCATGCTATCATCTTCTCCCGTCTGGACTACTGTAACGGTGTCCTTTATGGTCTTCCCACCAAAGCACTGGACAGACTACAACGTGTCCAAAACTCGGCTGCCAGGGTCCTCACTCGTGCAAAGCAGTGGCAACACATTACCCCCACATTCAAGCAGCTTCAGTGACTCCCAGTGAAGTCACGCATCACCTACAAAATCTACATCTACTCCTCACATACAAATCCCTCCATGCTCTTGCCCCAGTACCTCTCCGATCTCATCCAGCATTACTCCCGATCAAGGTCCTTGAGGTCCTCTGGCAAGGACCAGCTTGTCATTCCCCGCACCAGGCTACGGACCTTTGGCGACAGAGCCTTCTGTGTTGCTGCCCCCACCCTTTGGAACAGTCTACCTCTTCATCTCCGCCAAGCCCCCACACTGGCTACATTCAAAAAGCATCTGAAATCACATTTATTCACTGAGGCCTATGACCCTTAACCACCCCGCCCCCCACCCACACTTCTACCCCCTCGCCTCCTCTCTCCTCTATCCCCTAGCCCCATCTTCTTTTGTAAAGCGACCTTGGGTTACTTGAAAGGCACTATATAAAACTAAGTTATTATTACTATTATTTTGCAGCTATAGTAATAATATACTATTATTACTATAATAATAATAATTATTATTATTACTATAATAATAATAATTATTATTATTATTATTTATAAATGAGATAGAAGCAGTAATGTAGAAAATACCATTTATTTGAACAAGGGCTGCCACAGAACATTGCAGTTTAATAAAATAATACTTCTTACGCGGCATGAAAAAAAAACCTAAACACTCTGCAATCATATAAATGTTAATCCAAACAAATAAATAAACATTTATATACAGTACTTCTTAGGAATCTTATAATATGACTTGTAAACATGGTTGTATAAAAGTGAAACTGTGCCAAATAAAAATGTGTCAGTGTCAAAGGTTTTTTACATTAAATTTCAAAATTAGGGATATTTCAAAATCTGAATTTGAAAAAAAAAAAAAAAGAAAAAAGTACATGGCGACCCAAACACCAAACCTACCTGTACTCTTTAGAAATGTCATAAATTAGTCTACCAAATGCACCATCACGGTGTTTCTTGGCAAGCCATTCATTCCATTCCATTAGTGCAAGGTGGTCAGAGAGTAAAGTGTCAGTACGATTTCCTCAGAGCCTCCAGATCTGCTCCTTGTAGGACCTCCAGGGGCCTGTTCTACGAAGCAAGTTCAACCTAGCGAGGTAGCCTTGGAGCTACCTCGCTCAACTTAGCATGGTAGCCAGCGGTCTCGCTAAACGGTCTTACGACGCTGGTTAACAACCTCGTAAGTTGATCCAGCTTTGCCATGAGCGCGTGCACGCATGTAAGGCGGAGCCTGCCACATCTGACCAATCGTGAACATGGACCAGTCTGGAGTGTCAGAGCCGGCAGGAGAGCGAAGGACTGCGGACATAACAAACGAGGAGCAGGAGACAGAGGATCATGAGAAAGTATGAAGAGTTAAAATCTATCATAAACCCCAAAAGCAACACCGTCGCCGCTGCAAAAGCACGGAGTGAATGCTGGCAGAAAATTAATCTTTGATGCCATTATCACCCTGAAATAGCACTGTTCAACTTGCACTTTTAACTAAGGTGACCAGACGTCCCCGATTTCCGGGGACAGTCCCCGAATTGGATGATCTGTCCCCGGCTAAAGCTGTCCCTGAAAATGTCCCCGATTTAAGCGTTTCATGAATGAGAACAAAAATGTTGCATGTGGGCTAGAACAACGGTTATTACAGTAGGTAGGAAGCACAAGTAAGCAGTCCTGAACAACAGTATTGTATTTACAGGGGTTATTACAAGGGGCGTGCGCTGCTACTAAATGGTACCGAGATGTTGTCTGTGATCACACAGCCCATGCCCATTTATTTCCAAGATGAATTCATTTATTTGTTCATTCCTATCGTGTTTACATTTTTTGTGTGATATGTGGGCCATATGAGCCTTTCATAAAGGTGGTCATCCGGAGAAGTAAGTGGGTCCGTGCAGTCCCTGAAAACTCTCGCGAGCCGGAGTGCTCCTCGGACAATGTGAGCACCGAGGTCTATAGGATCCTCCAAGAACAGACAAGCCGTTTTTCGAGAGAGCTCATTGGTCAGTGGGCGGGGTTTTTATACTCTGTGAGTTCAATCTGGAACTTAACCTGCCCCGGAGCAGGTTAGCCGTTCAGCGTATGTTGCCATGGAGACTCGCCTCGCTAAGAAGTGAACCTGCGTCGTAGAACAGGAAACCCGAACTTATCCTCAAAGTTACCTCGCTAAGCAGTAATCCTGCTTCGTAGAACAGGCCCCAGGCCTTCTCTTTGTGCTGGGTATGGGCACACGGGACAGACACGGGATCTACATACCACCTGCTGTGGTTCACGGTGTGGTGAACATACCCAAAGACTGGCAGTATGCGGTTAGCACGCCATTCATCACTGATGATGCTCATTCCTGGCTTCACATGATGGACTTTTATGGGCACCAGGTGGTTCCGGGACCTTCGCTCCACCAGTTGAATAATTGGCCATGTTGAATCTCTCTTCACCCCCAGCATCCCAAAGACCCACTTCCTGCGCTTCCATGCACCAGCCATTCTTCCTCTCCCATACCAATGCAGAAACAAAACAACAAACACATTATGTGAAGTAAACAGATACAGTATGAACAAATACATTGGCTGACAGTATTTTACAATTGTAAATATTACAATAACACACCTTTCTTTTGTGACGAAAATGGCTTTTATCAATGGCCACGAACTCCCTTCTCCCACTAATCTGCTGGCCCGTACGCCTTCTCATCCTCTCCATTGCCGAGACACATACATCTCAGATTTTTTTTGTCATTTTAGTGAGAGTTGTAGAGCTCCCAGCAATGGTGTCCTCCATCAGGTCAATCTGACGCAGGCGTAGACCCTGAGAAAATCTTCAAAGACATAAAATAAACATGTAAAGAAATGTTAATTGAATTTCCTTACATGTATTGTTGGACTGTATTTATACCTGTGAGCCACAGTTCTATGGCCCCATATGTAATTATGCAGATGCAAGTGAATATAGAGTATAGCAGTGGGTGTGTTTTACTGGTGCAGGGGAAAAATCAGCCCATTCATTTTCCCCATACACTTATTCCCCATACACTTATTTTAAGCCTACAAACATGCCATCCAGGATGCTGGTGAGTCATGATCATGAAACCTTTGATCCTTTGTGTAGCGATTATTATTATCAAAGGTTGTATGGTGACGATTCACAGTTCTAGGCTTAAAATAATTGTTATAAATATTTTTATAAAAGTCTAATGGGAAAATGAATAGGCTGATTTTTCCCTGAACCAGTAAAACAAACCCACTTCTATGATCTATAGTGGGTAAGTGACACACAGTGCCGAACTAGATTGTGTTTGAATACAAAGAAAGACGTGTGCTTTTTACTGAGAATACAAAGAAAGATAAATACAAGCTTCATCATCTGACATCACTGGTCCACCACAACTCAAATTAATTCTCAATAACTGTCAAACTAAATGAATGCATGCAAAGCCAGCTTTCTTTTTTCCCAATCTGTGCTGTGTAACCTTATGTCTGAATTTGTATGTTTTAACAGCTCTTAAAAAAGATGACAAGGCATCAACCTCCACCCTAGTCACAACATCCACCTCTGCCCAGGCAAGCCAAGTGTCTTCACTCTCCTCCGACTGTTCAATGGAATCCTCCTCTGAGAGTAACTCTGACTCCTCCATCAACATGTCCTCATCAGAGGATAAGAAGAATAAGAAGAAGAAGAAGAAGAAGAAGAACTTTATGGATCCCCGAGGGGAAATTCAATTGCCTGTTGTCTCGTGTAATATGTCTATAATTATTTACAAGAGTTATAAAGCCTAGTGGCTGTTGGTACAAAAGATCTTATAAATCTTTCTGTCCTGCAGCGAAGAGAGAGGAGCCGTCCACCACCATTTGCCCTTTGGTCAATCAAGGTGTTGTGAAGTGGGTGATCCATGTTCTTGAGAATAGTCTCCACCTTCCTCAGTGTAGATCTCTCCACCACATCCTCCACTGAGTCCAGCTTGAGTCCTACCACTGAGCCAGCCTTTTTCACCAGTTTGTTAAGACGTTTTGCATCTTTGTGTTTGATGCTTCCCCCCCAGCAGACTGCAGCGTAGAACAGCACACTTGGTGAGCTCTCATCTGGATCCTCTGCAGTTTGCGTACCAGCCGAACATCGGGGTGGACGACGCAGTCATCTACCTGCTGCAGAGGTCCATGGCCCACTTGGAGAACACCGGCAGCACTGTGAGGGTCATGTTTTTTGACTTCTCCAGTGCTTTCAACACCATCCAGCCTTCACTGCTCAGGGGGAAGCTCGAGAGGGTGGGAGTGGACTGTCACCTAGCTGCATGGACCGTGGACTACCTCACCGACAGACCACAGTTTGTGAGGCTTCAGAACTGTGTGTCGGACATGGTGGTCTGCAGCACGGGGGCTCCACAGGGGACAGTGCTCTCCCCCTTCCTCTTCACCCTGTACACCTCGGACTTCAGCTACAACTCTGGGAGCTGTCACATCAAGAAGTTCTCAGATGACACAGCCATCGTCGGATGTGTATCGTCAGGGGGTGAGCGGGAATACAGGACTGTCATCACTGACTTTGTCAATTGGTGTGGCACAAACCACCTCCAGCTCAATGCCAGTAAGACAAAGGAGATGGTCGTGGATTTCCGCAGGAGGAGGACATCTCAGACTGTTCCAGTGAACATCCAGGGTCTGGACATTGAGATGGTGGAGTCCTACAGATTCCTGGGTGTCCACCTCAACAATAAACTGGACTGGTCAACCAACACAGACGTCCTGTACAAGAAGGGCCAAAGTCGTCTCCCCCAGCTGAGAAGACTGAGGTCCTTTGGAGTGTGCAGGACTCTGCTCAGGACTTTCTATGACTCTGTGGTAGCATCTGCACTTTTCTATGCAGTGGTCTGCTGGGGGGCAGGGAGCACCAAGAGGGACAGGAAGAGACTGAATAGACTGATGAGGAGGGCCAGTTCTGTCCTGGACTGTTCTTTGGACTCCCTGGAGGAGGTGGGTGAGAGGAGGATGTTAACAAAGCTTGTATCCAGCTACATGCTGCTCCGGAGGGGGATTTTGTCCCCCGCCGGCGGAGTTGTCGGGGAAGAAACAAGCAACTAAAATACGGGAGGATCCGGTAAACCAGCGCGGATCCGGTGTGTTTATCAAAGCGTGATGGCCGTGCTGAGGCACCGGGGGGATTTTAGGCTAAACAGTAAGTCAAAATAAAACGTTCATACTTACAGATGCCACGTTTGTAGTAGGATCACGGATAGTTGGTACGGATTCATTCTTTATCTTCAGACATCTAGCAAATCCAGCGTTGAACTGTCCCTTGTTAATAAAACAGTCCGAAGTAAAATGGTGCGCACATACATACAGATATTTTGGAAGTGCCGCGGGTATGTTCCCATTGTAAATAAAATCCACCCATTGAGTCCTCAAATCCTCCGACGAGGGAGTTTTCAAAAGAGTTAGGTACTCGTTTGTGCAGCCAACAATAGAGCAAACGCTGCCTCTTTTTTCAGATCGTACTCTCGCCATGGTTCTAACCAGAGCAATGCGGGCGAGCCGCCGGGAATAATGGTGCTGTTTAGATAATCTTTTGGGCAGGGCAGTGGGCGGCTCCATAGGCAGTACCATCAACCCGCCAGCACTGACATGACATCATGTCAGTGGAGTTTTCAGAACGGCTGGCTCTGCGCACACAGTTCCTAAATATGGAGATAACTAAATAATGACTGGATGGAATTTTTTCGAACTTGGGGGGATTGTAGCGGTTTTCTATCCCTGATATGCACCCCCCTCCCGTTAACAAAGTCAGTTTTTCATGCCATGGCTACTTTAAGTAATCATCAATAGTATATAGTGCAAACATTTATAACTTGTTTAATAGTTAGTAATGTATGAATACTGCTTTACAAATGATAATTTCATGATGAATTAAGAATTCTTGTTATGCCGTACTACTGCTTAATAAGGTGTATTTTCAACATTCATAACTGTGTTTACCAATGATTATTAACATATGAATAATGCTTTACAAATGATGAGTTCATGATGAATAAAACATTTACTAATGCTTAACTAATGCTATATATTGTATAGTTATTATAAAGTGCTACCAACATGGGTAGTAAGATGCTGCAGATGTTTTATTAGTCTGTGGTGGCAGTTGTCCTGTTCTATGCTGCAGTCTGCTGGGGAGAAAGCATCAAACACAAAGATGCAAGACGTCTTAACAAACTGGTGAAAAAGGCTGGCTCTGTGGTTGGATTCAAGCTGGACTCAGTAGAGGATGAAGTGGAGAGATCTACACTGAGGAAGGTGGAGACTATTCTAAAGAACATGGATCACCCACTTCACAACACCTTGATGGACCAAAGGGCAAATGGTGGTGGATGGCTCCTCTCTCTTCGCTGCAGGACAGAAAGATTTAGAAGATCTTTTGTACCAACAGCCACCAGACTGTATAACTCTCGTGTAAATAGTAGATAATTTTTAGAGATACATTATGTGAGACAACAGGCAATTGAATTTATGTTTTATTTATGTTATGTTTATGCAGCCGTAAGTATCCGTGAATGACATTGGCCTTTAGTTTGTGATATGAATCCATATGCCATAAGAAGGCGTTGGTGTCTCTGCAGGTGTAGGTTACCGTCGGTGTCAGAGACGTGGTGCTCGTCGGAGCTCGACCCCCTCTGGATCACAAATGTTGATCATCAGTTTGATTGTTTCTTCAGAAACCACAAAAACTCTCTGAATGACCCGCTGATACATCCACTGATAACCCTGCAGATGACCAGCTTCAGCCATTTCCCTCTCCACAAAAGCAGCTTTATGACTTGATTTACTTTTTGACTTTATTCTCCTAAATTTACAACTTTAATCTCTAAATCTTAAAAGAAAAAAGAAAAAACTCAATGTTGTCCTGATACTCTGCTGTAGTTGTGTCAGCTTTCTTATTTCTAATGTTTTTGATTGTTGTAGCAGAGCGGATCATTTCGTCTTTAAATACTATAATGTTTGGTTAACAGATTTTAGTGAGTTCAGAGATCATGTGCGAATGCAGCCTGAGCTGACTGTCTGCTGTTTTGGGATTTCTTTTATTTTCTTTGAAGATGCGCTGTGTCTCCAAGCGAGTCCAACCTCTCACCCAAAATGTGCAGCTGTACAGCGGCATGCAAAGAATTCTGGGATACCAACGGAACAAAAGCGTGCATAAATGCACGCTTGAAAAAGGGGTGGGGGCAGTGTGGTTTTGAGACCAAATTTGAAGCACGCTCAGCATTTCGTGCCAAATGGATGGGACACCGTTCGTGCTGCGTGATGACCTCACGCATGCTTCAAATGCGCCATTTGACGGTGCAGTCTCTGAAATGAGACACAGGCAGGGTACTTAAGTCCGCATAACGGCAGATAAATGCAGTGTGCTCAGCTAAGCGCAATTAAGCGACTTTGACAGTGTTTATCGGGATAAGCGCACTTATCCCGATGCGGTCTCTGAAATGAGACACAGCCAGTGTTTTGGTTTCGAACTATTTCCTTTCTGCGGCGTAGTGATACTTGCACACGCACAATTGAACATGCAGAGGGGTGAAGCGATTTTTGTCACGTGGACCAATAGGAGCTGAGTCTCATTGCCATAGTATCAGAAAAACACATACATGGTGACGAGCGCATCTAGCAGCGAGACAAGCGAAGAGGAAGAAAAGAAAAGAAAAACAAGAAAACAGCCTTCAAAAGTGCATAAAAAAGGAACGAAACAATGCTATATGCATCTATCATCTGTCCACAGTGAAGACGTTTTCGACTTTACAAGGACATATTGGGAAACTTACAGAACTAGTATTAGAAAGTGGCTTTCTCTACAGGGTGAGACAAAGGACCTTGCAGAAACTTATAAACATTGCGTTGATATCGACTTTGACAGTGTTTTGATCTTTATTTTCATATTCTGGAGGGATTGATAAATGTCAGATGTTTTGACACTGTGATACTTGAATAAATGTTTTATACCATATTTTGAATTAATTCAGACCTTTTGTGCATTTATTTTTTTCTTGTTACATTTTTTCCATTATTCCAATTTTGGGGGGCATGGTAGCAATTTGACTTTCAGCCATTTATGGCCATGATGTGCTGTTTATATTTTGTTGCTTTTATGACACAGTAGGTTGTGTCATTTTTATGTATGAAACATAAGCTTTTGGCTAAATTTACTGTATATATTTCATTATGCTGGGTGCAAGTCACTTGAGTTGAGACGTTTTCTTCAAGAAATTTGCTACATTTCATAATCTGAATTCCCTTATGCGTATACTAAGGCACCAATAACTGTTTCAGGTGTTAGATAGATGTATGACATTTGAGAAAGATTTTGTCTTGCCAGAATCAACATAGCAGTTTCTACAAGCAAAAACAGCAGCACCATATAAATGTTTTTTGAGTTACTCACATATATGTACATTTCTGGCTGGTGACAAAAGTCGGACAGATAGTCTGAGTAGATATTTTAACCCAGAGTCCAGAATGGTATTGTCTATGCAAAAATGCATTGAACAAGTAGCACCAGTTTAGTTGAACGAAATTCATTTTCGAGACACTTTTTCCTTTGTCCCAATACAGCCTATGACCTCGAGCGAAGTTTCTTTCACAGAGATTCAGATGCCGTGGATGTGGATGCATCGGCGATGCTGGCTGAAGGATTTGACTGACCCGCGGCTGCATCACGTCCTTGTTTCTCAAACGCCTTTTGCAAATAAATCGCTGTTAGCATGTCATGTGAAACCCAGCGTCAGCAGGAACATTGTCAAAGTCAATATAAACGGAATATTTATAAGTTTCTGCAAGGTCCTTTGTCTCACCCTGTAGAGAAAGCCACTTTCTAATACTAGTTCTGTAAGTTTCCCAACGTGTCCTTGTAAAGTCGAGAACGTCTTCACTCTGGACAGATGATAGATTCATATAGCATCGTTTCGTTCCTTTTTTTATGCACTTTTGAAGGCTGTTTTCTTTTTTTTCTTTTCTTTTCTTCCTCTTCGCTTGTCTCGCTGCTAGATGCGCTCGTCACCATGTTTGTGTGTTTCTGATACTATGGCAACGAGACTCGGCTCCTATTGGTCCACGTAACAAAAATCGCTTCACCCTCTGCATATTCGATTGCGCGTGTGCAAGTATCACTGCGCCGCAGAAAGGAAATAGTTCGACACCGAAACACTGATTACTAAAAATCGACAGGATGGCATGAGTAGATATTTTTTTTACTACTTACTATCAATAGAGCTGTTTTATGAATCACAGGTTATGTTTCCCCACTGAAGTGGAACGAGATTCACTTTCTAAGCACTTTTTCCTCCGTCCCAATACAGCCTATACACCGCAGAAAGGAAATAGTTCGACACCGAAACACTGATTACTAAAAATCGACTGGATGACATGAGTAGATATATTTTTTTTAGTACTTACTATCAATAGAGCTTTTTTATGAATCACAGTTTATATTGCACCACTAAAGTGGAACGAACCAACACGATCTCATTCAGCCAATACAGCCTAATTGTAGGCAAAGCTAATGTGTATTCATGCCACTTCCTGAACGCAGGGTGATGGGGTGGGGAACATAGACATAATAAAAGATAGACCCCGCATCGGCCGCTACCACGAATGGGCCCTGTCGAGAAATGCTGCCGCCATCTTGGTCCGGTCATCCGCCTCACTCTGCACCGCTGTTTAACCGGCGGAATGAAGTCTGAGCGCATTAAATGAATCATAGTTCGCTCAATACTACGTAATTTTCTTCTCTGCAAATGCCATTCAAAGAGGCATGATAGAGGCCATATTTATTTTGGCGTTTTCAAATACTCAGAATGAATAAAATGATATTTTAGAACATGGCAGCAGTGGCTGTATTATAGTATAACAATTAATCAAGGATATATCTAGGTTTAGAGCTAGGTTCCTGCTATGTCTCAATAATTATTAATAACTGGCGGTTTTAATAGGCCAATTCAATATATATTGATTTGATTATATTTTATTTAGTTTAATGTTATTTATCCATTTGTAGACACACACAAATAATGTCATATAGAAGCAGTATTTTAATAACTGGAAAATACACACAAAGAAATACACACAAATATATAGCCTACATATCAAAAAAATTTAAACACAAGAACAGCATGACAGGACAGCATCTACACTACATATCAATTTGCTTGTTGGCTACACAGCACAGAGGAATCACTTGCTGCAAATTTCTCCCTCTAACAGCAATCTCCCACTTCTTCCTCAAGTTTTTGTCCTTAGGAAATCTTCAAAATGAAACAGGAGATCACCACAAAGAAATCTTTAATAGAACAGATAATAAAACAGAGCTCACTTTCTTCCTTCTTCTTTGTATTTTATTTCTTAACGTTTCTTAGAACCTCTCTCAAACAAAAGTTTTTCAATCTAATGCAAATCTGTTGATAATCGAGCAAAGTTGCTATTATTGTGAATAAGCTAGCTGTTCGCAAATGCTGTTTCCTTTTTGGAGTTGACCGATAGTCTTCCTCCTTGGCCTACAAATGACTCTACAGTCAAGTGTAATGTTGAAAAAACGTGTAATCATAACTGTGAAAAGTTATTCCTTGAGCCCTGTTCTCTGCTGTCTGCCTGTTGGCACAGGAATACGCCGCACAGTGCTCCGGCATCGCTGAATGAATGAATGAATGAATATGATTGACCGGAGCGTATGGGAAGCTTGACCTGACCAAGATGGCGGCCGCATTTCTCGCTGCGCAGCACCCCCAGCGGGGTCTACCCTTTTATAATGTCTATGGTGGGGAAGGAGGGGGAGGCCTGGCACTCATGGCAGACCGCGCCCCTCTCAGTCGAGGCCCGCCCCCACAGAAAAACAGGGTAAAAAGTGAACCTGAAACTTTTCAAGTTGAATCCGAAAACAGAAGATCTGAATCTGAAAAAAAAAAATCTGAATCTGAAAAAAAAAAATCTGAAACCGTAAAAATAAGATCTGAATCTGAAATAAATAAATAAAATTCAATCGAAAAAAAAAAAGTACTCCAAGATCGAAATATACATTGACGTGAAAAATAGAAATAAGTAATTTATTCAAAAGTATTAAAAAACAGAATCAAAGTTACATTTCAACAGATTTTTTTCATGCATTCTGGGATTTTTCAAAGTTCAATTTCGAAATTCAAGACTTTCAGGTACCATTTTATTTTTTTTCAGGTTCAAATCTTATTTTTTCACTTCACTTTTTATTTTTTCACTTACACTACTTTTCAATACTTTTGAGCCTGATCTGGCTCCATAGTTGTCCAGGGTATTTTGTATATGGCCCTGTTTATTGTAGAACAATTACTACATATGCATATTGCACTGAATATTTGCAATCTTTCTAGTTTACATACTTTACTATTTGTAATTTGTTGTGTTTGTATTTTTTATAACATTGTATTTTGTACTATTACCTTATCAATATTGCAATTTATGTTTTTGACACTTGTTTTCCTTGACTGATGTTAAATTACAATGCTGCTGTCTATGTCTTTTGAGCCATTTTGTTTTCCTTTGAGGATTTTGTGGGGTACTGTTGATTGCGTTGATCATACAGTACGTACGCTGGGATTGGTCAGATATGAATCCTTTCATAAATCTCACCTGTGTCCTATCGTAGGATGAATCCTGCGCTCAGATCTGCACTCAGGTCTGCGCTCAGGTGTGCGCAAGATTGATAAATGAGGGCCAATTGGAGGACAGGACTTAAAGGCACCGCCTCGCAATCAGGCCGGGCACAACTGAAAATTAGACGCAGCTGATGCCAATTAAGTGGAGGTGCAGCAGCAACCTGCCACACAGAGATGCGTCTCCTGTTGGCCTTTATCAGAACACCTGAAGCTAAAGCGAGCTTATACTATTTTTTCATACAATGCAAATGGACAAAACGCGCTGACCGCTGATGTAAACAGGAGTAATATTGGTGGATTATCAAACTGTTGGAGCTGGATGACTGATAATGTTGACTGTTTTAAAAAGCAAGAGTGAAGGTAAGAAATATTTCCTGAAGTTTTGATCAGTTATGTCTCTGCTCTGATATGTGGTGGACTGAGATCAGGACATTTTATATTTTTGGAGGTCACGTTCCCCCCGGTTAAGAACGGTTAAGGGGGGGTGGGGGGGTGGTGCTCCTTGGCCCTGTATGGCTTTGCTGAGCTCTTTTGTCCAGGGTTATAGTTTGTCACTTTAAGTTGCACACATTGCTCCGAGTGGTCAGCAGTCAAACGACTGCGGAAGGGGCTGAGTACGTCCTTCATGTGTGAAAAGACTTGTTCACAGAGGTAGGTTGAACCGAAGACTGACAGAAGAGCCAAAGCAACGTTCTTGAGGCAGCAAAATTTATCTGGTACAGATTTCCAACAGGCGTAGATGCAAGTTCCCTGATTTTTGTTTTCTTTAGTTTCCAATTCTTTGCGTAGCTCTACAAACTTGGTCATCCACAGTGCTGAGCTTTTCAGCTCAATCAGTTGCATTGCCAAATCCTGTGTGTCCAGCCAGTCAATCAGAGATGAATCAAACTCGTGTCTATCAAAGTGTTCAGGAGTGATCAAAAAAGAGAATATGGGTCCATACCTCCTAAACTCCCCAAATTGTTTTGTGAGGTCAGATTCTAGCTCACCGATGTAGTTGCTGAGTTGTGTGGTGTTGATCCTCTGCCGCTTTGAAAGCTCTTGTACGTGTTTGAAATAGCAGAAAGCGGAGGTAGCAATGTCATTTTTAAAAAGAGGTAGCTTGGCGACAAAACTACCCCACTTTCCATACAGGTCCAAAACCGTCTGCCCCGCGCCTGAGCTGCCAGCTCAAGATTTAGCTTGTTGAAATGTCCGGTTATATCAGTGAGAAACATGAATTTCGCCACCCACTTCTCATCCTCCAGCTGTGGATAGTCTTGGTCTTTTTCCTTGAGGAAGGCTTTAATGGCATCAAAGCAGCCTACAAATCTCTCCAACACCTTTCCACAACTTAGCTATCTAACCGGACAATAGACAGGGAGATCTTTGTCTGTGTTTTCCATTTCCTCGAGCAGGGATTTGAACTGGCGGTGTGTGAGTGCAGATTGCTTAACTATGAAGTTAACAATCTTGGCAATGGTATCCATAACCACATTCAGACCTGAATCGGACATTTTTGCACGTAGATTTTCTTGGTGTATTATGCAGTGCAGTTTCATGACGGGGTGACCGACTTTATCCTCAATTAACTTGACAGCTCCTTTATTTTTCCCGACCATGGCAGGAGCGCTGTCTGTTGTCACTGCAAATCTTTTCTTGATATCAACACATCGCCCCTCAAAATGCTCAATAAACACCTTGGCTACATCTTCCCCCTTTGTTGTGCCAGGCATCGGCTCTAAGCAGCAAAGTTCTTCTCTTATATAGTGGAGTCCCTAAGCCCAAAAAATAAGCTGTAAACTTCAAGTCATGCAACAAATATCCCCTTTGGTATGGAAGTACCTTAGGGTCATAGGAAACATTTTATCCAAAGAGACAAGTAAGATCACCCTTCAATTTTTTTTTTATCGCCATTTTAAAAATGGCCGCTGACAATAAACCGCCAATACACCAGACCCCGTATCTTTGCTTCTGTTACAGCTATAATCATAATATTGGTGTCAAAGTGCACATTTTTGGGGTCTAGGAATTCAATTAAATAGGTTTCAATGCAAAAAACCCAATGCATCATTAATTACCATGACAACGGGGGTTAAAATATGCAAATTTCATGAAAAAATGTACGTTTTGACAGGGTAACTTACCTCCCCACCCCTCCCCCTAAACTGAGATTTACTGTTCCTTTGGCATGGAAGTACCTTAGGGCCATAGGAAACATTTTATCTAAAGAGACAAGTTAGATCACCCCATTTTTAAAATGGCTATAACTTGTCTCTTTGGATAAAATGTTTCCTATGGCCCTAAGGTACTTCCATGCCAAAGGAACAGTAAATCTCAGTTTAGGGGGAGGGGTGGGGGGGTGGGGGGGTAAGTTACCCTGTCAAAATGTACATTTTTTTCATGAAATTAGCATATTTTACCCCCCACTGTCATGGTAATTAATAAAGCATTGGGTTTTTTGCATTGAAACATATTTAATTGAATTCCTAGACCCCAAAAATGTGCACTTTGACACCAATATTATGATTATAGCTCTAACAGAAGCAAAGATACGGGGTCTGGTGTATTGGCGGTTTATTGTCAGCGGCCATTTTTAAAATGGCGATAAAAAAAAATTGAAGGGTGATCTAACTTGTCTCTTTGGATAAAATGTTTCCTATGACCCTAAGGTACTTCCATACCAAAGGGGATATTTGTTGCATGACTTGAAGTAAAATGTGTCTTAGGGCCCCAACTAATAGTCGAATCGCAGTATTTTGCCATTACTGCTAAACGTGGCATGTCATTTACATCCACGCTCTCATCAAGTGCAACGCTAAATACAGGGGCATCTTTCAAGCCAGCAGTTTGCTGTGACTTAACATTTTTTGCCATATCTTCTATGCGTCGCTGGACAGTATCAGCTGACATGGCGATGTCTTTTATTCTTGACTTAATCTTGTCTATATTTGGTAAGTCACCAAACAATGCATTTGCACTTGACAGGAAAGCCTCTTTAATATATTTGCCGTCAGTGAACGGCTTTCCATGTTTTACAATGCAACGGGAGATTTCATAGCTTGCTTCAGTGCCATGGTCTTTAGCAGTGATACAGTCATGCAGATTGCCCTTTTGCTTTCCATACCCTGACACCGCCTTCCTTATCGCCTCTGCCTTTTCTGCTGCATCTTTGTAGTCCGCTGCTCAAAGTGACGTTTAACACTTGAAGTGTGACTGACTACATTTTCAAGACATAAAACGCAGACAGGACGGTCCTTATCTTTATCGTTGGAAACAAATCCATATGTATCTGTCCACGCAGGCTGGAATGGCCGGGCATCTAATCTGGGCTTTTTAGACATTCCCCCCCTATTCTCTTTGCACGGCACGGAGCCACAACAGCATGTGTGCAGCAACTCTCACAACGAGGGTCGAACACACAAACACACACACACACCGTCCTGCGTTTATGATGTTTATGATGAATGTAAACAAGCGTCTGTGGAGTGGTGGTGTAAAGGATGTAAATATACATTCAAAGGAACATCAAGCTCGCAATTAATTTAATACAGAAACATTTTTAGGCTCATTGAAAAAAAAAACGTTCTCCCGCAAACTAGCAGCATGCCAGCCGATACCACCCGGCGTGCCAATGTTGGCACGGGTGCCTAAGGTTGCGGACCCCTGTTTTAGATAATCAAGACAAAACAGAATAATAATTTGTGTAATTCAATATTTAATGTCAAAAATAAATTGAATATACCCAGATGAAGAGTGGGATAGAGAGATAGCCTCTCAAAAAGAATGAAGCCAAGATGAAGAGGAAAAAAGACGCAAATAAAACCTAGATGTCAGGATTTTAACATTACGGAATGACAAAGAAAAGTGGAAATACATCAGAAACATCCGGATTAAAGCCTAAACATCAGTTTCTCTGGCTGCTACAAAATTCCTCACAGTAGGACAGTGGGCTTAATTTTTAAATTCACAAATGAAAACAAAAATCTTCCCACGTTTCCTTCTTATTGGGTGGCTTTGATCGTCTGTACAAACCAGATGTGTTTTCTGATTTTTAATAACAATTTTGGAAAATTCTGTTGCTCCAGCTCAAAGTTTCAAATGAAAAAGAAAAGAAAAAGTAAAGTTTGCAGAAGTGTGAGGATTTTTAATGATTCAAAGTGCTGACAGGGTGTGGATTTCACTTCTGATCTATGACATTTATCAGGTGAGAGCGGTTTAATGGTTTTAGTGCAGGTTGGAGAGCTTCAATCAAACCTCACAGTAAACATGCCGAGTAATGTGGAGCACCAACATGTTCTCCATGTGATATGGTAAGGTTTGAATGAAGAGACTGGAAACAAATGTGCTCTGCAAAAAGTTGAAGCTCCAGTATTTCTCCATCTTTAGTCAAACAGTTTAGGGAGTATTTGAGCCACCTCTCAGTCTTCTCCTTCATTGATGTCCCAGTGTTTTTCCTACAGGTGAGCGTGAAGCTGTCCAATCAGAAACCTTCTCCTCTTCTTCAGTAGTTTTGATCTGTCAGTGCAGAATCTGAGCTTGTCTTCATGTTTGCACTTTAAAACCTCCTTCTTTGCAGCAACTCGGTTTTAAAGACACCTTCATGTTACCGGTAACAACAGTCTGTGTCACAGTGCAGAGGTGATTTTCTCATCTGTTTTCTAAAATCTATTTCCTATTTGATTTCCGGAAAACTTGTCCCAAACCTCCTCCTCTCTTTCTACTTCAGTGCAGTATGTGTGGGGTCATATACTGGTAGGCAGAGCTACGCAGCCACATGTCCAATCAAGTAAATGTTGTCATATAGGTGGCCCACGAAGTCGTCCGACACGTTGTGCGCAGCTCGTCGAGTGTTCCTAATGAATTCCCTCTTGGACATTTTGTTCTTGACGTGTGGGCTGGTCAGGTCGATGGACAGTAGGATGAGGCTGTAGCACAGCACGTACACGGCATCTGAGGACAATGACACAAAACACTGTCAAAAATATCACCAACAACAAGACAAAACACCCAGAAACATGATTGAATTCACTTAGTTAACACTGGTTTAGTTTCATGTCCACTCAGCATAAACTTTATAACAATGTTTATGACCAGGGGGACATTTTATCTGTTGGAGGGCAACCAGAGACAGAAAACATGGAGGGCTTTTTAAAACAACTTATCTGTACAGAAAGGCATCCAGGGAAAACTTTTTTATACAAGGTACACAATTTATGTTTACCTGAATGAAGGGCATCAACAGGAACCTTAAGGGGGGTCCTTTTTATTTTTACTCTATGGGATGGGGATTCAGAGGGCATTTTTTTCATGCCTTATTAACTGTTTAAAGGCACTTTTTATCTGTGTCAGAGCATATTTTGAAAACAAATTTTGTACATTTTGTCTGCTGAAAGTGCATCCAGAGGGCACTTTTTGATAGTTGTTTTAACCATTGGTAGCACATCTGGGGGGCACTTTTTTCCATTTGACATGCTGAAACAGCTGACAGAGGGCACTTTTAAAAAGTGTTTCCCCTAAAAACACTTCTAGCAGTCATTTATCAGAAAGATATTCCTTAAAAAGACATCTAAATATGTGGATAGAACACAGTTATATCAGCAGAATTACGACACACTGGTCATGGTTGGTGGATTATCATGCAAGATTTTTTCAGTTCTTGAGGTTTGGTTTGTTTGTTGTCATCCACTTGTTACTGCTATGTACAGAGCATTTTAGTTATCAGAAAACTACAGAGTAATGTTGTGGTTATTTTCCTGTTTGACAGATGATAAAGGAATAGTGGAGGTGTTTCTTGGTACTAAAGTGGTAGTCTCTCTATAATTACCAAATCATGATCATTGAGATGAGATGAGATGAGATTCAATTTATTGTCAATGTACAGTACAAGTACAGTACAGCGAAAAGTATTTTCACATCTCACCAGAGTGCAGAGTAAACATGTCAGTGCTAGAAATTGAATAAATAATAATGTGTATTGTAGCGATAAATAATAAATAAATGCATTCAATACTGTCAGATTAATATTGCACGTAGCCCATATTGCACAGAAGTGCTAGATTAAGGTCCAGGTCCAGTGACCATATTGCACATGTCCACAGGATGAGTTAAGATACAGCAGGAACGTGGGTGGGTGGAAGGGGAGGGGGGGCTATTACTGGAGGGGGGAGAGGAGTGGATGAGGGGTTTAGGGAGATGACAGTGGAGGGGAAAAAACTGTTCCTGAGTCTGCTTGACTTGGAAGCTAGATTCCGGTATCTTCTCCCAGAGGGGAGGAGGGTGAACAGTCCGTGGTTGGGATGAGAGGGGTCTTTGATGATGCTGTGAGCCTTCCTCAGGCACCGACTGTCATAGATGGTCTTAATGACAGGGAGAGATGTACCAGTGATGCGTTGGGCAGTTTTCACCACCCTCTGCAGTGCCTTTCGGTCAGAGGCTGTACAGTTACCATACCAGACCGTGATGCAGTATGTGAGGATGCTCTCAATGGCACAGCGATAGAAGTTCCCTAGTATATGAGGAGATAGATGGGCTTTCCTCAATCTCCTCAGAAAGAAGAGACGCTGATGGGCCTTCTTGAGCAGGGACGAGGTGTTGAGGGTCCAGGAGAGGTCCTCAGAGATCTGTACGCCCAGAAATTTGAGGCTGGAGACCCGTTCGACCTCTGCTCTGTCGATGTAGATAGGAGCGTGAGTGACAGTCCTAGTCCTCCTGAAGTCCACGATGACCTCTTTGGTCTTGTCGGTGTTCAATGTCAGGTTGTTGTCGGCACACCATGACGCCAGGTGCTGTATCTCCTCCCTGTAGGCTGTCTCATTGTTGTCTGTGATGAGGCCCACCACCGTTGTGTCGTCTGCAAACTTAATGATGGTGTTAGAACCATGCATGGGAGTGCAATCGTAGGTGAAGAGGGAGTAGAGGAGGGGACTCAGCACACAGCCCTGTGGGACACCAGTGCTCAGGGTTAGGGTGGAGGAGGTGAGGTTGCCAATCCTAACAGACTGGGGCCTGTTAGTGAGGAAGTCGAGGATCCAGTTACAGATGGAGGGGGTAATGTCCAGGTGCTTGGTTGATACAAGGTCACGGAGCTTGGAGATGAGTTTGGAGGGGATGATTGTGTTGAATGCCGAGCTGAAGTCAATAAACAGCATCCGTACATGAGTGTTCCTCTTGTCCAGGTGAGTGAGGGCAGTGTGAAGGGCGGATGAAATGGCGTCGTCCGTGCCCCTGTTCTTCCGATAGGCAAATTGATGCCTGTCGAGGGACGGAGAGAGGCCAGCTTTGAGGTGAGCCAGAACCAGCCTCTCAAAACACTTCATGATGGTAGAAGTGAGAGCGACAGGGCGGAAGTCGTTGTGGTGTGTTTCGGCACAGGCACGATACAGGTGGACTTGAGACACGCCGGGACAACAGCTTGGGCTAGGGACAGGTTGAAAATGTCCGTGAGCACTTCCGTCAGCTGGTCAGCACAGTTTATGAGCACCCGACCAGGGATGCCATCAGGCCCAGCTGCCTTGCGTGGGTTGGTCCTGCTCAGTGCTGCATGCACATCTGTGGTGGAGAAAGTGAGGGGTTGGAGATCAGCAGGCAGGACAGCTCTGATGGGCGTCTCCCAGTTGTCTCTGTCGAAGCGGGCATAGAAGTTGTTGAGCTTGTTGGGGAGAGTGGGGTCTGTTGCTGGGGGGTTGTTGGAGGGTTTGTAGTCTGTAATGGCCTGAATGCCTTGCCACATGCGTCGAGGATCATTGGTGTTGAAGTGATCCTCAACCTTGCGCTTGTGGCTCTGCTTGGCCTGCTTAATGTCCTTGTTCAGGTCAGCCCTGGCTGAGCAGTAGGCCCGCTTGTCACCTGATCTGAAGGCGGTGTCACGTGCCTTCATCTGAAGCCGGACCTCAGTGTTCATCCACGGCTTTTGGTTGGAAAAGGTGATAATCCGTTTGGTGGTAGTGACACTGTCAATATTGGTGCTGATGTGGTTCAGAACAGAGGAGGTGTAAGAGTGAATGTCAATGTGGGAGTCTATGGTGGCTTGTGTGGCAAATAGGCTCCAGTTTGTAGATTGTAGCCGGCGCTGTAACTCCAGATCTGCCCCCTCAGGCCATATCTTTACAGATCTAATCGTGGGTTTGATCCTTTTAATGAGTGGAATGTACTTGGGGAGGAGGAACAGGGAAAGGTGGTCAGAACGTCCCAGGTGAGGGAGAGGGACAGCTCTGTATGCTTCTTTGATGTTGGTATAAACATGATCTAAGATCTTGTCACCTCTTGTGGGACATGTGACGTGCTGATAGAACTTTGGGAGCACAGTCCTCAGGTTAGAGTGATTGAAATCTCCAGCTACGATGAAGGCTGCCTCAGGATGCAAGGTCTGATATTTGCTAATAGCAACGTGAAGTTCCTTCATTGCTAACTTAGCATTAACTTCGGGGGGGTATGTAAGCTGCGATCACTAGGGTGACAGAGAATTCCCTAGGTTGGTAAACAGGTCTGCATTTAACTATCAGATACTCTAAGTTAACAGAGCAGTGACTCTCGAGTGTAGTACTGTCCGTGCACCAGGCTTTGTTTATATAAATGCATAAACCACCGCCTACGGACTTGCCTGAATCAGCTGTTCTGTCCGCGCGATGTAGCTCACGTTCATCTAGCTCCACGGCGTTGTTGGGGATATCACTGTGGAGCCATTACTAAATACATAACAATTGTTGTTACTTCTTACTTCTGTAACTGTTATTGAGGGGACAGGGTTACCGTATGGAGAATGAAGTGATGTTGCTCAAATTAGCTTTTTTCTGTATATAATTTGTGTTTACACATTTTCTAGCTCTGATGGTATGTTAATGAAGTATTGATTGTCCCGACTTTAAATGTTCAATTTGACAATAATAATTGTAGAGGCAATGTCCTAAACACATGCCTCTACTGGTTGCTGAGTAAAAGAAAAAGAACTAACTTCTGACGTGTGGTGTGAAATAAACTGATGTCCAAAAATGTATCCAGAATTGAAATAAACTGTATTTTATTCCCACATCTTCTTTTCCTCTTAAGCACAGGAACAAATAAAATAAAGAAAAACGGTTAATTCCACGAACACCAGTCCACACTCCAACAGTCAAAAGACTGTTTGTCTCTCCCAATCAGCAACACCTGCCGCTGATTACCACCCTACTCAAGTAACCTGGCCACCATGACCCTTGAACCTGGGCGCGGCTTTAGAGTGATGTCACAGCATGGGGAAAAATAAGAAAATTATAATATGGCTCTCACACGCCAGCCCCTAACTGCTACTTGTACACGAAAACAGAGCAATTCATACCATAAAAAATAAAAATAGAGCCATAAACACCATAGCAGAACATAAATACAAAAAAATACCCTTTTAAGTACTCGTGACTCAGGCAAAATTTAAACTCAAAATTTCTTTAGTCTGTATTTTCACATAGAAGACAGATTTTAGTCACGGGTCTTTCAATTACATTAGTCTCTGTTTGAAGACTAACTGACCGTACTAGACCCTTTCTGTCAGGAAAGGTTTTCAGTATTCTTCTAAGTATCCAAGATCCTCTTGGTGCTGACGAATCCATCACTGCAACAATGTCTCCAGGTATGAAGCATCTTCTTTCCTTTGTCCATTTTTGTCGCTCTTGCAGTAACGGTAAGTACTCGTGAATCCATCTCTTCCAGAAGAGATCTGCAATATATTGGCTCTGTCTCCATCTTCTCTTTGCATAGAGATCGTTTTTGTCAAACAGTCCTGGTGGGAGAACTGGTTTTCCTTTTAGCAGGAGCAGATGATTTGGAGTCAATGCCTCTAGGTCATTTGGGTCGTCCAAGGGTCTGGTGATGGGACGATCATTTAACATAGCTTCCACTTTGCACAACACAGTTCGAAAGCCTTCATCGTCCAGTGTTTGCTGTTGAAGCATAGAGCTCAGGACCCTTCTGATCATTCGGATGATGTGCTCCCAAACACCCCGTAATAAGATCCAGCCGGTGGGTTGAAACTCCATTTTATTCCCTTTTGTGCCAGAGATCTTTCAATGATGGTTTGATCAAGAGAAGCTAAGGCCTCTCTTAGCTCTCTTTCTGTGCTCACAAAGTTGGTTCCATTGTCCGATCTCATGTGAGAAACTTGTCCTCCACTACAGATGAATCTCTGGACAGCGATGATACATGAGTTTGTATCGAGGGAGTAGGCGACTTCCAGATGAACAGCTCTGCTTGTCATGCAAGTGAAGATTACTCCGTGACGTTTTACAATGCTCAATGCTACGTCCCCTTTTGACGTTGATGGGCAAGGGGAAGTAATCTACGCCAACATTTGTGAAAGGAGGAAGATCTGGGACAACTCTTTCTGCAGGCAGGTCTGCCATTTTTTGTTCACCAGTCAATCCTCTGTAAAGTCTGCAGAATTTGCACGTTTTAGTGATCTTCCTTACTGCAGAATTGGCGCTTGTGATCCAATATTTTCTCCTGACAGAGGAAAGTATATGATTCCTTCCTCCGTGACCCAGCTGTTCATGAAAGTGGTGGAGGATAAGACCTGAGATGTGCTGGTCTTTAGATAAGATGAGGGGATGTTTTAAGTCTTTGGGCATTGCTGCTCTGTTCAATCGACCCCCAACTCTTAGAAGACCTCCATCCAGCGTAGGATCCAGTTTAAAGATGGTGCTGCTCTTCTGCACTGGTTTTCCAGCGATTAATGCAGCGATTTCACTGTTGAATTTCTGTTGCTGACAGAATGAAATTATAGATTTTTCTGCTTCAGTGAGGTCTTCAAGCGACACCTTTTGGCTTCCCAGTGAAGCTTTCACAGCTTGCATCTCTTTATGCACATCTAGTAAAGGTGATCCATTACCGCCATTACTTCCAAGCTGTAACTGCCTTCTTTTCTGACTCAGGGTTTGCAGGACTTCCTTCAGCTTAAGAATCCATGCAACTGCAACTTTCAATCTCTGCCAGTCAGAGAAATAGGCTATCGGTCGGTGAGTGGCATTTGCAGCATCGACAACAGTTGCATTCACTACATAATTTCATTTAACCTCTGGGTCGTCAGCAGGGATGTTGACATCCGCAGGAGCTTCTGGCCACTTTTCCTTAGGCTCCCACAGAAACACTGGGCTCACAATCCATTTTTGATTAAGCAGATCTTCTGCCTTCAATCCTCTCGAAGCACTGTCAGCAGGGTTTTGTGATGTGGGGACGTATCGCCATTGTGACACGTCCGAGTGGTCCCTTATAGTGGTTATCCTGTTTGCCACAAATGTTTGGAACCGCTTATCTTCGTTTTTTATGTACTTGAGTACCGACGTGCTATCTGTCCAGAAGACCGATTTCTTCAGTGGAAGCTGCAGCTCAGCCTGAAGCATTTTGTCCACTCTAATGGTGACAACAGCAGCTGTGAGTTCCAGGCGAGGGATGGTAACAGTCTTCAGTGGAGCCACTCTGGCCTTGCCGAACAGGAAAGCAATATGAACCATTTTCTCTGTGTTCTCAATTCTGAGGTAGGTGACGGTACCTTTAAACTCTGCTGCACAGTCAAACACCACCTGTAGCTTGCCCTTCTTGGGGTGATACACGCCATGATGGGGTATGTACCACACCTTTCCCTCCCGTGGTTCCAACTGTTGTTGTGGCACCTGTTCCGCATAACCTTTGTTGATGACATCGGAGAGAAAGTTTGTGTACTCAGCATGAAACATTTCATTCCTCCGCAGTTTCCTTTCCAGGCCACGAATACGTTGCTTGGCAACGCAGATGTTGTTTGGCAAGGAAATGTTCTCAGATTTGAAGGACAGCTTCAGTTGGTAATGCCCATCTTGTAGCTGAACAGAGCTCTTCACAAGTTCCATATACTTCATTTCATCTCTTGACATCTCCTTTTGGTTTTTAGAGCTCTTTTCATTAAAATCGTGATTGTACTGGTTAATAAGCAGTTCCTCCAACCTGTCTACAACTGTGCGATTAACCGTTACTGTGGGGCAGCCACTCCTACTATGCTTGTCATTGACTTGTAAAGGCCCATTAATAACCCACCCCAGTAGGGTTCTGACAGCATAGGGTCCATCTCCATGGCTGTTAATGACCTCCCACGGTTCCATTAACTTGGAGGCATTGGTGCCAATTGAAAAACTGATTGCCACTAAACTCAGAGATTTCCAAGCCATTAATAATGTAGCTGGGCACCGCCTTGCTATAACCCATGGTGCGTAAATGGATCTTCGTAGGATTACCACCCTACTCAAGTAACCTGGCCACCATGACCCTTGAACCTGAGCGTGGCTTGAGAGTGATGTCACAGCATGGGGAAAAATAAGAAAATTATAATATGGCTCGTACAATAATTATAGATTTTCCTCAAAATGCATCTTATCAGGGAAGAACAGAAGTTTAGGCAGCTATATTAGAAGACAGTTTTTCTCACAAACTTTGTGCTCCTTCTTTTTGAACTGTTAGAAGTCCATTTTTTATAGCACCCGTTTTCAGGTAATAATGTTTTCTGCTAGCGGTTTCTCTTTAGATATGAGCTAACTCAGCTCACAGTTGTCTTTTCAGATTCAACAGGCACAAAAACATACCTTTGCAAATCAGGCCTGTGAGGCCGTGTAACAAGTTGCAACATTTTGGGCAAAATGATCACCTTTTGGGCCTTGGCATCTTGTTACATGATCAACTAGTTATTACATTTCAGGTTTTTTTTTTAATTTTAAACTACATTTTTGGCCAGTGTTACATTTCGGGCCATTGTAACATATCGGGCTCCAACAAGGACTTCAGTTATGTGTTTTTCAAATTATGTCCACAGCAACAATTGACCACATCAGCATTGCAGACTAATTCTTCACACACTTTTTTGCATTTAAAGCTCACGTTATATAAATATATATATATATATATATATATATACATATATATGTGTGTGTGTGTGTGTGTGTGTATATATATGTGTGTAAAAATTTGTGTATATAAAGATGTGTATATATAAGTGTATGTATATATGTGTAAATATATGTGTAAATTAAGGCTGTCAAAGTTAACGCGTTATTGTCGCGTTAACTCGAGTGACTTTTATCGCCACTAATTTTTTTGACGCACGATTAACGCAAACCTTAGCCTGGCTTGACCAAACTATACACACACTGCGTGGATATTGTTGCCGTTGTAAAAGGGTAGAGGAACAGTTGGTGAGCTATGTGAGCCTCGGGGCACTCCGTAGTTTCGCGAATCAGGAAGTAGAGCACTGACCGATACCGCAGCAGACATAAACAAATTCACGTGAGCAGTAACTAGGATATAATGGATAAGAACACTATTTTGAACGGAAAGTTCAGCTACAAAGCCTTGCCAGATGGCTCTCTTGACAGGACAAAAGTCATTTGTGTTTCCTGTCGAGCTGAATTTAGTTACCACCGGAGTACATCTAGTCTCAAATATCACTTGTCGGCCAAGTACACAGCTGATGCAGAGAGCCCCCCCCCCCCCCCCCCGCATACGGATCGCATCCAATGACTGGACATATGAATTACCTTGTAGGACCACCATTACCATGAAAATCCATGATCTGTCCTCATGTTGATTCTTATGTTGATAAAAGTATAACAATTTGAAAAAGATCGATTTAGAATGGATCAAAAATATGTGATCAATTTGCGATTAATCATGATTAATTATGATCACAATTCGATTAATCGCGATTAAATATTTTAATCGATTGACAGCCCTAGTGTAAATATATATAAATGTGTGTATATATGTATATATGTGTTTATATATGTATGCATATATATGTGTATATATATGTGTGTGTATATATATGTATATATATGTGTATATGTATATATATGCGTATATTTATATATATGTGTATATGTATATATCTGTGTTTATGTGTTTATGTTTTTATATATATAAATATATATATGTATATATATGTGTATATGTATATGTGTGTGTGTGTGTGTATATATATGTGTGTGTGTATATATGTGTATATACTGTATGTATTTATATATGTATATATGTGTATATGTATATATATGTGCATATGTATGTGTATATGTATATGTGTATATATGTGTATATGTATATATATACATGTATATATATATATATATATATATATATATATATATTTTTTTATTATTATTATTTTTTACCAGCATGCAATCTGACTGCAGTCTAAATGTTTGATCAATAACTGTTAAAATAATAACTTTTTTTTCCCATGGTCTGCTTAAAAAACTCCTCATTAAAAAACTTCAGCGTAATTTAATGGTAGACAGAGGAGTAGAACAGGCTGACTGCCGAGAGGCAGACATCCATCGGTCTGCAGCTTCGGGCTCAGGACCATTAGTCTAATCCTGCTAATCACAGCAGCAGGTCCGAGTAATTCACAGGACCAGAGTCATGGATTGCTTTCTGTGCAGTCTGCTGATGTTAACAAAGCTTTTAGTCACTATATGCATGGCTCACTGATGATACTTTAGTTTGGGATTACTTGAAACTAAAACCTTGATGGTTCTAGTGGCTGAGTAAGAAATCTGGTGATGGACCAAAATTTATGTTTCTGTAGGTTTAGTATTGGGCTAACTAAATCTGCCTTAAAACTGTCTGGGTATGTTGATTCAGGTTAATCCAATTAAGGAAAAACTAGTGTGGCAATGCTGCTCCAAATGTTTCCATCAGCCTCGCTGTTGTAAGAATGTGGTTTGTCATTGTCTTGCTGAAATATTAAGGTCTTCCCTGAAAAAGTCTTTGTCTGGATGGCAGCAGATGTTGCTCCTAAACCTGTAGATATTGTTCAGCGTTAATGGAGCCTTCACAGATGTGGAAGCGACCCATTACATGGACTCTGGTGATCACAGACCATCAGGGATGCTGGATTTGGACTTGGAACTGAGAAAAACCCGGGTGGTGGTTTTTCTACATCAGACCACAGGCCAATTTTCCTCTTCCCATCCAGTCTTGGTTTTGGTCCTAGTCCCTTTTTAGTATAGAGATTTCTTCAGATTCTCTAAATCTTTAAATTATATTATGTTCTGTAGGTGGCAAAATCCACTCCTTCTTTCACATAAAAACTTAGGAACATTAATCTAGAAGTGCTCATGCAGTCTCTCACAGAGTGGTGAACCTCTTCCCATCTTTCCTTCTAAGGGACTCAGCCTCTCTAAATGTCCTTTTTTAAACCCAGTCATGTGACTAACCTGTTGAAAATAAACAAAAGTTGGAGATGTTCCTTTTAGCATTACAACTTTTGACCTGTTTGGTTGTTCCTCATTAACAACTTTTTACTTATTTGGTTGTTCCTCCAGAAAATCTTTTCACCTGTTCGGTTGTTCCTCTTCATTCCTTTTATCTGTTATATTGTTCCTTTAAAAGAATTGACCTGGTGAGTTGTTCCTCTCAGAACTTTTTACCTGTTTGATTGTTCTTCTATCACAACAATTTTATTGTTTGGTTGTTCTCTTGTATGAACTTTTTACCTGTCTGGTTGTTTGTCTGTAACAACCTTTTACCTGTTTGGTAATTCCTCCGTAACAACAATTTACCCCACTGCGTGAAAAGTGGTTCAGAAAACGTTAAAAAGACGTCTATCCTCCAGAAGATGTCTTCAGAGGGGCCAGAATGAATGTTTTTAATATGAAGCATAGCGTTAGTTCTCGCAGGTGATGATGTCAAGCGCTGATCCACAGCCAATGAAAGGTAGCCACCTCAACCAGCTGATGGCCCAGCTGATTTCCCCCCAGCTCCTACTGGTCCTACGCCTTTAGAGCGCCCTATTTAAAACTGCCCTAACCCAGCCTCTTCCTCTGCTTCGACAGGCAACCAGCAAGCTGCTGCAACTGCTCTGCAAGCTCCCACTTAGAAGAACACTCAGACCTGCGTTTTTGCTTTTTCCTACCTTGCTCTTCATCATGTCGATCACTGCCCACGATGAGGATCCATGGCAGATTGACTGCTTTTCTGAAAATCAACATCAGCAATATGAAATCGAGGAAGCTAGTCCTTGCAATGACAACTGCGTTCCCTTCCACAGGAGCTCTCCTCTGGCAGATAAAACTTCTATTTCTCCCAGCTTCATGAATGGCGGTGTCTCCGAGAAAAGAAACACTGCTCTCGCAGCGTCACGGCAGTTCCAGCTTCAGCCGCTGTGTCACTGCTGCCGCCCTCAGCGCGCGAGGCCCAACCCAGGCTACCAGACCCGTGGACCTGGACGACAATCCTATCCTGAAAGCACTATCCAGCATCCAGCCATCAAAGTATCCAGTTTGGCATGTGCTAGGCTGTCTTCCTCCATCCAAGCTATCACACCTGCATTCAATGCGCTGAACGATGATGTCACTCTAGCGACAATCAACAACAGTGTCACCATACCGTGAAAGAACCCTGGAAAGTGCAGTCCCAGTCTCCACCGGCATCCCATTCTTCCCTCCCACGGCTACAATTACAACAAATCTGTGAAGCCAAATCCTCACAGGTACTGACGGCAATCTTGTAAAAATCTTGCTGTGCTCTGACTACAATGATAGACGCATTATGGATTGTGGAGACATGTCTGTGGTGCTTAAAGATAGTGATCCCCGGCTGTTTAAATCTCCGACCTTAGCTGAATTCATAGCTTTTTGCATATTTCGAGATGTCATATGTTAAGTGTTTTCAGCACGCAGAACTGAACTGGACACATATCTCGCCATTATTTCTGATTCAGCCATGACTTATGGAGGATCATTATTCTAGGAACATCAAAAATCATTTTCAGCAAAGCTGCTAAGTACATTCAAAGATTCAACCAAAGACTTGCTTAGTCCTTTGTCGACCAGGCTCTAATGAGTACACATTTAACCAGGCATCAAGCTTTTTCCTGCTCAATCTGCGGGTCTTTCTGTCACACCCAGAGGTGAAAGTAAGCCAGTAAGCTAGTACGCAGCGGTAATACTGTTTCGGGAAGACATAATCAGCAGTTTAAAGTTTTCACCCCTGCCATGTATGTAGTCTTAGTGTGTTGCTGCACGGCAGTCTGAACTATTTGCTTCCAAACAAACTCCAGAAGTAGGAGCGCTCAATGCGCACTTTTGATTGGACGCTGGTTGCCTGGGCGCTGGGGATTGCCTCCTGCCTTTTGTGGAAGGAGGGAACTTTTAAAGAGTCAGCTGCTTAAATCTTAATGCAGAAATAATACAAAATGCAGAGAAAATATGATTTGTTTTTATGTTCAAGAGAAAGAGAGATGCAGCATAGATGATATTGTGGCATCAGAGTCAGCACCTCGCTAAACTTGGGTGTGCTCCTCTTGTACAAAGTCTATGTGTACAGTACCTGCAAGACCCTTATACGTCTTTCACCCCTGCTCCAATCTGTGCCCTAAAACTGTGGCTACAGGCCAACCACCCAAGCCTCTCCTAAGCCTACTACTCGGAAAAGCCAAGTTACTCCAGGGACGGGCATCTGAAATCGGCATGCCCAAGACACACCCGCCTAGTAAAAAAGGAAAGACAATAAAGCTATCACAGATCGAAAGTTTCTTGTAAGTTTGGACACATGCTCTTCAAAGATTCATAGCATTAAATGTGGTGTGCCCCAAGGCTCAATTTTAGGCCCCATACTTTTTAATTTATATATGCTCCCACTGGGAGATGTCATCAGGAGGCATGGTATTACTTTTCACAGCTATGCTGATGACACACAGCTGCACATATCCATGTCTCCTGATGACACAGGGCCAATTGATGCCCTTTTTAGCTGTATCCAAGACATTAAATCCTGGATGGCAGAAAACTTCCTACAGCTCAACCAGGATAAAACTGAGGTTTTAATTATCGATCCTAAGGCTCAGGGAGAGAAACTTTTAACAAAACTGAAAACCCTGTCTTTAATTCTATCAAATCAGGTAAAGAATCTGGGCATCATCTTTGGTTCTGAGCTGACTTTTATTCCACATATTAAAAATATAACAAAAACAGGGTTTTATCATTTAAAGAATATAGCCAGAGTCCGGCCCTTTCTCTCCCGGGCTAACACAGAGACGCTAATGCATGCTTTTATCTCCAGTCATCTTGACTATTGTAACGCCCTGCTTTCTGGTCTTCCAAAAAGAAACATTGCGAGTTTACAACTGTTGCAAAACTCAGCAGCACGTGTGCTGACAAAGACCAGAAGGCGGGCACACATTACACCAGTTTTAAAATCACTGCATTGGCTCCCTGTGTGCTTTAGGATTGATTTTAAGGTCCTTTTAATGTTTAATGTTTTTAAATGTCTTAGGGGTCTTGGACCTTCTTATCTTTCAGAATTGCTTTTACAATATGAACCCTCGCGGACCCTGAGATCCTCTGGCACTGGCCTTTTAATAGTCCCCAAAGTGAGAACACAAACTTACAGTGAGGCATCTTTCCAGCACTATGGCCCCCATCTTTGGAATAGCCTGCCGGAGGACCTTAGGGCCGCAGAGAATGTTCATATTTTTAAGAGCAGGCTCAAGACCCACCTATTTAATTTGGCTTTTAACTAATGTCTTATTTTTAATCTATATTTTTATCCTATTTTTATCTTATTTTATTTCATTTATATATTTTAGTCCTCATTTTACATGTTATGTTTATTATATTTATTTACTTATTTTTTAAATGATATTTTAGCTATTTATCAGTATTTTATAATTTTATCTAGTTTGATGTTTTTAGTTGATTTAGTCTATGTTTTTATTGCAATTCTCCAGGGTTTCCTCAGTAGGGGGGCCACCTGCACTGGAGGCTGTGGCTGGTTCTGTCTAGGGTTTCTCTGCCTCTTGGTGTGCGCTCAGCTCGGCCAGATGGTGGTCTGCAGCAGTGCTTGCTGCTGTGGGCCACTTACTGGCTTGTAGCGGGGTGCGCACCTGGGTGGAGCTGTCCTGGCCTGGGGCCGTGAGCAGCCTCCAGTGCAGTCGGCCTCCTGACGTGTCCTGACTTGGCTCCTCTGTACTCAGCCACACGCTTTTAAGATTGCATTATCTGTGTGTGTGTGTGTGTGTGTGTGTGTGTGTGTGTGTGTGTTGGGGTGGGCTCTCGGTGAGGGTTGGGGGGGTGGGGTGGCGGGCTGGATATGGGGGGGGCTTATTGTTTTAAATTGTAAAGCACTTTGTGCTGCATTTCTTTTTGCCTGAAAGTGCTATATAAATAAAGTTTGATTTGATTTGATTTGATTTGATCTGTCAAGTGTCCCTGAGCTGAGGAAGGCACTGGCAAAGCATCCTGACCGCTGCTCATGAAGCCATTCATCCAGAATTTGTTAGTTTGAGTGCAGCCTTGCAAATTTAAGTGCTCTCTGCTGCCGGCTATATGAGAGCTGGTTAAGCAAAATCAGCATTTAAGTTAATATGATTCTGCATGGTCTCACTTTACCTCTTCTGTACCACCTTCTCTGTAGCTCCAATCCCCATAAATATATCCATTGTATATGCTTTATACTGCCAGGGTCCGCAATTGGCGGACCGCGGTCCACATCTTTGTGGACCCAGAGAAAAAAAAAATCAACAACACGGCACGGCACGGCACTCTCTCTGACCGACTGACGCGAGGTTAGACTGGCCGAGAGAGAGAGAGAGAGAGCGTGTGTGTGTGTGCAACTGTGCGCATGCTCATGCTTGCATTATGGGCTGCCATTCCCATGACCACGATGCGCTGATTGGCTGATAACTACATAAACCAGCAGTCACACATTTTCCTCATACAGTCCGTCTTCTTTGCACGGCGCAGGCAGCGGTAACATCTTTGCAGCAGGACCGTTGCTCACTCCAAGCACCCGACATCAAAACGGCAAATCAGAGAGAGGTGGACACTGAAAATCGCTGATTCACTGACGAATGGACTGACAAATATATGATTATATCTCCTACAAGCACAAAGCCAATGGGTCTTTTGTGCAAAGCACTGTTGCTCTGATAAAAAGTGAAAACATAAAACGCCATGAGAAGCGATTTTGATAGAGATTGCCCCCAAAAATCTGAGCTACAAACAGATAAAATAAAAAGCTTATTTTATTTTATTGAGTAATACTAAGTAAGAAAGAATATCAGTGTGATGCTGAAAATGAACGTTTTTGTGCCTTCCAATAACTCCTGATTATTACAGTACAGTACACCCAGCCTAAAACTACATAAAAACATAAAAAAGGTTAAAAAAAATAAATAAAAAAATTTGCCGCCACGCACGCGCTGTGGACCAATGACTTCCTCAAAATTTGTTTTTCTGGACCTTTTACATTTCAAATTGGGAACCCCTGGTCTACTGGATGAATCTTGCACCTTTTTATTTCTCGAACTAACCCTGTCTTTGTTTTTTATCGTCCATGTCCTGCTGCCTGAGAGGCCGGCCACTGGCTAGCCAGCAAGAGCCTTTCTTTGCCACCGAAGAAGGGAAACCTATATTCAGATCATCTTTGGCTATGCCAATTCTGCTGGCTCCCACCCAAGTGCAACTCTACGCATTCACTACACATAGGTGTAGCTACAACTGCATCTTCCATTGTCCCCGTCTTGATGCTCAAGGCTATGGGTCGATAATCCTCATCAGCCTTTGAATGATACCTCGGGCCCGAGGCTAAAGAAGATTCCTATGCCCAATTAGCTACGAGTGCTTAAAAAATGCTGCTGCTCCATAACTCTGTCCCATATCTATTGTATTCTTAAGCATATTCCCTATTATAAATATGTGTATGGATTAAATCCTGATCCCTGATCATGTTTTGAGAGTAACCTTTACTATGCAAGCTTTGGAGGTGGGTAGGTTACTTCATAGTTTCTTGCTGCTGGCAGCTGCTCTCCCTCTCTTCTAGGTGCTTTCATGTGGCTCATGAAAGCTGGAGGAGGGGTTCTTGATATGGTTGTTCTGGGGGACTTTTGATTTATTTGCTGCTGCTTTCCCTGCCTCGGCTTTCATGTGCTACATGAAAACCGCAAGGGTCGTCTGGTATGGTTGTTTTGGGGGATTTTAATTTATCTTAATTTTATTTATTCACTGCTGCTTTTTCTGCCTTGGCCTTTCATATATGCACATGAAAGGGAGGGGAGGGCATTCCCTCTTATAGCCGTGGCATTCCATGCAAGCGCATTAAAGAGCAGGGAACTCTCAGAGCAGAGCAATACCGCAAATGTAAAAATGTTTGCTTGTAATAAATAATTAATTTTGACTAAAGTAGTCCCGATTGAAAAGAAGCATAGACATAGTTCAGGCAGGACACAAAGGTTACAGTCAAGCTAAAGGTTACAGTCAGCTGATGTTAAGCCAGCCCTCAGTCAGCTACAGCTCAGCTGATTGCCCTCCACACATCCTACTGGCAAATGTCAAAATGGCGCCCTAATTAAACTGCTTCTCCTGCATGCTCTGCCTGGCATGGTTGTTTTGGGGGGGTTCTTTTCATCGCTGCTTTTCCCCGCGTTGTTTCTGCCTTCATGAACCCTCATGAAGGGCGGGAAGGTGCTCCTCCTGCCGCTGGCCTTTCACGCATGCTTGCATGGAGAACGGGGGGCCTGCGCTCCCTGCTATCGCCTTTTCATGATGGCTCATGAAGGGCAGGAAGGGGCTCTTCCTCTGCTTTCACGCAAGCCCATGGAGGGCAAGGACCCAGAACAGAACCATGCCGCCAAATTTAACTTCACACAATAAAGCTGAATTTTGACAAAGTGATAATGACTGAAATGTCTTTTCCGAACATGTTATGATGTCATCTCGGAACCTCCAGGAGACATCTTCAGAGGGGCCAGAATGAAAGTTTTTAATACGTCTTTTCTGTACGTTGTCATGATATCATCCGAACCTCCAGGAGACGTCTTAACCTACTGCGCAATGTGAAGTCGAAATGACGCGTATTTTACGTAATTTTTCGACGTCTAGATCAGGTCTCCTGAAGGTGCAGGATAAAAGTTTTTTTTACGTCTTTTTAGACATCATATTGACGTCCAATTCTGACATCTTGCAGACCTCCAAATCGGACGTTGACATGACGTGCAATTTTGTTCAAAATTGGCCGTCAAATCAGGTCCTCTGGAGGTGCAGAATGAAAGTTCATTTTACGCCATCCACGTCCATTCATCTTCTATATCACTTATCCCTTTCGAGGTTGTGGTTGGGCTGGAGTCCGTCCCAGCTGTCATTGGGCGAGAGGTATGGGTACACCCTGAATCGGTTGCCAGTCTATTGCAGGGCCACATAAAGAGACAGACAATCATTCACACCCACACTCATACCTAAGGACAATTTAGAATCGCCAATTAACCTAATGAGCATGTTTTGGATCTGTGGGAGGAAGCCAGAGTGCCCGGAGAGAACTTTCGCATGCACAGAAAGAACATGCACACTCCACACATAAAGGCCCTGCCCAACCAGGGGTTCGAACTGGTGACCTTCTTGCTGTGAGGCACATGCACGACCTGCTGCGCCACTGTGCACCCTGGCCATGTAGATGTTTAGCTTTTTGTTGTGTTTCAATAACCTTTACCTTTTACCTTTCATCAAGGTGGGTTCCAACCTGAAAAGATATAGTTATGCATACAATCACAACTTAAGCCTTCTTTCATTTTTCTATCTCTTTAATTAACTTAAAAAATAAACTGGAAAAAAGTGGAATAAAAAATGGCCAAGTCCAATATTGAATCACTTCTGCAATTATAACTTTGAAACTGTACAACAACTACAACCACCTCATTCAAATACTTGGTAATAATTCTGGACAATAATCTCACCGAGGTGCATACCTCGAACATTCAAAACTGTCAGCCCTCTGCAAACTTAAAGGACGTTACGTTGCACCCCACCTCCTGCTACTACTTTATCAATGTATCATCCAGCCAATCCTCCTGTAGTGCTCCACATGTCTTCACCATGATTTCTGTCTCCAACCGGGCCAAACTCGCAAGTATCACAAACCCAGCTGTTGAAATCATTGGTCTCCCCTAAGTCGTTCTATCTTGTGTGCCAGTCGGGTGATTAAGACTTCACTCACCCACTGCATCAATATCTTGTCCCACTTCCCTCATGGTGCAGATACAGAAGTATGAAGTTTAAAAGGGCTCGACTGGGGAAAAGCCTGATCCTCTTAGCAATAGCCGCCCTGAACAGCAGGCCCCGCCGATCGGAGTATACTACCGTTGTGTCCTCTTCATATGTAGTAAATGTTGTCTGTCCTGTGATGTGAAATGTCTGTCCTTTGTGTATGCAGTCAGTGAAGACGAATATCCCCTAAGGGGACCAATAAATCAAAATCTAAATATGTCTTAATTTCATTTTTTTAGAAGTATAACAAAACCAATATGATAGTCATTAAACATTTTATTTGTTGTCAACTCCATTAACCACACTCATCCAAATATGATTTTGACATCTGAAACATGTCTATTTAAATCTTGGACCTATTTTGCACGTTGCTTCAATGTCTAGATTCAGTGGAGGACATTAGGTCCAGTTTTTGTGATACTGTGAACATCAGTTTAACATCTAAAAGAGGTCCAATAATGACGTCTAATCTTTGATCTATCTTGCATGTTGCTTTAACATCTAGATTTGGTCCTTGACAGACATCCAAAAATGTGAACGTCAGTTTAACGTCTAGAAAGGGTACAATAACAATGTCTAAATCTTGGATCCATTTTGCACATTGCGCCGACGTCTAGATTTGGCTCTAACCTCTTGTCTCAATGTCATTAATCGTGTAACGCTGGAGTTACATAGACGTTCAGATTGTGGCCTGTCTCGACGTCTATCCTTGACTAGTTCTGGTTGTCTGTAGATATCCAGAATTGGGCCAGGCTGAACAACATCACTCAATGTCATGTTTCAACTTAATATGAATGTGATATAAGCGTCCAAATTATGGTCCATCTCAACATCTATTCTTGACTAGTTCTGGCTGTCTGTAGAAGCCAGAATTGGACAAAGCTGAACAACATCACTTCATGTCATGTTTCAACTACAGTATATATGGACGTTATATGGCATACATTCTGAACAGACCAACGTGATATCTACTTCTTTTGGATGTCAATGGACGCTCAGTGGGACCTGTTTGGTTGTTCCCCTTTATGAACCCTTTACCTTTTTGGTTGATCCTCCATATTGAATTTTTACCTGTTTGTTAATTCCTCTAGTTTAATTTTTTACCTTTATGGTTGTTCCTCTTAAAACTTATTACCTGTTTGGTTGTTCCTCTCAGAACTTTTTACCTGCTCTGTTGTTCCTCTAACAACTTGTTACCCGTTAGGTTATTCCTCTGTAGGAACCTTTTTCTGTTTGGTTGTACCTCTACTTATTTTTTATCTGTTTGGTTGTTCCTTTTAGAAAATTTTACCTGTTCGGTTGTTCCCATGACAACTTTTTACCTATTTGGTTGTTCTTCTTTCAACTTTTTACCTGTCTGATTGAGCCTTTTCACAAAAATGTGCAGCTCAGAGGAATCCACAGAGAAATAAACAATAAAAAAAAGAGAGACTACAGACAAAAAATGATAGTTTTAAGAGATAAAAAGTACATCTGAAAAAAGTGACAAACAGTTTAAATGTTTTAAATTTTAAGATAAAAAAGGAAAGTCATGATCTGACTACACAAAACCAGTCAGCAAACACTGTTTCTGAATAACATCTGTTTTGTGTGTGATTGTGTAGGCACTGACCAGGACTGAGGCCCAGCTCTTGGACCAGTCCAGGGTTGCAGGTGCAGAATCTGTGGCTGAATTTGGTGATGAGCGTCTCCAGGTACTCTCCTCTCTCCTCAGGGGCATGGATGTGTCTGAAGAAATCCCGCAGAGCATTGGGAAGGAACTGGTTACTGAAGTTATGGAGGGTAACCAGCTCATCCAGGACATCCCTCCTGCAAAGGGACATGGAAAAATACAAATAAAACTGTGGGCTTAAAAAAAAACTCAATCTCTAATATCTCTGAACCTTGGTCCTATTTGCTGACCTTTTAGGTCTAGATGGGGAATTTTAATTCCTCCAGCAGATTCTTTCACAGACCCAGAAGAATTTATCCACAAAACTTTCAGCTTTACTTCACAGAACACAGAGGCTGCTTTCTGTCCCTCCATTCAGTTTGATCTACAAACACGGCTGCATGAGACTGGTCTTAGGTGTACAAGGACAGAAATGAACTTGTTGTTTCCTGCTAGTTAGAATGATATTAGCCACAGACTTTCCAGAATTTCCTTTATTTTAAGCAGCTGCAGAAGTGAAGTGGTCATTTTTTTGTGTTTTCTCACCTCTCGTCCAGATAAATCCTCAGCATCTTCCAGTTGAGCCGCCTGGTGTAGAAGATAAACTTGGCCAGCTCGGTGGGATGATTGACCAGGATACCTTTAGACATGAAGTAACTGATACCCTACAAACACACACAAAGAGAGCATCATAAATCCACAAAATAAATCCATCTTAATCCCTCTAATGATCCAGACCATAGACTGTATATAAGATGGACGCCGTCTGTCTCCTCGCCGGGTGAAGCCACTCCGAGAACAGCACCCCCTAGAGCGTGGCTGCAGTACAAGTCATAAACCCCACTTCTGCCAGCAAAGTGAATGGAGCGGCGGACGGCCTTTAGAAATTAATTTCACAGAAAATACACTTTTCTCACCCCCGACTGCGATGTTGACATGTAGTTATTATTAGACTGGTTTGTGTTCAGGTCTTTTTTTCTCTCTGCAGCTCCATTTTAAAAAGTTATAAGGAGTTATAAAAACAGGAAATTGCGTCATTCTCTACACTTTGCACTTGCTGCTTGTGCGTCGCTCTTTTTTGTCCATCGTCAAGACCGATCGGGTTTGCCAGCGGAGAAGAGGATTACATTTTTCCATCGTTTTTCTCTTTTATTGCATTGGAAAAATGAGTTGTTCTGCAGTAAACTGTGTTAACCGACATGTGAAATCAGGAACTTTGCAGTTGTTTCGGTAAGTTATGTTTTTTTTATGAAGTCATCAGCTTGCTAGCTACATAACATTAAACGGTCTGGTTTAATTTAGCTAATGGGGTTTACTTACAGATATCAAGCGGTAAGTTCTGTGCCGCTAATAAGCGTTCTTATTAGAAGTTAAACAATGAGGAAACCCCTTAAAATCCGCCTTCTTTTTATAACAATATTTTACTACGTGACTTTGAATTTGAATTAAAAACCGTACCGATCCCACAGATTCATACTAGCAACCAAATACTACCACAGAGTATCAGGGCATGAAATGAAAACTCGAGGCATGAAGTCATAATGTTAAAGGAATTAATTCGCATTTAAGTCATTCCCCTAATATTGCATCACTTTATGAGAACAAGGCCATGTAAATGAATATAATGAGAGTCATGATGTTATGAGTCGAAGTTTTGGGAATGGATCAACCAGTTTTACTCGGGTATGTTACAACGAGAGCAGCCTGCGCTAAAATCAGGTATGGTTTAATTAAAATGCATCTTTCGGATGCACCGTCCTAGCTTTCTGGCAGAGGATTGACCGCCGGTTCAGTCTCCTCCGTACAGCGGCAGTAGTATTACAGCTTCTGTTGACATAACGATATTTGTCTAAGAAATAGCTCTGAAACTGTCTTTAATGGGACAAAACGTCGAGAAAACGAGACCCTATAAGTGTATAGAAGGACATGCTCAAAAGATTACTTATACAAGTTGCATAACTGTTATTTATTTTATGTTATCAAATAACATACATAAGTCATAAGTATACTTCTGTGGAATGACAATTATCATTTACAGCAGCATGGTAGATCATGTCTTACTTAAGTTTTCAAGATAGATAGATAGATAGATAGATAGATAGATAGCCCTGTTACCTATGAGATTGAGATAAAACTATGAGTAATGTAATTAGTTATGGAAAGACAGCTGCATATGATATACTTAATCAATCACAATGACATTAAAATTTTTGTTACATGCAAAGAAATCCCTCAATTTTGATAGGATGTTCATAAGACATATCACTCACAAGATGAAATGATTTAGATTATTTATACAGTTTGTATATTCATTCACTTGAGGTATTTTTTGTGATTGTCTTTGAATTGAGTTTTGGCTTCAGCCTGTTATGCAACAAAGCAAGAATTAAACTGAACGCAAAACATTAACTTTGTGTTGTTTACAAACTTGACAAATGGCAGTAAGCAATGTTATTGTATTTTTGTAAAGTTTCCCTTTAGGTGACAAAGCGAGGCTGAAGCAGTGGCTGGTGAACACGAGACGGCAGGACTGGAAACCAACAGGATCATCACGTCTTTGCAGTGCTCATTTTGAAGAGCATGCCTTTACTGTGGACTCAAAGGTTAAATTATTTCTTTTTTAATGGACAGCAATTTTTATGAAGTTCACATTTGCAACAATTTATTGTTAAATTGACTAACACTTTGAATCATAAAATGGCGGTTATTTAAACATTCCCAACAGCTGAACACTACAACTATTGTGGTTCCATTTTAAATTACTGCTGTTTTTATGTTTTCTAAAATTAGGTATTTGCATGTAGTTGTAGTGTCTGCTACCATCTACTGGTCATTATTAGTTAGTGTCATCAGTCATTTTCAGTTTAAGTTGGCGCAGCCTGGAGTAAAAAAAACAGGAATCATGTTGCAAAAAAAATTTGAGTGATACCACATGAACAACTTCTTATGCTTAGACCAAATGTGCCCTGTTAGATAAAGGTAACAGCACTAGCCAAGTAGTAGTCTCTAAGAATGCTAACTAAATGAAACCTTTTAAATAATTGGACAAGTATATCAAAACCTCTAAAGTTTTCATGCTGAGCTACCACCTGGTTTGAGACATAAGTGTCTTAATGAATTTAAGTACTGGTATTCACAATTTAATTGATGAATTTCTTTGTGTTTTTCAGACTTCATCACCAACCACTGATGATATGGTGGATTCATCTGCTGCAGCCTGTTTCCTTTCCACCCAATGCAACTCCCAAAGTACTAGATTATATCTTTTTAAGTTCCTGGTAAAATAACAAACATACAGGTTTTCTGCAAAGGAGTTAAGTATTTATAAATCACAAATAAATACTAAAATGCTAGTGTCCTCTCACAAGTGTCCATGTCATGCTATCTGATTTACATTAATTACATGCTGTTCACTACACATATTGTCAGTTTGTTTTTTCAGTTTTACCACACTTTGTCCACTTCATGGTGAGGACTCGCACACAGAAAGATGGAAAAGACAAATGTCTTGAAAAGTTGGATCCCTTTTATTGCTAGGAATAAAATGGATCCAACTTTTTTTGACATTTGTCTTTTCCATCTTTCTGTGTGTGAGTCTTTTACAGCCTTTTTGAATTGTCTTATCTGACCATTACACCAGAAGCAAGAATACTAGGACTGATGTTAGGCTCTTTTCTTGTTAATCACTTGATGATGAGTACATAAGAAATGCATTGACTTTGTTGTGGTATGTTTTTTTCTTTTGATAGCTTTACATGAAAAATAAAATTTTGAGACAAATACTCTGGAATAATAAAGCATATACTGTGTTTTTTCATCTGTGCTGTAAATCAGAAAACTTTATCATGGTACAACAAATCACAGAAAAGCATGTGAAGTTTCAACATTAATTTAATTTTTCTAACAATAAAAAACATCCCCAGCTATATTCGTCGTGGGGAAAACGCCTTGAGGAAGACCATCGGGTGGAATGGCTGGGGTACGGCAGAAAGTTTGTAGGACAGAGCGAGAGAGAGAAGGAGGAAGAAGAGCTGTGACAGAATTGAACAGTGTGATGGTTACCTTTGTAAAGCAAACTTCACAAAATTGTGCTCGAGTAAACAATTAAACAAAATGTGCACATCAATCACAAATAAAGCAGATAAATCCTGACCATTTTTTGCTGCCTATTGTAGGTGAAATCCCAAATCTAGCACCACCCTACTAGATTTGGTCTTTCAAACACAAGGCACTATTATTTAAAAAAATGTCATTACCCAAAGTGGTGAAATGAACTCCATCGTTTAAAAAAAGGCCAGGATCTCTGTGCTTTATTTGAGGATGATGCACAATGCTTCCGCCAACAGATGAAACAAAAGTAGCCATCACACTGTTCACATAGCGCCTGGCTTTGTCCATTTTCTTGGGGCTGTATCTCCATCGGCTCCTCTGAGTGATGGCAGAGAAGATGATCCTCACGGTGGGGAACTGCCGATGGAGATCCTGGAGGTCCTGCTGTTTGATTTCTGTAAATGTATTGAACAATAAAAGAAAAAAAAAAGTCGTTTTCCTACAAAACCTTGCATGGCTTGTGATTCAGCATGATTCCACATCATGCTGAATCACAAGCTGTTTAATATTTTTTACAGTAGATATAATTTGGAATTGAAAACTTGAGCTTGCTCTTGTTACATCACAAAAAAAATATTTATAACATTACCTAATAAAAGTCTGACTAAAATCATATCCAACTAAATCAGCATCCATCTCAATGAATTTTTATCCTTACTTCTGGTCACAGTGGCTGATGTTGTGCTCATCTTTGAAGCTTCTTTTCTCTTTGTCTAAAAAAAGGAGAACAACATAAATATTTGCTGTTCATTCAGAATTTTGTTCATTTTTAATCACAGTACAATAGCATATATCTTAACAACTGATAAACTAAAAATATCACGTATTTTGCTGTTTAATTTACCAAGGCTAGTGTTAAATTGCAATGCTACTTTAGCTTACATTTACACCGTTTCTTTCAACAAAGAGAGATGACTTACTTCCAATCAAGTAATAGATATCTTTATTCGTATTAGTTATGATGGTATTTTATGTTCTTAACAGTTAGTACGCTCACAAATTTCACATTATATCAGGAGAAGTGGAACTTACTTATTCTTGGTCGCGACGAGCGGGGAAGCTATTAGCGATACCGATGTAAGGCTGGAAGGACATCCGGGGGGGGGCACTTTTTGAGCGGAACGTCATCGCGCCGAGTCTCCCGTCCAGCCAAAAACGTCTGCGTACAACGCTACTGCGCAGCTCTGGTTGCAAGGAACCCGGAATTACCGAGAGCTTTTTGGCTTCAAATCCGTATACAGGCGGAAGGCGGAACCACGGCGTCCATCTTATATACAGTCTATGATCCAGACACACAAACTTTTCTTTTTCATTGAAACACTAGACACTAAAAGCAGCGGCATCAAACACATGACTGTTAACTGACATCATTGTTTCAGACAATTTCACACAATAACACATTGTGTGTGTTACCTCCTGTGTGTTGGCATTAAATGTCAGGCTGCCCTCGTCCAGCTGCAGGTAAAGTCTCCGGTACGAGAAACCAGCTGGTAGTCTCCTGTTGTATATGGAGCAGTGACCCCATGTGGACTTACACAGCCTATTGGAGACACGCACGCAGGCACGCAGGCACGCACCCACACATTTGATTTAAGAAGAAAAAAAAAGAAAAGAAATCATTAAAATTCAACTATACATGTGCCAAAGAAACAGACAAAGAGGACACTTTACTGAAACAACAAAGTTGTCAAAAACAAGAGAGAAATTTATATTTTTAAAGATTTGTTTATTTGGGAAACAAAATTTACTTTACAAGCAAATTAATTCTCAATATAAACATTTTGTGATGTGTTTTAAACAGATATAAAATATACAACAATAATAATAATATTATCTGAACAATCAGATAAATCTAGACGTAAATAGATTTAGTAAGTGTACTTCAATATATCCACATATCAACCAGATAATTGTATATAGATGTAGTACTAGTATAATACAGCTGTACGAAAACCAGTACTATTGACAAGATCATCAATAATTGTAGTAAGAGTTACAATATTTGTACACATGCAAAGTAATGATTTGGAAATAAATAAATAAAATACAAAGGAAAATAGTTATATCAAGAGCACATAAATACAGTGTTTATTCACTTGTAATATATCTAATTGTAGCAATATCTGAATTAACCAAACGAACAAAACAAAACAAAACAAAAAAAAAAAAAGCAAAACAAAAAGAACATGGGAACAACCCGACCCCAACCTTCTCCCCAGTATGGCTCTCTATTTTCTTTCATTTATCTTCATGAATTTGTGTCCACACACATTGGCCCTCATTTATCAAGCTTGCGTACGGCAGAAAACTTGTGTACACCTTGCATACAACAATTTTGACGTGAGGATCGGCATTTATCAATCTGCACGTGAACGTACGCTACGACCAAATCTCAAATCTCACGACAGGTCTGACGTTGTGTATGCAAGTTTGAGTCAGTGTGGATCTGTGGTGCAGCAAATGTCTGTCTCAAAATAATTGATATACATACCTCAAACCTGTCATTAAGCACAATCAGACAGATTTCATTAAAGATTAAGATGTAAATAAAATAAAATAAGTTTGTTATGTCCTTAGTGAATAAGCCTATTTGATAACTCTGCCCAGAAACACTGCCACAGAGCTGGAGCGCCGTTTCAACATTACGCACACGCGCCACTGTGGAGCGCTGCGTTTGACTCCTAAAAGGCAGGTGTCTCTGTCTTGGCCCAGCAGCGGGGATGTTGTTGTCCACTGCAGAAAGGGTGTGGGACATTATTTGAGCCGGTACAGTTTTGCACAATGTTGCACTGGAGAATGGAGTGCCGTTGGCTGTGCCGATGCAATGTGAGGACCCGATGCCCGGAGAGCAATAACAAGGAGAGACTCCACAAAGGTGCTGTACAGAGGAGACAGGACCTTATCGATGGATTCTGACATGTAAAGTATAAGTTTAGAAAGTGCTCTTGCTATTTATTCAGTGATAAAAATCCAATAGAAATCCAAAAAAATGTGCCTCAGGGGCAGCAACACACCGTTTGATGACATTAATAATTATTTTTGTTCAGCCTCTGTCAGACTCTCCAGTCTGCTCTACATTACAAAGACGCAACAAATTAAAGCTGCATACTTTTAATAATAGGAGCAACGTACCCTATGTCAGGGCAATAAAAAAATATGAGGCATGTATGAGATATTAATTTATCAACATGAGCAACTTATTGACTAATGCTTTATTCAAACTTCAGCCACTGTTCACTATTCTGTGGCAGCGCTGTTCAGCGCCACCATAATCCTGCTCCAAACAGGAGTTTTCTGGACTGCTTTTATACCAGTTTTGATGCTTACAAAGAGAAAATCCTTGTTAGTTTCCACCACAGATATGAGGATATCCACATTCAGCTCGAAAAAGTTTCGCATCTTTCTAATATTTCTCCTCTTTCATGTTTGACCTCAGTGGGCGAGGCCTCTGAACCACGAATATTTAAGGGCGTAAACATGTTAATGACGATAGATTTCAGCCACCACATTTATTAAGACCCATTCATACGTACGCTGGGATTGGTCAGATATGAACCCTTTTATAAATCTCACGTGTGTCCTATCATACGATGAATCCTGCACTCAGATCTGCGCTCAGATCTGCGCAAGATTGGTAAATGAGGGCCACTCAGCTTTGACCTGATCAAGGTAGTTAGCTTTAAGTTGGCCTAGGAGGAGTTGCACTTGATGTCAGGATATGAAATTTTTAGAACGATATGATACAATACAATATTGCAATTTGCATCACAATTTATCACTACATATCCCAACACAATAGTAATAACGGAAATCTAATACCCTTCTACTAAACTGTATAAACACTGATTAAAAAAAACAAACAAACATAAACAAGTCTTTTGAAGAAAATACTTTAAACATAACCCAAACAGTATTTTTTAACATTTCCTTTCAGAAGAGGTTGTTGTGCGACACAGTGTCAGCGCTGTTTCGCCTGAGGAAAGAGGATCATGGTATCTCATGTCTAAGGACCACCACATCACCACTTTGGAAAATCTCAGTGAACTCCTTTCACCCCTTAATGACTACACAGATGCCCTTGCCACAGAGAAAGAGTTACAATGTCAGCTGTTAAACCAATCCTGGAGCATATCACCAACGTGATCCTTCTCCAAAGTGAAGATGATTCAGCTGATACCACAACAATGGAGCAGGCAATGAGACATGATTTGGAGGGCCGGTATTCAGAGCACACAGAGAGAGATTCATGGACATGTGTTGTTTCCTGGATCCAAGATTCAAAGATAGCTTCTCTTCCAATGTTGAGGACACCAAGCAGGCCTGCATTGATGAGGTCATCAAGCTGCTACCCCCAACTGCTGCACTTTTAGAACCACAAGACAGCTATCCTCCACTACGTCCTACAGTACCTTGTATGTACCGCCTTGTATCTTTGCTATTTATTTTTATTTTTCTGAAGCATTCTATATGACTTCTATGTATGTAAACATACTGTATATATGAATGTTGCTTATTTTGTTTGCCACAGCAGCACCATCAGGAGAAGCTTGTCCACAGGCAGCAGCAACACGAAGCTCGGCAAATGATGAGGGGGGGTCATAAGAAAACACTTGCTGGGATCCTGAGGTACATTAAAACAACAAGAGCAAGACAGGATGACAACAGCAGTGAGAAGGTACCCTTGACACCAGAGCAGAAGCTGGGGAGTGAAATCACCCTGTACATGTCCATGTCATCTATTGATGAGGCTACTGATCCCCTGAAGTGGTGAAAATCAAACAATCAGCAGCTTCTGGTCCTTGCCAATGCAGTCAAGAAATTCTACTGTATCCCTGCCACAAGTATACCATCTGAGAGGGCATTCAGTACAAGTGTAAACATTTTCTCTCCCCATAGGAGCCGACTCACAGTGGAGAATGTCAACAGGAATCTTTTCACCATTTCATAGGTGGAGCCCCACCTAGCTTTGTGAAAAGGCTTCCACCAGCTGCCTGCATACTCTGATGGCTGTCTGCACCTTCAGTATCCTCAACGCCTTGGAGATGGCCAGATTGAGATTGTGGCCTACACAGCCGAACCACAACCAAGGATGTTTGCCCTAATGAAATGTCTTCCGCATGTTCGAAGCATTATCTGTTGTGAAGCAGAAAATCTTCTCTTGTGGCATTCCCCAAGCCTGGAGAATACTCCATGTCATCTCTGTTATGTGGTTGTGTGTGTGGTCTTCAGGGGAAAACTACGTCTCCAAGCAGTGAGACATCAGCTTCCACTCATGGCAGATGTAGTGGACGGTTAAACCAATGTCACAGCCACTTGTCCACAAGTCTGTGGTCACTGAAAACCACTATCCCTCAGATACTTTCCTCTCCACATTTACATGCACTTGATTGTACATTTAGGAATCTTTGTGTCGGCAAAGTAATTCCGAGTTGTTAATTTGTAGCGTGGGACTGTCATCTTCATCAAAAGCTTGAATCCAGGCTTTTCAACAACTTGGTCGGGCATCATGTCCTTGGCAAAAAAAAATGCCAAGGCTTGATTGATTGCCCTAGCCTCCCTTGATTGAGGATCATATTTTGCTTCCTTGACCAGGACATCTTTTATGTTAGGCTAACTTGTTGTTGATGATGATGCACTTGAGGAACTTGGTTTCTCCTCCTGATAGGAGAATAAAACAGCTAAATTGCAGGCTAGATTTTAGCAGAACAATTTCAATTGCATATACTTTGGTTATGTAACCTAATTTGTGGTATGTTCTTGTCTGTGACTAAAATAAAATGTATTTTTAGATTAATTGATAATATTGTTATAACTTCTCATGTATCTGTTTTATTAGCCCATCAAATCTATTTAAATTTTTAGATTTTAACACTTCAAGCAAATGATAGTCTAAATTCTAATGACTGGCATATTGAACTCATTAAAACCTGTTTTTTATTAAACTCACTGTATTCACTACTAAAGAGGACATGAAACACTGACCCAAGTTATCATTATTTTTAAGAATGCCTCTCGACTTCACAAATCACTATATTCATTACTCTCAAAATGTAATACAATTCCTGAAAACTGTGACAGAAGTTCCACTTTAGCGACACTGTGGGGAACCGTAAAGCAGTGCCACTTCGCGTGACATCACGGGTTGTGTAGCCCATGTATTGACTGAATTAAGATTGATTGAATGAGAGCAGATTAGGATGGCTGAAATTGCGAATCGAGAGCCAAAGACAAGTAAACTCACTAGAGGAGGGGTATTCTGTTTTGCGCCATGCTGCTCCAACCAATTTTACAACGTAAGAAATAAAAAACGGTTGCATTTTCATCATTTGCCGCTGAAACGGCCGGTGATTCGTCAACGCTGGCTAGCAGCTATGAAGCGTCAGGATCCTCCAGTTAGCATACGCACTAGAGCAGGGGTCCTTACTCACACATGCAGCAGCAACAGCGATCAGATGTACACATCGGTATTAAGTGTAATAATAATACAGACTGGACTAGAAATCCAACACCAACGCTGTCTACAAGAAGGGGATGAGCAGACTCTACTTCCTGAGGAAGCTGAGATCCTTCAATATGTGCAGCAAGATTTTGGAGATGTTCCACCAGTCTATGGTGGCCAGCGTACTTTTCTTTGCCGTGGTTTGTTGGGGGAGCAGCATCGGAGGCAGTGACACCAACAGACTCAACAAATTGATCAGGAAGGCTGGCTCCGAGATTGGCTGCAAACAGGACACTGTGGAGGCTGTGGTGGAGAGGAGGACACTGAACAAACTATCCATCATGGATAACCCTGACCACCCTCTCAACCTCACTCTGGACAGACAGTGGAGCTCCTTCTCCAACAGACTGTTGCAGCTCCGCTGTCGAAGGGACAGATACAGGAAATCTTTCATGCCACAAGCTATTGCACTATTTAATCACTCACATCTGTCAGACAGGGACTCACACCTGTCTGCTGTATAGAACATTTTTAAAACTCCTACTACATCACATTACAGAGCACCTTAATTTGTCTGTTTATTTATCATCCCATCTGTATATTTCACATTCCATATTTATTACTCATTTCATATTTATTACTCATTTCAATAGCCCACGTTCTTCATATCTCACTTTTTTCTCTTAGGTTGTTTAGTATATTTAGTCCGTATTTATTGTATATACTTAGTATTTTTAGTCTGTATTGTACTTACTTCTTCTTATATTTAAGTTTATTTTGTATGTTTTTGCTGCTGTAACGTGAATTTCCCAGTTTGGGATCAATAAAATCTATCTATCTATCTATCTATCTATCTATCTATCTATCTATCTATCTATCCATCCATCCATCCATCCATCCATCCATCCATCCATCCATCCATCTATCTATCTATCTATCTAATGAACTTCATCACCAGAGTCTCCACTGTTTAACGGAGATCTGACATCCTGGTCTTCTTACACCAGGACATGGACCGCGTCTCGTGGTCTGGACTTGGGAACAAGTCCAGTGAGCACAGTACTGTACAGTACAGTACAGTACTGTCAGTACAGCACTGAATCTTGCCACATCCAGAAATACTCAGATGACACCGCTATTGTGGCATGTTCAGACATGGACAAGAAGCTGAATACAGAGCTCTGATTAGAGCCTTCAGTGACTGGAGTCACAAAAACTGCCTCCTCCTCAACACTTCAAAGACAAAGGAGATGGTCATAGACTTCTGTAGATCCAAACCCCCTCTTCAGCCAGTGAACACCTGTGGAGTGGACCCATGTCCACCTAGGTATTTATATGATGGCACCACTTCGATAAGTCTCCAAGGTGCCATCATATAAATACCTAGGTGTACATCTGGATAATAAGTTAGATTGGTCTAAGAATATAGACCTTATCTACAGAAAGGGGCAGAGCCGCCTCTTTTGCCTGAGAAGACTCCGATCAATAGACATCGGTAGTAAGATGCTGCAGATGTTTTATCAGTCTGTGGTGGCAAGTGTTCTGTTCTACGCTGCAGTCTGCTGGGGAGGAAGCATCAAACACAAAGATGCAAGACGTCTTAACGAACTGGTAAAAAAGGCTGGCTCTGTGGTAGGACTCAAGCTGGACTCAGTGGAGGATGTGTTGGAGAGATCTACACTGAGGAAGGTGGAGACTATTCTAAAGAACATGGATCCCCCACTTCACAACACCTTCATGGACAAAAGGGCCAATGGTGGTGGACGGCTCCTCTCTCTTCACTGCAGGACAGAGAGATTCAGAAGATCTTTTGTACCAACAGCCATTAGACATTATAACTCTTATGTAAATAATAGATAACTTTTACAGACATATGTGAGACAACAGACAATTGAATTTCCCTTCAGGGATCAATAAAGTTATTCTTATTCTTATTCTTCTGATGCTCCTGCTGTCGGTCTCTATCAGGACACCTGAAGCTAAAGCGAGCCAAAACTTTTTTTCACACAATACAAATGGATGAAACGCACTGACCGCGAGAAACGGGATGTGAATAATATCTGTGGATTATTAAACTGCTGGAGCTGGAAGACTAATAATGCTAACTGGTTTAGACTCCAGAGTGAAGGTAAGAAATATTTCCTGAAGGTTTGATAAATTATGTCTCTGCTCGGATGTGACAGCTTACCGCTGACCAATTGAGTCACGTACACTAATTACTATTTCACTGCTCTGTTCCTGCACAACCCGTGACATCACAACTGTCGTAAACTCAAGATGGCGCTGAGCGCATGTCGTAAATACACTCTTGAAAGCGATTTTTCTATTAAACAGCTGATTTTTTACACAAAAAAATATTTCAGACTCTCTCCTAATTGATTTTTTTACCACATGAGGATGCCAATGTGGTGTGTTTCATGTCCTCTTTAATTTAAATTTCCATGTTTTTCCAGCCTCCTCACCCCTCCCTCTGTTCCTACCTCTATCATACTCTAACATGCACGCAGCAACACAACATGAAGTGCTGTGGAAAACTAGAAAAATTGCATTTCCTTGCAGAAAATGCGTGGAAATGCTGAGTGCTGAATGCCAAAAAGCAATGCTAAACTGCCAATAAAAAATGGAGGAAGTTATGAATGGAAAAATTGTTAAAAAGGTGGAGTAGAAGAGGAAGAAATTGTATGAATGGAAGAATTGTAGTATAGCTGAAGGTAAATTAGTTGGATTAATGTACAAATTGTCTAATAGCCTAAGTGAAAAATGTATATGACTTATGTGAATAAACAGAACTGATGATAAGAATAATTGAATTTGAAAAATAAATGCCTTAAAATAATGTGTAACAATGTTCCCATTAAATGTACAAATAGTAAAACAGATTTCTGCAGTCTGCAGCATCCAACCATAGTAACTTGAGAATGCAGAACAGCACCATCTATTGCCGTGCTTCAGTTACTGCCCTACATACGAATGCAGAAAGTATGAAACAGCTGAAGTTAAAGTAATTGTAGAAATGTAGAAAGTAAAGAAAAGCAGAAGTAGAAGAATAAGAAGTAGTTAGTATGTTAAAAGAGTTAAAGACAAGAACTGTAACAACAAAGTAAATATTGTGGGAATATTTTCTACTGACAGAAAGACAGTAATGCACACATATGGAAAGAGTGCGTGCGCGTGCGCGGCCAAGCCCGTGCGTGTGATCAAAGCACACAGCCCATGAGAAGTGCTGATATCGTGAAAGCAGTGAGAAACCGTCTGAACTTTTCCCCCTAGTGCAATTTCCGTAAGTCATATCCCAAAAATAAGATGATCTTAGGAGTCCTGACACTCTCATGAGCACAATGGTGTATTTTTATGTCCACAGGCTAAAAAATGTGGCCACAACAGCGAGTTTAAAAAATGGCTTCACTGTAGTGATTGTCAGGGTTTCTTGGCCAAAATTTAGCAGACAAGTTGCTTGACATTTTAAAGCAAAAATAAGGTCTATAGGTGAAAGTACGCAGAAGTTATAAGGGTGAGAAGGTGTTATGGCTGTAAGCGGAATGGAGAGATTTCTCCATTCATTTCTAATGGTACAAATTTTGCAGAAAAAGTGAAATATTGCAAAAAGTATAAATGGTCGAAAGGTGAAAAGTAATAGCAATAATGTCCTGAAGGAGTGCATTAGTATAAAGCTTGAATGGTTAAAATAGCACAAAGTGGGATGGAGTTGAAAGGGGCCAAAAAAGGTACATAATAATAATAATAATAATAATAATAATAATAATAATAATAACAATAATAAAGAAATGGGAGAATAACAATAAGTGGAAATGCTTAATTATCCAGCAAAGATAAATGAAACAAAGTGGACCATAACCAGCCTATATTTCAATAAAATTTCTAATAAGCTTTTCACATACATGTTTTTCTCTTCAATGTGATTCATTTGACATTTGCAACAGTGATTTAAAAATGTATTGATGTCGTTTGAAGACTACGCATTTAAATTGCTGTGGGGAAGTTCGTTTGTCGTTTGATATTTGACAGACATTCGCTCTGGCCAGTGAAACTCCTTGCAGCGTGTCTCCGAGCCAGCTGCTCTAAAACATTTCAAGGGCACCTGTACTGCAGACTTTACAGTAAATGCGCTAATAATTAAGCAGAAGCCAACTACGCGTGTATCAACTTACTGTTTGCATTATAAAAGTGGGAGATTTTTTAAGCACAGACGTTGTATTCTGAAACAGGATTTTACTCAATAGCCACATCACATGATTAAAGACATATTCAGTATGCAATGCTTTGATCCCACATGATTTTGGTTTCCATGGAGCACACCCCCTGGAAGCTATTGAGCTAAAACACTTATTTCTATGTGAAAAGAAAACATGTAAAGTGCAATGCAGAAGGGGTGTATTTCATGCAAACAGTGGAATGCTATCATCCCACACTGATTTTGAGTCCATAGACCACACCCCCTGGAAGCTATTGAGCTAAAATGCTTATTTCTATGTGAAAAGAAAACATGTAAAGTGCAGTGCAAAAGGGGTGTATTTCATGCAACCAGTGGAATGCTACGATCCAACACTGATTTTGAGTCCATAGACCACACCCCCTGGAAGCTATTGAGCTAAAATGCTAATTATAATTTTTAAAAAAGATCACAGAAATTAGGGACTAAATTTTAGTGTAATTCCAAAAGGCATATCTTATGCAGCCAGTTTTGTACTTGGATCCCACACTGATATCGAGTACATTGACGACACCCCCTAGAAGCTATTGAGCTAAATGCTTATCATGATGTGAAAAAAATCAGCAAATTTAGGGACCAAATTTTAGTGTAATTCCAAGAGGCATATCTCATTCAGCTAGTTTTGTACTTGGATCCCACACTGAAATTGAGTCCATTGACCACACCGCCTGAAGGCTATTGAGCTTAAATGCTATTTTTTAATGTGAAAAAATTCACCAAAATACGGGACTGAGTTTAAATGCGAAACCAAGAGGTGTTTCTCATGTGGCCAATGGTGTACTTGGGTCCCACACTGTATTTGAGTCAATTGACCTCACCCCCTAGAAGCTATTGAGCTAAAATTCTAATTATTGTACCAAAAAGAAAAGAAAAAAAAACAAACAAAAAAAAGCAAAAATCAGATTGTAATACTTCACTCTCACCTTTCTATCCGCAGTGTTTTTCCTCACCCAAACCCAAGGCCTCACCCGGTTCATCGAGCTTCCACCTCTCCCCGGAGACGCGGCCAGCTGTCAACTTCTGAACTCCACTCCACTTCAACCGGAGCCCTGGAAGGCTGCAGGGAGGGACAGGCGCTGGACAGCGCGCCCGTCTCTTCTTCGTTCTCCATCATCACAGGATGTCCCATTGGCCAACAGGTTCGAGATCTTGGACATGCAGGATTTTCCTCCACTGGGAGAACAACCGGGAAATCAGGTCCCAACATCCTCATCATCCTCTCGACGCTGGCTGTTGAGGGAGGCAGTGTCCAGAAGAGGCTCTGCCGGACCTGTTTCCCCTGTCAAGGCTGGGGAAACACTTGAAGGGCTCTATTTTCGTGCCTCGCCGGTGACGTGCCGCAGGCGCGGCGTAAGTCACATCCGCCGCGCCAACAAGGCGTTCCCAAGCACAATTTGGTATTATTTTATAATATTCGTATGTAGGCTTAAAGAAAATAACTCATCTGATCACTGAAACAAATCATCTGTTCAGCCACCGCAGCAGCAGCTGCAGCAGGACGGGAGAGGACACGGAGGCATGTACAGGTCGCGCTGCTCGAGGAATAAGAGGAAGAGGAAGAAAGAAAGGGAGGGAGACGAATTACATATCTTGTTAACTTCATTATGTGTGTCTATTTACTAGATATTTAATTTAATTTAATGCGGTTTCAGCTGTGTTGATTCAGTCAGGTTGTGTGTCCAAACGTGTGCCAAACGCGCTCATCAGATCAGATATAGATCAGAATATATCTATATAGATCTAAATGTATGTGCTGAGTCAGATTATTAGTTGTTGATGAATATTTATTGCACTGAAATGTGCCTGACGTTGTGGAAACCTGCCGGTGAGGCACCGCCAGACGAAAATACAACTGTGCGGGGTCCGCCACCCTCCGCCGCCTCACCGGCGTACACGAAAATAGAGCCCATAGAGTCCGCCGGGGGACCCCCACTGCAGCCCTCGCCGGCTGCAGCGGCACATCCACCGTTGGCGCCCAATAAGGAGCCCTCCATGACACCGCCTCCGTCCACAATAGTAACCCGAGATTCTATTATGAGGAATATATCTTCAAAGATGGCTGTAACTTTCTCTTTTCCGGGAGCTAAAGTTTTAGACAAAGTCCGGGTCATCCCTGGCTTGCTTGCAGACCACCCATCTGTGAAGAAGGTGGTTGTTCATGTTGGCACAAATGACACAGGCCAGCAACAATCCGAAGTCACAAAAAGGGATTTTACTGAGCTCTTTGAACTGCTGCAGGCCAGTGGAAGAATTGTATTCATTTCTGGCCTAATTCCTACGCTGGGTTGGGGAGTGGGGTGCTTTTAGTAGTCTCCTGAGCCTGCATGACTGGCTGCAAACTCAGTGCAGAGTGCTAAATTTTATATTTATTCCTAACTTTGACTTATTCTGGCTACGCTCTGCTTTCTTTAGAAGAGATGGGTTGCACCCAAACAATTTAGGTTCACGGATGCTAACATCAAACATATTCTACCACACTCTGTCCACACAAGCATGACTCTTGAAAGGGTACCTCTGTGTTCACTCACTCCTCACTGGCCCCAGCAAAGTCATGTCCAACATTTCACATTCCGACCGTCATCAGCAGAGAGCGGCGTATGCAGAAAATTACTCATAATCCTACCACTAACTACAATAATCTCAGATCCCTTCTAAAAGCCCACTCACCACAACACCTTGTTAACCAGCCGCCACTTACCATCAAAATGGCCCTTTTAAACGTCTGCTCTCTGCTGAACAAGTCTTTTATTGTCAATGACCTGATTTTAGATCACAAACTGGACTGTTTTTAACGGAAACATGGCTGGGTGCCGATGCACCAGTTGTTCTCACTGAGGCCTCCCCACCTAATTTTAACTTTGCATTTTCTGTTAGGTGTGGTAGAAGAGGAGGTGGCACAGCAGCTTTAACATCAAACACCCTGGCCACCAAACCTGTTTTATTTGATAAACATACCACTTTTGAGTACAGTGCAATTGTTTTTAGCAGTCCTTCTATCCTGTGTGTCACAGTATACAGACCCCCCAAGAAATGCACTGCTTTTATCTGGGAATTTGCTGAACTTTTATCAATTTTACACAATTCCTACAGCATGATTGTTTTAACTGATTTTAACTTACACATAGATAACTCCTCTGATCCGATTTCCAGAGTTTTTAAATGTTCTGAACTATATGGATTTTATTCAACATGTCACACAGCCAACTCACAATAGAGGACACACGCTGGAATTGGTCATCACCTACGGCCTGTCCACCAGTGTGTCCTCTGTTGTAGACTTGGCTGTCTCTGACCACTACTGTATATTTTTTAACGTCACCAGTTTTATCCAGCGGGAGACCTCTGTGAGAACTGTGAGGAAGCGCCATCTGACCCCTGAAGTGGCTGCAAATTTTATTGATGTTTTAGATAAAAGTCCTCCAATTGTTTTACCTTCCCCCTGTGATTTTATTGTAGACAATTTTAACAGAAGGCTACAGACATCCCTTGAACTGGTTGCTGCACTGCAAACAAAAAATATCCAACCCAAATCCGTACCTCCATGGAGAAATGAGCAGCTTAAAAAAGTTGAAAAGGCAGTGCAGGGTGGCAGAGCGCAGATGGAGAAAAAAACAAAACAACAAATCATCAATTATTCAATAATCAACAAAGAATCTACAACAATGCCATAAGAACTGCAAGAAACAATTACTTCTCGAAAATAATCACAAACCACAAAAATAACCCCAAAGTTCTCTTTTTAACAATTGATAGCATTCTAAACCCTGGTTTTACTAAACGTCATTTTAATCCCACTGACGCCCTCTGTGGGGAATTTGCAGACCACTTCATGGGGAAGATAGACACAATCAGATGCAACATTTTATCATGTCAAACTACTCCTTTTAACGCATCTGAGTGTTTGTCTTTACCTGAGGAAACACTGGACAGTTTTGTTCTGGTTAATGCTGAGATGCTGGATAAGGTTTTCTCCTCAGTGAGGACCCACCACATGTCTTTTAGACCCTGTCCCCACCTCATTCTTAAGTTATCTTATGATTCTTTTAGAAACAAGCTTTTAAATATGATGAATTGCTCTCTTCAGACAGGGGCATTTCCCGCTGCCTTTAAAGCAGCAGTGGTGAGGCACCTGCTGAAGAAGAACAATTTGGATTTTAACGATTTGAACAATTACAGGCCAGTGTCTAACTTACCATTTTTACGCAAAATTTTAGAAAAACTTACTTTTATCCAACTTAGAGAATTTTTAGATAATCATAATATTCTTGAAAAGTGTCAGTCTGGTTTTAGGGTGAACCACAGCACCGAGACCGCCTTGGTACTGATTTTAGATGATATTAGATTTAATTATGATGCACAAAAGGTGACAGTGTTGGTTTTGCTGGATCTTAGTGCTGCCTTAGATACAGTAGACCACCTCCTACCTGACAGACAGGACATTCATGGTAAGTGTAGACACGTGCTCCTCCAAAGTCTATAAAATCACATGTGGTGTACCCCAGGGCTCGATTTTAGGCCCTGTGCTTTTTAACCTGTACATGCTCCCTCTTGGCGGTGTCATCAGGAGACATGGAATCAACTTCCACAGCTATGCTGATGATACGCAGCTCTACATCTCTGTATCTCCTGATGACACCAGGCCAATGGATGCTCATTTTAACCGCATTTTAGATATCAAATCCTGGATGGCAGAGAACTTTCTCCAGCTTAACCAGGACAAAACTGGGGTTTTAGTCATCGGTCCTGAGGCCCAGAGAGAGAAACTTTTACCCAAACTACAAGCACTGTCTTTTAATCCATCACCACAAGTGAGAAACCTGGGCGTCATTTTTGACCCTGAGCTGACTTTTAGTCCACACATCAAAAACATAACAAAAATAGTTTTTTATCACCTAAAGAACATCGCCAGAGTCTGCCCCATTCTCTCTCGGGCCAACACGGAGACGCTAATGCATGCTTTTATCACCAGTCGTATAGACTACTGTAATGCCCTGCTTTCTGGTCTTCCCAAAAAGAATATTTCAGGTCTACAATTATTACAAAATTCAGCAGCACGTGTCCTGACTAAGACCAGGAGGCGGGCCTACATTACACTGGTTTTAGAATCACTGCATTGGCTCCCTGTGTGTTTTAGGATTGATTTTAAGGTTCTTTTACTTGTTTTTAAATGTCTTGATGGTCTTGGGCCTTCTAATCTTTCAGAACTGCTTTTACCTTATGAACCTTCATGGATCCTGCGCTCCTCTGGCAACAGGCTCCTAGTCATTCCAAAAGTCAGGACACATACTCATGGCGAGGCCTCTTCTCAATATTATGGCCCTCGTCTATGGAACAGCCTGCCAGAGGACCTCAGGGCCGCAGAAAACATTCACATTTCTAAGAGCAGGTTCAAGACCCACCTTTTTAGCTATGCTTATCTTCATTTATTCTAGTTAGCCTAGGTTAATTTTAGGTCTGTGTTTTATTCATATTTTAGTCTTTACTTGTTTTTATCCTTTTATCATTTTAAGGACCCCCTGTGTTTCCTCTGAGGGAGCCCTCAGCACCAGGAGTGGTGATTGCTTGTGGTTGCAGGGGCCGGCCAAGGGGTTCCTGATGGAGGTTGGTGTCGTCCACATCCCTCCACTGGCCCTCTGTCGGTGTCCTGTGGCTGCAGGCAGATCTCTGCTCCTGGTGCTGACGGCTCCTCTGATGGCGCCTTCTCAACTGGTTCATCTGCACTCAGCCTCATGTCCATTGTCTTTATGTGTGTATGGGCAGGTGCGTGCGTTTGTGCGCGCGTGTGTTTGTGTGTGTGTGTTTAGGTCTGTAGGTGGGGGTGGGGGGTAAGGGGGCATCTGGGATAGTTTTTTGTTTTTGTTTTTAACTTGTAAAGCACTTTGAGCCACATTAATGTAGGAAAAGCGCTTTATAAATAAAGTTTGATTGATTGATTGATTGATTGAATGAAATAACAGGGGTTGTTCATAGGGTCATGTTTAATTCCTTTGCCTTATGTAGAATTTCCCAAGTTCTTTTGATGTTGTGCTGATTTTCTTGTGACACTTTATCAAAGTAGTCTTTCGAAGCTTGTCTTAGTATACTTGTCAGTTTGTTCTTATAAAGCTTTAAATTATTTGTTCTTATAAACCTTTTTTTGTTCTCAATTTGATAAAGTCTCTACAAAGCTTATTTTTCTTTTCATATGCATTTTGCAAACCCTTTGTGATCCATGGCTTGTGGATATTATACTTTTTTATATACTGTCTTACTGGACAGTGTTTGTCATAAAGTGATAGATAGGTGCTCAGGAATACATTGTATGCAGTGTCTACATCTCCTACAAAAAACCCTGCCCACTGCTCTTCAAGGAGATCATCACAAAACCTATTTACTGCTTTATCTGTTCATGTATTCATATATTTGTGTCCGACTTCCTTAATCTCCTTTTTCTTCAATTGACAGTCATATATCAATAATATAAATATGTTGTCAGTTAATGTTGTACCGTTCACAGTTATCCTACTCGGCTTAGTGATTGATGGATAAAGCCCTCTGCTATATAATGCATCCATGAAGTCTGAAGTGGCCTTATGGTTAATTGCAATGAGTAAATCTATGTTGAGGTCCCCACTAATAATTTAAGTTTTCTCTTCATTTGACCTAGCTCTGATTTCTTCAGTTTTATCTTAAAATATCTCTATATTTGATGCAGGTGCTCTATACACACATGTCACAATCACATTCTTGTTTTTTCCATTTCAATCTCCACTGTTACGCATTCCATTAATTCATCCCCTCCCGTTGCTTCTGTTCATATAATATAGCTCAAAATACAGCTCATAAGATCATCTTTAAACTCACTGTCAGTATAATATTTACAGATTTCATTTGTGTGATTAAAAACATGACTGTCTGGATCAACATCATGTTCAAAATCAAACATTTTATCCTGTGATGATACCAAACTGGAGAAGACATGGCTTTCCACTGAGTCATTCCTCTACTCATATACAAAAAAAAATCACAGAAATTAGGGACTGAGCTAAAATGTAATTCTCAGAGGCGTATCTCATGCAGCCAGTGTTGTACTACAATGCCACACTGAAATTGAGTCCACTGACCACACCGCCTGGAAGCTATTGAGCTAATATGCTAATTTCTACATGAATAAAATTCACCAAGATTAGGGACTGAGTTTAAATGCTAAAAGTATGTATTATGTGTTCCTGAGTAGCAAGAAAAATATTTTTGTTTTGGATGGAGTGATCTCCATACCTCAGTTATGTCTATATCTTCAAAACCTTTCTTTGGCGCTGACGCTGCTTTTGACAGAGAGATAGATTTGGAGGAAGAGCAATCCAGAGAAGGATTTAACACCAAATTAAAATCTCTGCCCACTATACTATACCCCTCAATTGTAGCAAGCCTCAAAAACAAACTATTGAAAACTACTGGGTCATCATAGTTAGGTTGATACACATTTACCAAGATTACTCTGTCCCTATTGAACATACAGTCTACAAGCAGAAATCTTCCATCTTTATCTCTTTCAACTTTATTTTATTTAAAATCAAGATTTTTGTGAATAACCCCACAACTTAAGGTATATGAAGAATAATAAACATTGCCAACCCAATCCCTGTGCAATTTTGAGTATCCAAGTCTGTGACGTAGCGTTCCTGAATAAAAGCTATGTCAACGCTTGCTGCTATTACGTTAATATTTTTTGCTCTTTATAGGTGAGTTGATCCCTCTAACATTCCATGCGATACATGTCAGCTGTCCCGTATGTGTTCTTTAAATAAATATGTATGTGCTTTATGAGCACACTGCAGAGTGTCTAATTCACACTTTGCTGTAACTCCAGAAGTGGTGATGTGATGACAAGCCTCAATCAAGACCAAAAAAGGATATTTGTAAATATGTAGGTGTTGATTCTGGTTCCATTGAGAGTCCATACAAAACCCCAAATCTTTACACTAAGAACATGCCCAATAAGACCACTAAAACAAAACAACTTTCGGAAGGTACTTAACCTTGTAAACTGCTGCTACCCCTGAAACTCCTTTGGTAAAAAACTAAACTGACTTATAACAGTCTTAACATAGAAAGATTTTAGACATCAGCTAGTCTCACTATAAGAAAAAATAAAGGAACCATAATATACACCTGCCCTTTCAGCCATTTATAGTCATAAATTATAAGTTGTCGTACTAATCTACATTTTTCTTGAAAAGGCGAAAACTATGTAGGTACCTTGGCACTGAAAAATGAACAAAGAACTTAAGGCTGTAAACAGTCCAAGTATAATCACATATTAACCTCTCTCAACTTGCATCTTTTGACAGCGAAATACAGCTTTTTTGTTAGTCTCTAACATGTGCATTGCACAACAGTCATTTAGTCAATACTATTCCCTTGATAGCTCCTTTAGGAGTCCTTCTGCCTCAGCTGGAGTGGAGAGGAACGCTAAAGTTCCTTTGTGCTTAACGCAGAGTTTAGTAATTTAATTTTAGTAATAGTAATTTTAATTTAGTTCGAACATCTGTTGGTTTTATTTTGCTCTTTTCAGCCACATCTCATACTGATATTAACACCAATACTGACTGTTTTCAAAATGTTGATGTTACTTTTATTATGATGGTTATAAAAGATCCACTTGAATGGATAATACACAACAAAAAAAATGGCTCTTTATAACAATCTTCACAGTCGGCATTACAGACCCACTCTGATGAAAATCAGGTTTTTCTTGTCGTCTACGTGTTCATATGGCATTTTTCTGATGCTAGAGGACATATCATGAGAGAACTAAGTGCAAAATTGCATTTCTGAGTATTTCTGCATTGAAATCTCTGTGAACCTCTGGTATATCTAAACAGCAGGTACAGACACAGAGCAGTGCTGTCTCTGCCCACAACTCAGAGATGAATTGCAAATGAGCTACCGGAGCTCTGCAGGAGAAGCGCCTATGACAACTGCACAGGTAACATTATTTTAGCTAAAAAATTCATAATCACAATTTAAAGACCACTGAGAACACTTGAAATAGTAAAAAAAAATTATATAATGATCAGAGTAGGACTTTAACGTGTTCATCCTCATGTGACACAATCATGCAGTGTGCAGGATCATGCAGAGCTGCATTCACACAAAACCTGCTATAAGTTTGTTTTTGGAGCTTAGCCCTCATTAAATAATATGAAAATTAAGATTCATTTTGCCGTTTCACCACTGGTGATCGCTTCAAAATTGATGCAAAAAATATTTTAGGGACACCTATGAAAATTATGCAAGAGGATGTAAAAAGACTGAGTAATGTTTGAACAGGAATAGCAGCTGGTGGCAGCAGCATGTATTGATAAAAAAAAATAGGGGGCACTTTCCAAAGCGTGAAATTATTATTGTACACCACTGTGGGCTCAAAATTCAACAGCTGCTTTACTCTAACAGCATTGTGCAATGATATATGTTATGATAGATGAACGTGTAATAAATGAGCTCTCTGCTCACACACAAACTCCTTCATTGACTCAAAGTTTGTGGGAGGAGATATCTGGCAAGCAACTTTCCTGCTTTATCTTCTGACTCAAAATATGGTTGTCTCGCCCTATCACTGTATGATTTTAAAATGATGTCCAGTAACAAGTGTGATGTAGTGACTCATGCTTGGCATGACTTTACCTTTTTTGTCCTATATGAATAGAATTAATACCAGATTAGTAGCATATTCGTATCAAAGTGTATTTTTACTATAACTTGTGCAAAGCTGCTGTCAGTTCAGGGTCTTCTTTTTAAATCTAAATCAGTATCAGACTGCCACAAACAGTTAACAGGAAGCTCAGGTGAGCTCACCCTTGCCACAGGTACTCATCGTTTCCCAGGTCCTGCCACACGCAGCCGGCCAGGCACAGGTCTGTGGCATTCAGGTAGGACAGGATGGTGATGCCTAACTCAGGAGGAAGCATCTCCAGGTCTATAAAACCGTGCTGCTCTTTACCTGCAGACAAGACACAGGATCCTTTATACCTCAGCATGAACTAAACAGTTGTTAAAGGTTAGTGGACACTAACATTTTAGTTCAAATAGATAGAGATAGATAGATAGATAGATAGATAGATAGATAGATAGATAGATAGATAGATAGATAGATAGATAGATAGATAGATAGATAGATAGATAGATAGATAGATAGATAGATAGATAGATAGATAGATAGATAGATAGATAGATAGATAGATAGATAGATAGATAGATAGATAGATAGATAGATAGATAGATAGATAGATGGGTAGACTTTATTGATCCCAAACTGGGAAATTCACATGTTACAGCAGCAAAATTAAATTTAATATATGAAGACGTAAGTACAATACAGACTAAAAAAATAAAAATACTAAGTATATACAATAAATACAGACTAAATATACTAAACATCCTAAGAGAAAAAAGTGAGATATGATGAACGTGGGCTATTGAAATGAGTAATAAATATGAAATGAGTAATAAATATGGAATGTGAAATATACAGATGGGATGATAAATAAACAGACAAATTTAGGTGCTCAGTAATGTGATGTGGTAGGAGTTTTAAAAATGGACTATACAGCAGACAGATGTGAGTCCCTGTCTGACAGATGTGAGTTATTAAACAGTGCAATTGCTTGTGGCATGAAAGATTTCCTGTATCTGTCCCTTCGACAGCGGAACTGAAACAGTCTGTTGGAGAAGGAGTTCCGCTGTCTGTCCAGAGTGAGGTGGAGAGGGTTGTCAGGGTCATCCATGATGGATAACAGTTTGTTCAGTGTCCTCCTCTCCACCACAGCCTCCACAGTGTCCTGTTTGCAGCCAATCACGGAGCCAGCCTTCCTGATTAGTTTGTTGAGTCTGTTGGTGTCACTGGCTCTGATGCTACTCCCCCAACAAACCACGGCAAAGAAAAGTACGCTGGCCACCACAGACTGGTAGAACATCTCCAACATCTTGCTGCACACGTTGAAGGATCTCAGCTTCCTCAGGAAGTAGACTCTGCTCATCCCCTTCTTGTAGACAGCGTTGGTGTTGGATTTCCAGTCCAGTCTGTTGTTGACATAGACGCCCAGGTACTTGTAGGCCTCCACCTCCTCCACATCTTCTCCCAGGATGCACAGCGGCTGTGAAGCAGTCCTTTTCTTCCTGAAGTCGATGACCATCTCTCTGGTCTTGGTGACATTCAGCCTCAGGTGATTGCGTCCAGCCCACTCCACAAAGTTATCCACCACTGCTCTGTACTCCCCATCCCTTCTCCCGCTTATACACCCAACAACAGCCGAGTCATCAGAAAATTTCTGCAGGTGGCATGACTCGGAGTTGTACTGAAAGCCAGTGGTGTACAAGGTGAAAAGGAAAGGGGATAGCACAGTCCCCTGTGGAGCTCCTGCATCACTGACCACCACATCAGACAGAACACTGCCCAGACGGACAAACTGTGGCCTGTACGTCAGGTAGTCGGTGATCCAGGAGACAATGGAGGTGTCGACACCCATCACCCGCAGCTTCTCACCCAGCAGCAGTGGCTGGATGGTGTTGAAAGCACCGGAGAAATCAAAGGAGGTGATTCTCACAGTGCTGCCACCACCATCCAGATGCAGATGAGCTCATTGCAGCAGGTAGATAACAGCATTGTCAACTCCCAAATGGGGCTGGTAGGCAAACTGTAGAGGGTCTAAGAGCTCCTTCACCTGTGGCCTCAGGTGGGCCAAGACCAACCTCTCCAGCACCTTCATCAGATGGGAAGTGAGGGCAACTGGTCGGTAGTCATTGAGGTCAGATGGAGTCGACTTCTTTGGGACAGGAACGAGACAGGACGTCTTCCACAGCACTGGGACTCTCTCTTGACTCAGGCTCAGGTTGTAGAGGTGTTGGATGACAGCAGACAGCTGGCTGGCGCAGGTCCTCAGGATCCTAGGGCTGATGCCATCAGGTCCTACTGCCTTCCTATCTTGGAGCCTCTCCAGCTGTCTCCTAACCTGGCCCGTAGTCACGGTCATGTGTGTGTGTGTGTGTGTGTGGGGGGGGGGGGGGGGGGGTAGCTGATGTTTCCAGTGGAGGCGGAGGTTGAGGGGGAGGGGAAGGAGGGATGCTGCACAGGATTGCTCACCACAGGGGGGAGGGGTTGATGTGATGAGGGAGTGTGGGGGACTGGATGTATGAGGGAGACAGACGGCTGTGAGCTGAACCTATTAAAGAAAGTGTTCAGCTTGTTGGCTCTCTCCAGGCTGCCTGATGGTTGCCTTTGTCTCCCTTTACAACCTGTGATGTGCTTCATCCCAGTCCACACTTCCCTCACGTTGTTTTGCTGGAGTTTGGCCTCCAGTTTCCTCCTGTAGGTGTCTTTACACCCTCTCAGTTTCTCCCTGAGTTCATGTTGCACTCTCCTCAGCTCCTCTCTGTCACCGGACTTGAAAGCCTTCTTCTTCTTACTAAGGAGGGCTTTCAGGTCACTGGTGATCCATGGCTTATTGTTGGGGAAGCAGCGTACAGTCAGGTTTGGGATGGTGGAGTTTTCTCAGAACCTGATCTATTCCGAACCGGACTTCGTGACTCGAGCGCCCTGAGAGTGGCAGCAAGTCACATCAGCTCCTCCGAGACTTTACGTTTTTGCCCTCTTATTGTTGTTTTTTGGCACCTTATTTGTCTTTCTTTTTTTCAGCAGTGGTGTGTCTTGCATATTCCAACCATGGATGTGCATTTCATGACTCTTGCATTTTGTTTTCTTTTACTTTTCTGAGTTTTTAAGTCCGCGACCCATTCAGCGGCCCCATTGTTTACAGCCGTGAACAGTTGTTAGCTTTGCGCCAAGCCCGGCCACCTTCGTGGGAGAGACTGGACATCCCCCGCTAAGCTCCGCAGGAGAAGAAGAGGATGCAGGGCTGGAGTTCAGCATCGGGCAAAGCGGAGACATTATAAACCAACTGTCCTGTCCATCATCATGGGAAACGTGAGGTCTCTCCCCAACAAGATGGAAGAGCTCACAGCGCTGACTAGGCTGCAGTGGGAGTATCGGGAGTGCAGCCTCATGATGTTCACGGAGTTATGGATGAACGAACTGACTCCGGACCCGCTCGTAACTTTGGACAGATTTCACCTCGTCAGAGCGGACCGGAGCGTGAGGGAGAGTGGTAAGAAGAAAGGAGGCTGATGCTGCTGCAGCCTGTGAACTCCTCCATAGTGAAGTGTACAAGCTACAAACATCACACCCTCAGTCTCTGATCATCATCTCTGGAGACTTTAATCATGCATCGCTCTCCTCCACTTTCCCTACCTTCAGCCAGTATGTAAACTGCCAAACAAGAGACAATAAAACTTTGGACTTACTGTATGCAAACACCAAGGATACATACAACTCCTCCCCCCTACCCCGCTGGGCCGCTCAGATCACATCCTGGTGAGACTGCAGCCCATTTACATACCTATGGTAAAGAAACAACCCCCAACCATCAGGTATGTTAAGAGGTGGTCTGAGGAGGCCACTGAGGCGCTGCAGGACTGTTTTGAGACCACAGACTGGGATGTACTGTGCGGCCCACATGGTGATGACATCGACACCATGACAGACTGTATCACGGACTATATAAACTTCTGTGTTGAGAACACCGTACCCACCAGGAAAGTGGAAAGGGTCACCCAGGGTTTGCTGTTTCTCCAACAGAAAACCCTGGGTGACCCCGGAACTTAAAGTCCTCCTGAAGGAGAAGAGGAGGGTCTTTAAATGTGGGGACAAGGAGGAGCTGAGGAGGGTGCAGAATGAGCTGAAGAAGAAGATCAGAGAGGGAAAGGCCAGCTACAAGACCAAGATGGAAAACCTTTTGCAACAGAACAACGCAAGGGAGGTCTGGAGAGGCCTGAAATCCATCTCAGGTCATAGCAGGGGCCATGAGAGGAGACCTGAAGCAGGAGACAGGGAGTGGGCCAACGAGCTGAATCTGTTCTTCAATAGATTTGACTCTGCTCCCCCGACTCATCAAACCAACGAACCGTCTGCTGCTTCTTCTTCACACCACCTCAGTTCCATGGCACCGGCATCATCAACCCCCCTCCACTCATCCACCACCACCCCCAGCCTCTCCATAACAGCTGACCAGGTGAAAAGTGAGCTGAGGTAGATGAAGCCAAGGAAAGCCACGGGTCCTGACGGCATCAGCTCCAGACTCCTGAAGGACTGTGCAGACCAGCTCTGTGAGGTGCTACTGCACATCTTCAGCTTGACCCTGAGTCTGGAGAGGGTCCCAACACTGTGGAAGACTTCCTGCGTGATTCCTGTCCCCAAGACAGCACACCCCAGGGAGCCCAACCACTTCAGACCTGTGACCCTCACTTCTCACCTGATGAAGACTCTGGAGAGGATCGTGCTGAGGAACCTCCGGCCCCTGGTGAGCTCTCATCTGGATCCTCTGCAGTTTGCGTACCAGCCGAACATCGGGGTGGACGACGCAGTCATCTACCTGCTGCAGAGGTCCATGGCCCACTTGGAGAATACCAGCAGCACTGTGAGGGTCGTGTTTTTTAACTTCTCCAGTGCTTTCAACACCATCCAGCCTTCACTGCTCAGGGGGAAGCTCGAGCGGGCGGGAGGGCGGGAGTGGACTGTCACCTAACCGCATGGACCGTGCACTACCTCACCGACAGACCACAGTTTGTGAGGCTTCAGAACTGTTTATCGGACTTGGTGGTCTGCAGCACGGGGGCTCCACAGGGGACAGTGCTCTCCCCCTTCCTCTTCACCCTGTACACCTCAGACTTCAGCTACAACTCTGGGAGCTGTCACCTCCAGAAGTTCTCTGATGACACAGCCATCGTCAGATGTGTATTGTCAGGGGATGAGCGGGAATACAGGACTGTCATCACTGACTTTGTCAACTGGTGTGGCACAAACCACCTCCAGCTCAACGCCAGAAAGACAAAGGAGATGGTCGTGGATTTCCGCAGGAGGGGGACACCTCAGACTGTTCCAGTGAACATCCAGGGTCTGGACATCGAGATGGTGGAGTCCTACAGATTCCTGGGTGTCCACCTCAACAACAAACTGGACTGGTCAACAAACACAGATGCTCTGAACAAGAAGGGCCAAAGTCGTCTCCACCTGCTGAGGAGACTGAGGTCTTTTGGAGTGTGCAGGACTGTGCTCAGGACTTTCTATGACTCTGTGGTAGCATCTGCACTTTTCTATGCAGTGGTCTGCTGGGGGGCAGGGAGCACCGAGAGGGACAGGAAGAGACTGAATAGACTGGTCAGGAGGGCCAGTTCTGTCCTGGACTGTTCTTTGGACTCCCTGGAGGAGGTGGGTGAGAGGAGGATGTTAACAAAGCTTGTATCCATCATGGACAATCCCTCTCACCCACTGCATCAGACTGTGGGGGCTTAAAGCAGCTCCTTCAGCAGCAGACTTAGACTTCCACCTTGCAGGACGGAGTGCTACCGCAGGTCGTTCCTCCCCTCTGCAATAAGACTTTACAACGAACTGTAATAATAACTAGATTTACACCACCACTTTTTTCTGGCATTTAAATTGTGTATATTGTAGATAGTTTTACTTTTCTTCTCCCTTTTTCCTTTTTCTAAATTTTTTCTTAATTATTACATTTATTTAAGTTCTTAATATTAGGATCTTTATTGTTATAACTGCATTTTTGCACTCTGGTGTTTGCATACAGCAGATCCAGGGTTTTATTTTCTCTGGTGGGGCAGTCAACATACTGGTGAAAAGTTGGCAGTACTTTGTCCAGTGAGATATGATTAAAGTCTTCAGTAATAACAGTGAAAACATTGGGATGTTGAGTCTGTACCCTGGCAATGGTGGAGGTGATGACGTCACAGGCCGTCGGTGCATCAGCTGATGGGGGGATGTAAACAGCGATCACAATGGCGGACATGAATTCCCAGGGCAGGTAATATGGACGCATTCCGACAGCAAACAGTTCAATGTTCGGTTCACAGAGACGTTTCTTCACGTGCACATGCCCGGGATTACACCACCTCTCACTCACATACAGTGCAATCCCTCCTCCCTTCTACTTACCGCTGCTAATAACGTCTCTGTCGGCCCGAACAACGCTGAAGCCGGGTGCCGCCATGCTGTGGTCCGGAATATGCAAGTGCAGCCATGTCTCAGTGACACAAAAGACGCTACACTCACGGTATTCCCTCTGAACGCCTGGTTCACACAGGAAGCGCTGCACGTGGAAGCGGAAGCGCCACGCACCGAGTTTCGGATCAGCGCCCGTGTTAACCTTTGTGACTGTTCACACAGCGCGTGCGGAAGAGTGCGGCCGCTCTGCTTTCCTCTATTTTTTGCGCGAGCCGTGCGCCCTGCAAGTGCCAATTGTAAAGCTGGACAGGGCAGATCGGACCAGACAGGAAGTCGGGAACAGGAGATGCGAGAGAATATGGTCAATTTTCAAAATAAAATATATTTCAATAAATTAGAAAAAAAGGATTTACGGTGTTGCTTGTCGGTCTATTTTTTCCCAGAGAAGTAGACGTTCGAAAAACTTCAATGATTGCTCTTTTTTTTTGTACAGTGTAGAAAAGTAATGGCACACCAATCCTGATAAAACAGCATGTTTCAGTATATAATTGGTCCTGCAACTTTTCAAGCTGTAGGACTTGTAACAAATCTGAACTCATTAATGTATAAGGGCCTGCTGGAAAGTTTATAGCATCTCCATTGTATAAGGGCCAGTGCCATTGCATTAACTCCCTGGCTCTCATAAGAATTTAAATTGAGAATCAGCATTTTGTTGTTAATCAAATTGCTCTACAAGTGATTCAGTGATGGAGATACATCAGAGCAGTCCCTGATTAGTCAATTAATATCAGCTGTGGGCTCAGGCCAGGATTTCACCCACTCTGGCACGAACATTCCACAGAATACGCACCCATTATAATCTCAAAATTATTCCAAGAGTGATCATGGTCATTGAACAGTGAGTGATCGAACACTACCATACCTATCAAAATGTGCATGAATACACCAATAGACAAGAATGTGTCTCCTTTTTTAGGTTTAAATGATGACTCTAGGTGAAAGTATGAAAGTATGCCGGGCAGTAGACATTTGAAAAACTAATATTTCCTCCTTTTTATGTGTGCGTGTGTCCCGTTGACTTAAATCGAAAATTGTTACTTTTTGCGGCTTAAGTCGTGAAAAATTAGTATAAAATAGTAATAGCACACTGATCCCAATCACACCTTACGTTTTGATAGAAGTGTCGTACAACTCTTCAAACTGTAGGTCTAATAGTGAATCAAATTTTGTCCTGAAGAAGAATAAGAAAAAATCCACAGTATAACAATAGTTCCCCAGGGAATAACTAGCTGAGCTCTCTTTCAGCTATGGAGCACCTGCAGAGTAGAAACTTCACTTTGCCCAACACATCTCTCAAAACTTGAGCTCTGTTAGATCAGTCTAAAAAATGACAAGAAAAAACTCTTTTAACGCTGGTTTTAACAATGAAGTTTGTTTTGATGATTTCTAATGCATCCCAGAGGTAACTTAAACATAATGCGCTGTCAGTTCAAGGTTTGTGAACAAGACATTTTTTAAAGTGAGGTCCATCTGTGGTGAGACGCCTCCTCATCCTGTTTTATTTTGGCTGGACTTCCTGTATTTCCCTGTTTGCCTGGTCTGGCTTTACTCTTTTCCAGAGCTTCCTCCCCTCCCCCGGCGCTGAGGCTGAGTGAGTCGACACACCTGCTCCACATCTCCAATCAAGGGACTTTAAGAAGCCTGCAGCCCTCACTCTCAGCGCCTGAGTATTGTCTACCTTTCCTAGTGGTAAAGACGCGTCTCCTGGCCAACCTCGTTGTATGAGTATCAGTAACTTTGCTCCTTGTGATTCTTTTCATGTTCAATAACTCCTGTCTCCTCTGGTTTTTCCTGCAGTGTCTCCAGCCCACACGACAGCCAGCCAACCAGCCTACCGGACATCCTCTGTTTGCATCTACTACCTTTTGTTTGGACATTAAAATTCACTTTAAGTTGATCTCAGTCTCCGTGTCTGCTTCTGGGTCCTCACAACTAACCAGCCACACTACAGAATACTCAGGCCAGGAAAATGGACCCAGCAGACCCAGACAGAGTTCAGCAAGCCCTCCAGAAGCTCGGTACTCGGCTGGGTCAACATGAGGATATGCTCCAGGATCTCAATCATTCTTTTCAAGGCCTCTCTGTTCAAGTGGCGCAGCTGGCAGAGCAACTACTCTCGGCTTCCACAGCAGCAAACAGGATCTCCCCCCTCTGTGAGTACGGTCCCCTCTTCACCTCCTCCACCTCCCTCTATCCTCAAAGAGCCCTATGTCCCTCCTCCTGAGCCATATGCTGGGGAGATTGGGGGCTGCAGAGCTTTCCTGCTCCGCTGCGCCTTAGTGTTTGACCAACAGCCCATTAGTTACCCCTCAGATCGGTCTAAAATAGCTTACACCATAAATCTGTTGAGAGGTAGAGCCGCTAAGTGGGCTACGGCCGTCTGGGATAGGGAATCACCTAGGTTCTCCTCTTACGCCCTATTCTCAGAGGAGCTCCGGAAGATATTTGATTTTCCTGTCGAGGGCCCCGAGTGTACCAAACGGTTGTTTTCCCTCACCCAGAGCTCTCGGTCAGTGGCGGAGTACTCCATTAAGTTCCGTACAGTGGCGGCCGAGAGTGGGTGGGGGGAACTCGAGTTAAAAGGGATATTCACTCGGGGCCTCTCTGAACAATTGAAAGACGAGCTAGCGGCTCGAGATGAGCCCTCCTCCCTTGAGGAGCTAATAGCGCTAGCTGTCAGAATAGATAATCGCCTCAGGGAGAGGCGGAGGGAGAAGAAAAGTCATTCCCCGGTACCTAGTATAGACTCCCCTTCCTCTGTTGCGGTCAGCGGGTCTCCTCTGCAGCCCTCAGTCTTCCCAGATCCGGCGCCCTCTGCCGGGGAACCCATGCAGATCGGCCGCACCAAACTACACCCAGATGAACGGAGACGGAGGATAGAGCTAAAGCTCTGTGTTTATTGTGGCCAGGCCGGTCACTTTTTGGCCAACTGCCCGAACAAGTCAAACGGCCAGGCATCAGTGACAGTCGGCACCCTGAAGAGCCACACCTCCTCTGTTCCCAGCTCTCCTAGACGTATCGCTGTTCCTGCCAGTCTCCTGTGGGGGAAGGGCTCCACGTCGCTCCAAACCCTTATTGACTCCGGGGCGGACAATAACTTCATTCACGCCGGACTGGCAGCGCGACTTCAGCTCCCCCTGGAGGAACTCCCGGTCCCCCGTAAGGTCATCGCTCTCAATGGCAGAGTGATAGCCTCTATCACCCACTGCACTGCTCCTCTCACCCTCATCCTCTCTGGTAACCCTCGGGAGGACATCCGGCTGTTCCTGCTTCCCTCTCCTCACTCTCCCCTGGTGCTTGGACTCCCATGGCTGCAGATCCACAATCCCCAGATCAACTGGTCCACAGTGTCAATCTCCGCCTGGAGCCCTCACTGCCACTCTCACTGCCTCCGCTCGCCCCCTGTGCTCAGACACCCAGATCCCTCTCTCCAGTTCATGGTGGAGGTCGACGCCTCGGACTCCGGAGTGGGGGCCGTCCTCTCACAGAGGGATACCGAGACCCAGAAGCTCCATCCTTGCGCCTACTTCTTCAGGAAATTCTCACCCACCGAACGAAAGTACAACGTGGGAAACCGTGAGTTGCTGGCTGTTGTGTGGGCACTGCAAAAATGGAGACACTGGCTGGAAGGAGCGCATCACCCATTCCTCATCTGGACTAACCACAGAAACCTTCATCTTCTCCTATCTTCTCAACGCCTCAACTCCAGGCAAGCCCGCTGGTCCCTCTTCCTCCGTAGATTCACCTTCACCGTCTCCTGTTTTCCCGGCTCCCGCGACCTCAGACCAGACACCCTTTCTCGGACCAACTCCTCGGTTACCCCGGAACCCAGCGAACCAGACACCATCCTCCCTGCCTCCTGTGTTGTCGGCTCCACCTCTTGGGAGATCGACACCATCGTGGACCAGGCCCTCCGGAACCACCCAGACCCGGGAACTGGCCCGCCGGACAGAAAATTTGTCCCTGGGGTTGCACGTTCCCAGGTCCTACAGTGGGGGCACTCCTCCAACAAACCTGTTACGTCATGCACCCTGAGCCCCTCCACCCCCCCGGTTGATTGACGACCTCCCTGCCCTCACTGTACGGAAGATCCTGGACGTGCGGCCTCGGGGGCGAGGCTTCCAATGTCTCGTGGACTGGGAGGGGTACGGTCCAGAGGAGCGTTCCTGGATCTCCCGCTCCCTCATCCTGGACCACCAACTCCTTGAGGACTTCTACGTCGCTCACCCCAACAAGCCGGGCAGAACGCCAAGAGGCGTTCGTTAAGGGGGGTCCATCTGTGGTGAGACGCCTCCTCATCCTGTTTTATTTTGGCTGGACTTCCTGTATTTCTCTGTTTGCCTGGTCTGGCTTTACTCTTTTCCAGAGCTTCCTCCCCTCCCCCGGCGCTGAGGCTGAGTGAGTCGACACACCTGCTCCACATCTCCAATCAAGGGACTTTAAGAAGCCTGCAGCCCTCACTCTCAGCGCCTGAGTATTGTCTACCTTTCCTAGCGGTAAAGACGCGTCTGCTGGCCAACCTCGTTGTATGAGTATCAGTAACTTTGCTCCTTGTGATTCTTTTCATGTTCAATAACTCCTGTCTCCTCTGGTTTTTCCTGCAGTGTCTCCAGCCCACACTACAGCCAGCCAACCAGCCTACCGGACATCCTCTGTTTGCATCTACTACCTTTTGTTTGGACATTAAAATTCACTTTAAGTTGATCTCAGTCTCCGTGTCTGCTTCTGGGTCCTCACAACTAACCAGCCACACTACACCATCTGCATAGAAAGAGACTAATTTTACCCCAAAAAGCATGTCAGTGTGCACAAACAGCATCCACACAGAGTGATGCTGTCACGTGTTTTGTGGTGCTTTAACCCTTTCTGCATGCTTTACAAATTAGGTGGTCCCTTTTTTTTTGTCCTGTTTGTAGTAGCAGCTGCAGAGGCTGTTCAAACCTTCAACCTAAATCAAGTCTATTTTCAGAGTTAGCATGTGTTCCCATGTCCTTACCTCCCATGCGTGTCCTCAGCAGGTGGTAGATGTCAGGGCCTGAACAGTGCTGAGGAGCTCGCCTCTGAGGACCTCCATCCCTCCCTGACAAAAACACAACATTATTTTGGGGGGGATTCAAAACACATTATTTTTTGGAAGATTTATTTACACATTTAAACATTTTACTTTAAACTGTTTTACTGTAACTCTTCTGCTTAAGTATTTGATACCTTTAAAGTTATTGTACAGTAAATTCTGACAATATGTGGAATACTGAAATCAAGTCTGCAACTTTTCTGTCCAATAGCTTTATCCATAAAGTGTCAGATTGTTGAGAAAAAATGCTCATCACAATGCTCCAGAGCCAAGACTAGATTTTAAATTAAGGACTGCACAGCTGTGAAACTGACTCTACAAGAAACTTGAACAGAACTCAATCTGACAATGTGTCATTTAAAAAAAAGTATGGTGCCCATTTCAAATGATTCCAATTCTTTTGAAATTCAAATCACTCTCTATTAACAGCTCTCTGTCCTCTTTTTCTTGGAAAAATAAACAAGTTACAAGTCAAAGTGTTGGAACAGCCCTCTGAAAACAGGGGTTTGGGAGCACCAGGTATCAAATTGCATGCCTATGTACAGTGGATGTAAAAAGTCTACACACCCCTGTTCAAATGCCAAGTTTTTGTCATGTAAAAAAGATACATCAAGATAAATAAATTCACAACTTTTTCTGCCTTTAACGTGACCTATAACCTGTACAACACAACAGGGAGGTGAAGTAAAAATAAACAACTGAGATAATGGGCTCTATTTTCGTGTACGCTGGTGAGGCGACGGAGGGTGGCGGAGCCCGCGCACTTGTATTTTCGTCTGGCGGAGCCCGGCGTACAGCCAGTTGGGTATTTTCGTGGACTGAGGTGCACGGAGGCGAGCCGAGATCCGCCAAGCTGGGCGTGGTGGCATGGTAGGGGGAGGTGTCGACAGAATCAGCGGGCGCAGTGACATTTTCGTGCTCGCCAGTGGCGTGTAAAGTGCGCTGAAAGCTCACCGATTCAAACCTGGTCAGCTTTCAGCGCAGGCGGGGTGCAGCTGGTCTAGTGGTATTTTGGTAGACCGGCGGCGTATCGGCATGTGTCACTGATGCCTCACCGGCAGGTTTCCACAGTGTCAGGCACATTTCAGTGCAATAAATAATCATCAACAACTAATAATCTGAGTCAGCACATACATTTAGATCTATATAGATATATTCTGATCTATATCTGATCTGATGAGCGCGTTTGGCACGCGTTTGGACACACAACCTGACCGAATCAACACAGCTGAAACCACATCAAATTAAATTTAATATCTAGTAAATAAACACACATGATGAAGTTAACTAGATATGTAATTCGTCTCCCTCCTTTAAGCCGACATACGGATATTATAATATTCAGTTTTGTGGGCCAAATTTATTTTATATGCCAACATCTATGAAAGAAAGAGCCAGGCCACGGAGCGCAATGCGTCATTTACGCACAGATGGTTCCAATTTTAATGCCATTTTTGGAGTTTCTGGTGTGATCTGTGCACACAACCCACCTTGGCACGTGAGGTTTGAATAAATGCAACTTTATGTGAGTGTCTTTATTTGTGGAAAAGGGTGTTTGTCTTACCAGTGGGTCCAACATTACACACACCAAATCCATCTGTGCTCATATGAGAGAGTGTGGAGGAAGCCCGATGCAGCGCTTAAAGTGATAGTCCTTGAGCCGGACCAGATGTCGGTACCACTTGGGTGGGCAAAACCTTACATATACTAAATTGTTTTTAGGGTCAATATAAGTAAATTAAAATGTGATAGACTTTTCATAGGGGTAGCTTTTTATATTTTTTCTCATTTTGTTATTTTCCTCAATAGGCGAATTTTTGTTAACTCCAAAAGCAACACAGAAAGTCAAAAGCACATTAAAAGTCATACTCTTTTTGGGTCACACTGCTGTTTTCTATAAATGAATCAAACCTGTGTCTAATTAAATGAGTTGATGAAGTGGGAGTGGCCCAATTTGATGGTGGAGCAGTTCTTTCAGGTATCATAGCACTTGAGCCAAGAACCAAAATTTCACATATCAGTACCACCTGGGTGGGCAAATTCTAGTTGTGATTTTTTTATTGCTATACATCCCTACAATAAGTTTTATATGATAGACCTTGGTAACTGGTAGCTTTATTGTAGTTATCACTCATTGAAGTAATAGAGTGCAGCTGTTCAAAAATGAAAAATTGCCTTCCTTCAAAATTAGCTTTCTTTCATTTTAACCTCTCATTTAGGTGTGTTTGAACTATTGGCTAGCCATAGAGACTTGTAATAACCCCCTAAGTAGTATTTCAAGTAATTTATCTAATACAGGTGTGTATATATAAGCTTCAATTAGCCAATTGTCAGGTCTAAATCAAGGTCTAAATTAAGGATATTTTTTTACTTAGAAGTAGAAGTAAAGTAAACGCAGACTAATAGCACTATAATAACACAACTTTAATATGACACTGACATATTTTAAATGCAGGAACTCATTATACAATCATCCTGGCTGGTGCAGGGCAAGAAGACATTACCAACAAATTAAGATCTACTGATGTATACACTCTATACAATCATCTCAGAAAAACTCAAATTCCTATTCAAAGTCCTATTCTTTCCATAAGGAACAGTGACAGCAAATATGACTGTCAAGTTTTGGCTTAGTACATAATACTGTCACTGAGAATTTGCCCACCCAGGTGGTACCGATATGTGAAATTTTGGTTCTTGGCTCAAGTACTATGACACTTGTTGAGGAGCTGCCCTCTGTCGCCATCGTGTGACATAACTGTCTTCAGACATCTCTTGATCTCTTTGACTACTTCATGAAAATAGTAATACGCCTCGCCTGTGGCGGATTTAAAGGCAAGGAGAGGAGCTTATGTGATTGGTGAAAACAGGTCTCGGCTGTGTTAAACCCACTCCAAGCCCTTTCTCCTCCCTCGCTACGACTTACGCCGCTGGGAGGAGCTGAGTTAGGGAGGGGGGATACTTACGCCGGGCTGCGCTGCTCACCAAAATACCAAATTGTGCTTGGGAACGCCTTGTCGGCGCGGTGGACCTGAGTTACACCGCGCCTGCAGCACGTCTCCAGCGAGGCACGAAAATAGAGCCCAATGTGGTTGCATAAGTGTGCACACCCTTTAATAACTGGGGATGTGGCTGCATTCAGATTTGACCAATTACATTCAAACTCATGTTAAATTGGAGTCAGCCACCAATTATAGTGCCTCTGATCAACCCCAAATAAAGTTCTGCTGTTCTAGTAGGCTTTTCCTGACACTTTTGTAGCCACATCTTCCAGCACAAGCCATGGTCAGCAGAGAGCTGCTAAAGCATCAGAGGGATCTTATTATTCAAAAAATATCAGTCAGGTTAAGATTACAAAAGAATTTCCAAGCAATCAAATATCCCATGAAACACAGTGAAGACCATCATTATCAAGTGGAGAAAATATGGCACAATAGTGACATTACCAAGAACAGGACGTCCGTCCAAAGTTGATGACAAGATGAGAAGAAAGCTGGTCAAAAAAGCTGCCAGGAGGTCGACAGCAACACTGAAAGAGCTGCAGGAATTTCTGGTGAGTACTGGCTGTGTAGTACATGAGACAACAATCTTCTGTCTTCTTCATATGTCTGGGCTATGGGGTAGGGTGGCAAGACAGAAGCCTTATCTTACAAGGAAAAACACTGAAAGAGCTGCAGGAATTTCTGGTGAGTACTGGCTGTGTAGTACATGAGACAACAGTCTTCTGTCTTCTTCATATGTCTGGGCTATGGGGTAGGGTGGCAAGACAGAAGCCTTATCTTACAAGGAAAAACATCATTATTTTATATTGTTCCCCTTAAAGGTTTCAGTTTTTCAATTGCGTTGTACAGGTTATAGGTCATATTAAAGGTGGAAAAAATATTTATCTTGCCATCATTTTCTTACATCACGAAAACCTGGCAGTTGAACAGGGGTGAGTAGACTTTTTATATCCAATGTAGTTACTTGTTGCTGGTCCAATCATGATCCCAAAGCCACCTGGGTTAAATGATTTAAATGATGTGCTTAAACTGAGAGGTTGCTGCAAGTCTAGTCTCTCTGTATTAGGCCTGCACGATATATCGTTTGAACATCGTCATCGCGATGTACGTGTGTGCGATAGTCACATCGCAGAGCCTGCGATATTGGAGGTGAATGAACTCATTTAATTTCAAGGGTAACCGACTGAGATACACTCCATGTGACTCTGCATGTGCTGTGCAGCGATCCACCAATCACCTTCGTCCTTAACTCAGTTGCTAATCAGACTCACTTCTCAGTTGCCAATCAGACTACCCTGCCAGCTGTCAATAAAAATCAGGGAGGAGGAAACCCACCCCTTCACATGTTCTGCACATGGAGGGAGACGCGTGTCCGCTGAGAATTACTTTCGGAACTTTACTCATGACTATTAAGCCCAACAAATAAGAACTGTATGGGTTTTAAATGGTACATTTCCGTGGACCACTCTACTATAAGCAGTGCGCGTTTTGCGAGGTGCATGCAATTCTCGGAGGACATGCGTTTCTCGGCACAACACCGCTGCTAACAACAACAACAACGATCGCAAAATGAACAACGAACAAGCGAAAACCACCGAAAATGAAGATATTGTTGCCAAAAAGAAAAGGAAAGTCAGTTATCTGGAATTATTTCGGTTAAAAGAAGGATGATGTCGACCAAAACACGTGTTCTGTGTTCATCTGTCGCCACAATAACGTCCCAGCACAATAAAAGCTAAAAATATCTCTGAGACAGACAGAAGCCATTCTACTAACATTCACAAAAAGAGGAAAGATCAGAGCAGATTAACTGTCCTCAAGACTTCAGCAGTGCAGCATAACATTAAGTGCTATTCAGGTCATCTGGTGAAAATTCCTGTATTTTTAATATTGCAATATATATCGCAGGGTTGAAAAAAATCGCAATATTATTTTTTTCCAATATCATGCAGCCTTACTCTGTATTGTATATAACTTTTGATTGAAAAATATTTTTGCTGTTTTTTTGTTGGCTGCTGATGGATATTTCTGCTGGACAAAGAGTTTACTCAAGAGAAGAGCTCCTTTCATTGAGGCAAAGCAAATCTGGACAACAACATCAAATCCCAGATGACATCAGGAGGCATAATCATAATTGCTGTGCTGGTGTAACGGCGAAGCTGAATGCTAGGACGTGGAGATATAAACCCTTTCTTCCATCAGTCATCATGGGAAACATCAACTCTCTGCCCAACAAAAGCAATGAGCTGGAGATCTTGGTGAAGACTGAGAAAGCTTACCATAAGTGCAGTCTCCTGTGTTTTACTGAAACCTGGTTGAATCAAAACAACTTGGACTCCAGTGTGGATCTACCTGTCTTCACTCTCATAAGGTCAGACAGAGATGCCAAAGCTAGTGGCAAGAAGAAAGGAGGAGGTCTGGCTTTATATATTAACCAGAAATGGTGTAACCCTTCACACATAACTGTCAAGGAGAAGTTGTGTTGTCCAGATATTGAACTGATGGCACTTGCTCTTTGGCCATATTATGTTCTAAGAGAATTTAGTCATATCATAACAATACTTGTTTACATCCCACCCAAGTCAACTGCAGAAATTCCATGTGATCTTTTGCTGATGGTGTTACAGACTCAATACCCGGAGGCACTGATGCTGCGTTCCAGTTGTACTCGGAAGTTGCAATTTCTGAGCTCCATCCAAGTTCTTAAGGCTGTTGTAGATAATGTCCCAGTGGTCATCCAAATTTTTGTCGAAGTCTTTTAGCAGACATGCTCGAGTTCCATATTCAGGAGATCTAAAAATTCTCCCAACCATGGCTCTCTGGTGAAACATACGGATTTGCTTAATTTCCAGTTCATAAGAATAAGTATTTTAATGGCAAGACAGCCCAAAGTCCAGAGCTGATCTATTATGGTTCCCTGTGTGTTGACTAGTCTCTTACTAAGTGGGCAGGTTACTGGACAAATAGGAAACTTGACCTTGAAAAGTGGCGACATATATGATATAGCATCTAACCAGAGAGATTTAACTGCTGGACAGTCCCACAGTAGATGAAGCAATGTGCCTCGAGTGCCACAGTTGTGCCAGCATAAGTCTTGGTGTTACTCATTTCAGATAATGTGACTGGGTTGATGTAAGCTCTGCATAAAATCTTGTACTGTACAATTCTAAATCTCACACATTTTGAAGCATACAATAAAGATCTCCAGATACCATTCCACTGATAAGGTGTTAACGATGTATTAAGGTCATGTTCTGAAGCCAGCTGGACAGGAGAGGGGGGCAGATCTACACAATAAGCTATAGATGTTGGAGACTGTGCCTTTCCACAAGGTTGCCTTCCCTTATAGTACATCCCAATCAGGGCAGGAGGCAGGAGCAACGCCTTCTTTACATTTCTTATTCATGATGAACGCTATCTGTGCATATGTTAAAAATGAGGACTTTGTGATATGAAATAAGTTTTTAATTTGTTGAAAAGATAGAAGAGAATAAAGATTTGCCCAACTGTTAGTATGCCATGTTGCTACCAGATTTTGTTATTTAAGGTGCCATCTCCGGTTGATAAAATGGGGTTACACCAGATGGGGCATGATGGGAGAGAGAGACCCTCAATACAAAGTCTCCTGTGCAGCTGCTTCACAATAGAGCAAGAAAACCTAATAATGATATTGTCCAGCTGTGGTGGGGGTTTGGGACAATACCATAGAAATGCCAATGATATGGTCTTATTACATTAAAGGATATTTTCCTCCAGCCATTTCCAACTACCTATGCAAGCATCAGATTTATAAGCCTAGGTTAGTGGGTATCATGCATTATATGAGAGATAGTTCTGATATATATCTGGGACTCCCAACCCTCCTCTGGATCTGGGTATAGTTAGTTTCTTGAAAGAAATTCTGGGTTTTCTATTATTCCAAAGAAATCTGATGAAAAGGGATTAGATGTCTCTGGACCAGCTGTGGTGGAATTCAAGAGAAATAGAGGTGATGGTATGCACTCTAAGACATGATTCACGGGGCTCTATTTTCGTTCCTAGCCGAAGGCGTAGCGTAAGCGCAGCATAAGTTAGGTCCACCGCGCCGACAAGGCGTGCCCAAGCACATTTTGGTATTTTAGTGAGCGGCACAGCCCGGCCTAAGTATCCTCCCTCCCTAACTAAGCTCCTCCCAGCGGCGTAAGTCGTAGAGGGGCGTGGAGTGGGTTGAACACAGCCGAGACCTGTTTTCGCCAATCAGATCAGCTACTCTCCACACCTTTAAATCTGCCACCGGCGAGGCGTATTACAATTTTCGTGAAGTAGTCAAAGAGATCAAGAGATGGCTGAAGACAGCAAAGCCACACGATGGTGACAGAAGGCAGCCCCTCAACAAGTGTAGCTGCAAGCGCTGCAGAGGGCATCCTGCACACTGTCTCATATGAGCACAGATGGATTTGGTGTGTGTAATGTTGGACCCACCGGTAAGACAAACATCCATTTCCACAAATAAAGACACTCACATAAAGTTGCATATATTTAAACCTCATATGACCAAGGTGGGTTGTGTGCACAGATCACAACATAAATTCAAATAATGGCATTAAAATTGGAACCATCTGTGTGTAAATGACGCATTGCGCTCCGTGGCCTGGCTCTTTCTTTCATAGATGTTGGCATACAAAATAAATTTGGCTCACAAAACTGAATATTATAATATGCATATGTAGGCTTAAAGTAAATAACTCATCTGATCACTAAAATAAATCATCTGTTCAGCCGCCACAGCAGCTGCAGCAGGATGGGGAGAGGACACAGACACATGTCCAGGTCGAGCTGCGCGAGAAATAAGAGGAAGAGGAAGAGAGAAATAGGGGGGAGACGAATTAAATATCTTATTCACTTCATCATCTGTGTCTATTTACTAGTTATTTAATTTAATTTAATGCAGTTTCAGCTGTGTTAATTCGGTCAGGTTGATTGTCTAAGCGCGTGCCAATATTGGTTGGTGTTGATGATTTATTGCACTGAAATGTGCCTGACACTGTGGAAACCTGCCAGTGAGGCATCAGTGACGTATGCACACTATGCCGCCGGTCTACCAAAACACCTCTAGACCAGCTGCGCTCCGCCGGCACTGAAAGCTGACCAGGCTTGAATCTGTGAGCTTTCAGCGCACTTTCTACACCGCCGGTGGGCACGAAAATGTCACTGTGCCAGCTGATTCTGTCAACACCTTCCCCTGCCGCACCACCGCGCCCAGCTTGGCGGACCTCGGTGCGCCTTAGTCTACGAAATTACCAAACTGGCTGTACGACGGGCTCCGCCGGACGAAAAATACCACTACGCGGGGTCCGCCATCTTGCCGTGCCGCCGGCGGGCACAAAAATAGAGCCCATGGAGTTAGTAGGTATAGCTCAAAATCAAGAACATTTTCGCCATAAAAAATAAGTTTGGTATACATATTATAAGTTGATAACCTAATATAATAATTTTGTCTAAATTAAAATAATTAATTTGAACCAATATTTCTAGCTTGATTCAACATAGAAATGCACTAAGTTGGGGAAACTTAAATCTATGTCCTGTTAATTTAAAAAAAAAAAATGAGTAGATGACTGACATGTGCGAACAGCCGTTTGGGGAGACACAGCAGCGTGCAGTTGGAAACAGCCTGAAAATGTCTCTGGTCACCAGCTTGGTGACTACAATTTTGTCTTGTTTTATTCACAACAGCTAACTGAGAGTACACAAAATAGTTTTACACAACACTAGCTGCTTATCCAGTTCTAATGTTTAAGCTAGCTTCTCAGCTAGTTATTAAGTCTATCATTGGTGTTTATTAAGTTAAGTTTTAGGGCAACAGGTTAATTGACACTGTCAATTAGTTTAATCTTGTTCATCATTTATTTCGAATTTGTTGTTGGGTTGAAAGTTAGCGCAGCAATAGCTTCTTAGCTAGCTGTTGTCGGTGACTAAAAAGTGGTCACCAAATAATAAATGTCATGTTGAGACGGCTGGTAAGTGGCTCTCATTGTTATGGAGCAAAGAGACAGTGCCCACTGACAGAAAAACTAAAACATTTTGATGTTTTATCTGGCTACCCACCTGATTTGCTCCATGACCTCTTCGGAGGTATTGTACCTTTTGAACTAGCACTCTGCCTAAATGCCATGATCAAAAATAAATATTTTACACTTGATGAACTTAATATATTGATCAAGGAGTTCCCATACAGATGGGCAGATATATCTGATGCACCACAAGCAGTTCCATTGACTTTTGCTGCAAAAAGATCTGTTGATGCCCATGAAAATTGGGCTTTGCTTCATCTCCTTCCTCTGATAACTGGAGAAAGAATATGAGAGAGTGAATCCTCATGGCTGGTCCTTCTGAACCTTAAGGACATTTGGGTTTCAAGAGAATTTTAGTTTGCATTACTGCTTTTGGAAAGGAATATTTTAGCCTTACCTCGACAAGTGACATCAAGGATAAAGATACAGTCAAGGTGGTTAACATTGTTGAACCTCCCACATTTACTCTGAACTTCACTAAATTCTTCATTTGAAAATGAATCTGAAATCTTCAGCCAAAGTGCAGCAACAGTGCTCTCAGACACCACTTTGGTGGCCACCGTTCACAGCAGTTGCTCCTCTGGATCCCAGGGTACACTGATTCTATCATCACCTGAACATATGATGCAGCGATCGGAGCGGTGGCCAACTGAATTTCCTGTCCCCTGCTTTGGGTATGACACAGAGCTGATGCTCACTTCAGGAAATTAGGCTTACAGGTACAATGGAACTCCACTCAACTTCACCTCAATCCTACACTACATCCTCGAAAGACTGTCTGACAGCATCTTTCAATATGTTGCCTATCCATCAAGCTCACAGTTTGCAGATGTTGCTGAGGCGCTGATTCTGAGGCATCCTTGCTTGAAAGAAGCAAGATCATATAATGGATGTTATGAATGGCAACAGCAGCCGAAATATCAAAAGGGGGAACTACAGAAATAAAACTTAGAGGCCTTGGATGCCCTGAACTTGATGTCAACTCTCTCTGAAAGAAGAGACCACACGACAAAGCACCAGCAAAAAACATCAAAGAGCTGAGAAAGTTAGAAGTTAACTATTTACCTCCAAAGCCAGAAGGAGAAACGGAGGAAAGTTTGGAAGGGGAAAGACTGGAGCTCCTGAAGAAAAAGAACAACTGGTAGATCCTCTGGGGAAAAAATGGCAAAGACATTCTCCATTCGCAGGCAGGAAGTTGTTAATCAGGAACCATCAGTCAGTGACCAGATGGAAAGATGGCCTGGTCTTTTTAATGCAGCTCAGGTAAATTATTTTCCCTATGACAATTCACAGTATATTGTATTTTGCAGTAAAATGTATAAGTGAGAATTTGTGCCTATTTGTGCCTTTTCTTTTTCAGATAAACCAAGAATTCAGACGGATCACCACTGTCAGCCTGAAGACAACATTCATGGGAAAGCTGGACCAGTACTCCTCAAAAATGATGTACTTGATGTTCTCAAGAGGAGGCGCAGCAAAAATGAAGATTCAGCACTTACAGCGCATTGTCCTAGAGATATGAATAAATACTACTTTAAATAAATAGATACTTTTAAAAAGATGGTATTATATTTTTGGACATGATTGTACAATGGACAGTCAATTGTAAGATTTTTTTGTCTTCTAGATGTTTTAATAGATGGCTGTTTACAACTCTAATTCATATAAGGGAGTATAATGTCAGATAACTGTTCATGGCTTAATCTAAGGAAAAAATATAAATTAAAACTAAACTACTAGTGAGATTAGATACATTAGGCCACATAAAAATCATTCCGTCTTTTTATGTGATTATCAAAAACACATTTTTTAACATCCTTCTCTTTTTTACAGGACAATTCTGCCTAGACAAGGAAAGAGGTTGCCATTCGTAGCCTAATGGTGTACCTTAAGGAAAAGGAGGAGGAACTTTTTAGAGAGGAGGTAAATCAGACTTCACTATATTTTGAGTCCACAGGGACAGTGTTCATTACAGAGCTGCATGTGAGAAGTGTTGGGCAGCCACTTTGCCTATAGTGGACATACAGTGTGTAAATGTGATTATTTGTCGCAGTGGTGCTATGTCTTTGAATGTGTGCTAGAAAAATGGGGGCGTGTTTACATAAAATAAATACTTACTGTATCTCTATGTGTTGTGTTGTGACAACAAACCTTTAAGCATTTATATTAATTCTGACCCACCAGGATAGTGACAGGGATCTTACGGGCGAACTGATGAAGATCGTGACAACACAAGATGGGCGTACCTCCAACCTGTGCAAAAATCATCCTGGAGGGAAGAGAGGTCATAACTGATTCCCAGAGCTTGTGCCTTGCTCATGGGGATGATATATGCACTCAACCTCAGCTACCCAGGGAGATAATGGCATTACACATCGAGGGGGGCATAGATTTGGAGTCCAGTATTTTGTAAAATAATAGCAGCAAGTATAAAATTCAATTCTCAAGCTGTCGTTCCCTGAAGCTTTACCTGAAGCCATTTTCAGAATTGCTGTCTTAATTTCAGTTTGTGTGAGAGGGGCGTCAAGTGCATCCCTGTTAGCTGGACTGACCCTTGGTAAATTAAGACCTTTAAAGAAACTGTCCATTTCAGCATTATCAGAGCTCTCTGCACTATAAAGTTTAGAGTAATAATTTTTAAAAGATTCATTGATTGAGGCAGCATCCCATTGTAACATACCGTTTTCATCTCTAATTGCTGGGATAGTTTGTCTATTTTCGATACGTTTTAATCTGTGGGCTAACATTTCAGTAACAGTATTGAGGAGATAATTTATTTTGTGCCTACTCAATGACAGCCTGATTTTTCATTTACTTCCTTTGAGGTTATCAACCTGCTTCTGCTACTGGCTACAATAACAAAAAAAGGCAATCAAAGCAAGCTGAGTTGTTTCCAGTGTTCTCTATTGATCTCCAGGCCTTGAGCGAGTTGGGGCAGGCAATGATGCTGGGAAAAAGGGAAACTTAACTCGACAGGGCATGTCCCCTCAGCAATGGATTCCACTATCCTGTCCATTTTTTTTTTGAAATCCTGTCTGATTTGTTTGAGCTGGAAGGCAATGCTTCTGGCCCATTCAGGTGTTTCTGTCAGCTTGTCCTCACTGCACACCTGTTGCTGCTCAGAGGCCAGTTGATGAGTGTCTGCTGCCATCTCACCAGTGCAACTGAACGTATTTGGATCGTTTTTCTCCTTGTTGCTACTGGTATTTTGTTTGGTTATATTCATAACCAAGCGTTTTTTCAGTACATTACCGAGAACCGACATTTGTATTTGTTTTCACTTGGTAAGACCAAGATAAATCATGAATTAAGGGGAGCCAATTTGGCATCTAGCATGACATCTCCACCGAGATAGCGATCAATAAAGTTTAATTGAATTGGAAAAACAAAGCACTTGTCACCCTCTAGCGTCACACATGTAATCAAACACACACCATATAGAGGACTGGACAGGTCAGGGCACAGCATGATGGTGAGCGAGGAGGGGAAGATCAGTTTCTCCTCATGGAGATACTCACATTATTTTCAACTCTAAAGCAAAGGGAAAAAACAACATTTTTTGTAACATGTAAACTATGTTCTGGGTCAAAAATCCTTTCTACGCTGAACAACAGCAATCTACTAAACAGTGGCAATTGGTCTAAGACTGCAAGAGAAACTCAGCTTCCCCTAAAATGTGAAAAAAAGTGGTGAAATATGTACTGCTGTGTGTATATTTCATTGACTAAATAAGCACTACAATGGGTTCATCTTTTGTTCAGAATCAGCTACCTATCACAGGTAACTGACACAACTTCCTTCTCATTCATCCCTGCAGCGCCACAGTGCTTTACACAGTAGGGCACTGAGTGTCTACTGACTTCAATGGGGAAGTGTAGAGTGTTCCACTACTCAAAACTGGACGGTCATTGGATAAATGCTGAGCTTTCTCCTGCCCACTGACGCTCAGCGTCTCTGGGGGTCTATGAGGCAGTGGGCTGGTCCGGACGCTCGGCTTCTGCATGATGATTAGATGATCTGTCTGAGGCGGAATCCCTTTTTGATTTTTGATGAGCGAATCAGCTATTTTAAAGTTTTTCATTTTGTTGTTCTGAATTGATCTGGAGACTTTACCGATCCCTAGCGACTTTGTCTTTGTAAAAATGATTAGCGCAGTATTTGGCAACTCTCTTCTGTCAGGACAGGGTCACAGATCATTTCTTACAAAGGAACCAAGGGTATAATTTACATATAAATAAAACAACAATAAAACAAACACATTTATGATGTAGGCTGGGGAAAAAAAGGCTTCCCCTCCTCGAAAGACCAGCAGCTGCCACTGCTACTGGAGTACCTAGAGTAGTGGGATGTTTTGACAAAGTTAGCAATTAAGGTAGCTAACGCAGCATCTGAGACCAAGAGTCACAGCAGTGAGCACACACCCCCTCCACCCAAGCAGCAGCGGTTGGAGTTCGAAAGATGGGCCCATAGCCAGGCACAACTTGATGAAACAATAGCATGGTATGTTTTTGTTTATTTGGATCTCTTTAAGCACTATCACGCTATTATTCCAAGAGTCCAATGGTAAAATATTAAGGGACCAGAAAATCAGTAAGCAAGGGCGCCATCTAGCGACAACATTTAACAGGGGAAAAATCCTGAATTGGTTGAAGTGAGCCACTACTGCATTTGTTGGTTTCTTTACAGCACAGGTGTCTATACAACTCTTCTTATGCCATTGTTTTAGCAAAATTAGACAACTCTGCGCATGTTCAAATGCTTCTAATCTGACTAAAGCTTGGTGCATGTATACCTATGTCATGGATGGATTATTTGATTTTGTGCCCATATAAACAGTGGATTCAGATTTTCTGATCCTTCAAAATTTTAATTGAATCAAGAAATTTTTCTCATGTAAACATGGCTACTAAGTCCTGCCACATCCAGAAATACTCAGATGACACTGCTATCATGGCACGTATGAGAAATGGACAAGAAGCTGAATACAGGGATCTGATAAGAGCCTTCAGTGACTGCAGTGAAAAAAACTGCCTCCTACTCCACACCTCAAAGACAAAAAAAATAAAATCATTGACTTCCGCAGATCCAAACCCCAACTTCAGCCAGAGAACACGTGTGGCATGGACATCGAGGTGATGAGGTCATATCTAGGTGTACACCTGGATAATAAGATGGACTGGTCTAAGAACATGGACTTGTTTGCCTGAGAAGACTACAATCAAAAGACATCTGTAGTAAGATGCTGCAGATGTTTTATCAGTCTGTGGTGTCTACAGTGTTCTGTTCTATGCGGCAGTCTGCTGGAGAGGCAGTGTCAAACACAAAGATGCAGGATGTCTGAACATACTGGTGAAAAAGGCTGGCTCTGTGGTTGGAGCATTTTCTGTGGTCTCAAGTTGGACTCACTGGAGGATGAGGTGGAGAGATGTACACTAAGGAAGGTGAAGTCTATACTAAAGAACATGGATCACACACTTCATAACACCTTGATGGAACAAAGGGCCAGTAGTGGTGGACGGCTCCTCTCTCTTCGCTGCAGGACAGCAAGATTCAGAAGATCTTTTGTACCCACAGCCATCAGACCACATTTTTCCATAAATGGTAGATGACTTGAGACATCACACATGAGAGTACAGACAATTTAACTTCCCTTCAGGGATCAAAAAAGTTGCCCAAGTGACCCCTATTCCTCTCCATAACATCTTGGATATCTCTGCAAAATGGGTTAGTCTCATTTCTAAGAAGAATATTATATTCAAGACCTCCCTAAAAGTTTTTAAACTTGTCAGAAAATTCCAAAACCAAGAGGGTTCTTTCTTTTCTCACCCCTGTTTCTTTAAATCCTGACTTTCCCCCTGGATTAAAAGGTCAGGCCCTTCTATGTTGGCTACTAGAGGTATTAAAACTGTGGGGGATTTGATCTCAAATTGTACTGTTATGTCCTTTGACCAAGTCAAAGGGACGTACAGCCTCCCCTAAAATCACTTTTTCAGATATTTTCAGATACGTAGTTTCATCATGTCCATTTTTAAATTACACCCCTAATTGGTTCTCTCTCTTTTAGTAACTGAGAAGATACTGCATGCACAAGGCAGATACAAAGAAACTTATTAACAGGTATAGGAGGTTTTCACTTGACCTCACTTCCATGTTATGCGGCACGCGCGCAATACAGATGGAGAGCAGGAAGTGAGTTGCTGCTATAGAGACCTGCAACATGACGATGTTTTGCTCCGTTTACGGCTGCTCGAACCGATCGAACAGGGAAAAAACAAGAGCTTTTATCGTGTGCTCTAAGTAGTATTACACAAAGGGGAAAGATATAAGAAGCTGACTGAAAAACGCCGGAAAAAGTGGCTTTTTTAATCTCCGCCTACGGCAGTGGTTCTCAAGTCCAGTCCTCCAGCCCCCCCCCCCCCCCCCCCCCCCCCCCCCCCCCCCCCCCCCCCCGTCCTGCATGTTTTGGATGTTTCCCTGCTTCAACACACCTGATTCAAATGATCAGCTCATTACTTAGCCATTTCAGAGCTTGATAACGAGCTGATCATTTGAATCAGGTGTGTTGGAGCAGGGAAACCTCCAAAACATGCAGGACGGGGGGGCTCGAGGACTGGACTTGAGAACCACTGGCCTACAATCTGGAGGAGCTGCGTCGGATAATGCCCGTGTGTGCACCGACCACTTTGTCAAAGGTAATGACTCATTTTTAGCCCGTAATTAAATTCTTTCATTTCGAAGTTAAGTCGTGTCAAACTGTGTAGGGAGGGGGGTGCGGAGCGACCGGACACGCTGGGAGCGCCCCAGAGCTCCGGAGGGGGTGGACGGGGAAAAAGAGGGTCTTTTCGGCCCCTATCCCCGCTCCCCGACGCCCATCCTCCGACTACGACCTCAGATCAGACGAGACGACCCGCTGAATTTAAGCATATTACTAAGCGGAGGAAAAGAAACTAACCAGGATTCCCTCAGTAGCTGCGAGCAAAGAGGGAAGAGCCCAGCGCCGAATCCCGTGGACGGTGTGAGGCCGGTAGCTGCCACCGTCGCACCGGGGTCCGGTCTTCTCGGAGTCGGGTTGTTTGGGAATGCAGCCCAAAGCGGGTGGTAAACTCCATCTAAGGCTAAATATGCGTCTAAACCGGCGCAGTACGAGCTTTTCTGCATCTCCTCCATTGCAGTCGGTCGCTTCCTGCCCTCCATTTGGTTCTTGCGCGAAGTCAGGATCACGTGACTGAAAACCTCCTATTATGGGACCCTGTTAACTCTAAATATGGAATATACTGCTTGGTTAAGGTCCCTCTGGAAAGCCGATTTTGGTGCCTCCATCTCAGATGATTAGTGGGATAGAATTGGAGCCCCAGAATTGGAGGAGCCCCACAGGCTGCCTATTAATGAACATGGCCAGGGAACAACAGGTCAAGATCATACACTGACTTACCCCAGTACAACATCATAAATTTAACCCTTTGCTTTAAAAGTCCTGTAATAAATGTAAAACTTCTAATGGTGCTTATTTTCATTGTATTTTTGATGCTCTTTCGTTGTTGATTTTTAGCACAATGTGTGTAGGAAAATCAATGATATTTTTCAGAAAAAAATGCCCCTAGACCCTTTTTTTTTTTTTTTGCATTTTTGGGGTACAATCCACAGAACTTAGCCTCACACCCCCCTCACCAAGGCTGCTCAATGAGGAGGGTGGGGATATACAAAACCCAATTCCATTGAAGTTGGGAAATTGTGATAAACATAAATAAAAACAGAATGCAATGATTTGCAAATCCTTTTCAACCTTTATTTAATTGAATACACTACAAAGACAAGATATTGAATGTTCAAGCTCATAAACTTTTTTTTTTTTTTGTAAATAATAATTAACTCAGAATTTGATGGCTGCAACGCATGCCAAAGGAGTTGGGAAAGGTGGCAAAAAATACTGAGAAATTTAAGGAATGCTCATCAAACACTTATTTGGAACATCCCACAGGTGAGCAGACTAATTGGGAACAGGTGGGTGCCATGATTGGGTATAAAAGCAGCTTCCCCAAAAATTCTCAGTCATTCACAAGCAAGGATGAGGCAAGGTTCACCACTTTGTGAACAACTGCGTGAGCAAATAGTCAAACAGTTTAAGAACAACGTTTCTCAAAGTACAATTGCAAGGAATTTCGGGATTTCAACATCTACGGTCCATAATCATCAAAAGGCTGTAAACCAACATTGAATGCCCGTGACCTTACAGCCCTCAGGCGGTACTGTATCAAAAACCAAGATCAATGTGTAAAGGATATTACCACATGGGCTCAAGAACACTTTAGAAAACCACTGTCAGTAAATATAGTTCGTCACTACATCTGTAAATGCAAGTTAAAACTCTACTATGCAAAGCGAAAGCCATTTATCGACAACATCCAGAAACGCCTCCGGCTTCTCTGGGTCCGAGCTCATCTAAGATGGACTGATGCAAAGTGGAAAAGTCTTCTGTGGTCTGACAAGTCCACATTTCAAATTGTTTTTAGAAATAGTGGACATCGTGTCCTCCGGGCCAAAGAGGAAAAGAACCATTTGGACTGCTATCGACGCAAAATTCAAAAGCCAGCATCTGTGATGGTATTAGTGCCCAAGGCATGGGTAACTTACACATCCGTGGAGGCAACGTTAATGCTGAAAGGTACATAAAGGTTTTGGAGCAACATATGCTGCCATCCAGGCAACGTCTTTTTCATGGATGCCTTTGCTTATTTCAGCAAGACAATGCCAAGCCACATTCTGCACGTGTTACAACAGCATGGCTTTGTAGTAAAAGAGTGAGGGTACTTGACTGGCCTCTCTGCAGTCCAAACCTGTCTCCCATTGAAAATGTGTGGAGCATTATGAAGCATAAAATACGACAACGGAGAACCCAGACTGTTGAACAACTGAAGCTGTACATCAAGCAAGAATGGGAAAGAATTCCACCTTCAAAGCTTCAACAATTAGTCTCCTCAGTTCCCAAACGTTTATAGAGTGTTGTTAAAAGGAAAGGTGATGTAACACAGTGGTAAACATGCCCTTGTCCCAACTACTTCGGCACGTGTTGCAGCCATGAAATTCTGAGTTTATTATTAAAATAAAAAATAAAGTTTATGAGTTTGAACATAAAATACCTTGTCTTTGTAGTGTATTCAATTGAATATAGGTTGAAAAGGATTTGCAAATCACTGTATTCTGTTTTTATTTACGTTTATCACAATTTCCCAACTTCAATGGAATTGGGTTTGTAATTTGGTGACTGTTGAGCCTCTACTTTATGTGAAAAAGCAAAGTGATTTTAAAGTTTCAATTTAAAGTTTAAAAAAATGTGATAGTTTCAATTGTTTTTCATTTTTTTCCTAATAATAGGTTTTTTGCAGGTGTTTAATAAATTAAACTATGTTCCTTTAAGCTGTGCTGTTACCTTCAGACAGAGTTAGCAGTTAAAAGTTCTGTTGGGATCCACATGGATCAGGGATTGACCATGGGATTGTTCTGTGTTACTGATAAATCCATAACCAGGAAGTATTTCTCATCTATACGAACTGATACAAAGTTGGGAGTCTGCATACAGTGTTTTATTTTTAAATACCAGATAATGAGCACATGTTTTCGTTTTTGACATCTTGTCTAGAACAATCTCCTCTGTAGAGACTGACGTGTATTGGAAGCATAGAGCAGCAAAAATAGACTCGGCACGTATCTTTAGCAGAGTTGTGCTTCATACACTTCTGATATGGAACTGAAACAGAGCTGATACGCGTCCTGTATGTTGTAGCCTTTAGTCGACCACTATTTTGTTTAATTAATTTACTCATTTTTATATTTCTTAGGTCTTTATATTTTCTTTATAATGTCTCTGATCACCCTTAAGGTGCAATGTTTTTGCCTTCTACATGTGTTTGTTTGTTTGTATGTACCTATGTGTTCCCCCTTTTTTATTGTTTGCTTTTTTGTTGTTGTTCTTTTCCTGTTTGTTTTTTCCTTTCTTTTGATACCCCATTAAGTGGGAAAGAAACGTTTGCGTTTATATTTCTTATTTGAATAATAGAAAATATATATACAATAAAATATAGACATATATATTACATGTATTATTAAATTATTATACATAAGAATATATATAAACATATATATTTAGATTTCTTTTAATAAAGTGAGGATGGTTAAGTAAATTCATTTGCTGCTTTCAGAGCTTATTCAAGTCTGAAGTTTATTTTTAAGGACCCGAACCCAGGACTTTTTCCATATTGTGTTTTTCAACTTATAACCTTAAAAAACCTGATTTCACTGCGATAAACTACCTAAAAGCTTACCTTGTTCTTGTCGTCCTCCCTCCCCTCTGTCAGCCAGGCGATCTGCGAGCTCTTCCTGAAGCTGCTGCTGTTGTCTGGGAGGCAGCCTCCACAGTGCCTGACCCATCTGCAGAAACACATCAGTACGTCTCTAAAGTTATAAAATGTAACAGTTCTCTCATGAGCTATTTTTGTCTGTTGAGTCTAGTAACATTAAAAATAAGCAGCTATATGTTATTTAAAATACTGTCCAAATCATCAGTAACAATGCTATGAACATTCTTTTTTACCCAAAGGGAATACACTGCAGACATGACCGATTGTTTCGGTCTATAATTTATTCTGTGTCGAGTTTTCTGCCTTCTTTATGGAAATTAAACTAGGTTTTACTCCTGAACAAGAATCAGGTGATTTTAAGCATATGAAACTTTAATGAACAACATCGAAATTAAAACTAGAAACCATGAATGTATCTTTGATGAAAATCTTTGCTATGAAACCTCCAGTCCTGAGTAAGACCTTGCTCACAGCTTCAGATTTTTATCTAAGTGACTCAAAATTTGACATTCTTTCTGGAAACCATGGTCCATCATTCCAGAGTGTTGTTAAAAAAATAGTTTTTTTATATTCAATGATAATATTTTCAACTCTAACATGACTTAAGTTGCCTTTCCCCTATTCCTAATCAAATATAGGCTTAAAATTACTTTCAAACCATTGAAATTTATTTATACAGCAATTGCTTGCATTTCTGATGCTTTATCAGACATAATTTGACTTAATACTATAAATAACAATAACTCTAACCCTAAAAGAGCTATTTATTTTATACATTGGATTATAAAAGTTTGATTTCAAAACTTACCTGATAATTTGACCATTTGGGTGCCGGTTTTTACTTTCTTTTATACGTAGAATAGGGTCGATTTTATCACCTAACAGCTGCAATATTTTCATTCTTTAGTTATTCTTTTACTGTAATAAACAAGGTGTTAGAGAGTTGACAATAAACTATGATCTACACAGTAACAGTCAAAGACTGTACTTCTGTCAGTGTGGAGAAGCTTTGGTTTAGCCTGTTAGCCTGTGTGGGTCTCAGTCCCTCTTCCCAGCGTCAGCTGTGTTGCATAAACAAATCCATCACACTGTTGTAAACATCAACGTTGGAAAGTGGAGCAGAGAAGCGTCTTTGACTTGTAGCCCCGCCCTCTCCTCAATCCAATTGGCCACACGTATCACAACAGTAATAAAATCGCGTACGATTGGATGAACCGGCTGTCAACATTATCTGTTCCTACAAATCCCTGAGTTGGCTTACAGAGCCAGTGTAAGTTAAAAAAATCGTGTCGAGCCAAACTTCGAGCCATTTATGTCAAATTAAAGTGTATTTAAGTTGTAAATTGTAATATTAAGGTTCAATACTTCCCGCTGACAGTGACACAGCGATGTAACCAAAGCTAACGTCACCTACCTGAGTGAAATGATTCTTCTGGCAACCCGACCTGCACACTCGGAAAGCCCGAGACTCGGCGTGTCTTCTGTCAAACGAATCCCGGTGTCACTTCATTCAAACAAACACGAATCAATCCAGAGCTGCTGATGCTTTCGTCTATGTGTGTGTGTGTGTGTGTGTGTGTGTGTGTGTGTGTGTGTGTGGGGGGGGGGGGGGGGGTCGAACTGTAACACAATTATCATGTCCTCAACCCGCCTCCTTCCGTCGACTGATGAGCTGTCCGAAGACGAACTGGTTCAGGGAAGCAACTTCTTCAAATGCACGAGGGAGCCGATTCTCTCTCTCTCCTGCAAGAGTGGGTTTATGTCTGATTCAAAAAGTCTGACATTGATACTGAATTACGTTACGTACCTAACCCGACTGAAAATAGCAAGCAAGGCCATTAACCAATAACTAAAATGACACCAAAATAATGTGTCTTAAAGGAGCTTTTCAATAAGCTTTTGAAAATGCATAATAAAAAAATGTTTCATTGCCCTCTCAAAAATATTATGTTGAATGAATATAGCAGAATTACTGGTGCTTTATAAAATATTAATAATACAAATTACAGAAATCGCACAGTATGCAGACTGTCTTCATAACTTTTAGTGCACCATTGATGTCTGAAAAATGTGATAGTTGGTCTTGAGATAAAAATATGCCATCAACATTGCTTATATATAAATGATTTTAAGAAAGATAGATAAATAGATATACTTCATTGATCCCAAACTGGGAAATTCTCTTGAGGTGAAGAGTCTTTGATTCATTTTTATTAACCAAAGAGTGTCATACAATAGAGCACACTGTGGATTCTGAAATATTTATCCAAAAATTTTAAACTAAAATCTTACTTATAAAATAATTAAGTTAAGTTATTAAGTAATATGTGCTGACTTTCTATTGATATTTCAACTCTTTGATTTGTCATTAAATTTACTTTTAAAATGAGTTTTTTTTTTCTTTTGGTGATCAATGAAGCCAAATCATCAGGCAAGTTTATGATTAACAAACATTTGTAAGGGCAAAACATTAACTTAAAAAGATTCAGCGTAGGAGTTGAGACAGCTCTTTTGTTGGTCCGAGTCAAAAGTTCAGAATCACCGACTAAAGCTGAATTTCCCATCTGCTCTCTTGTCATCTCTCTCTCTCTCTCTCTCTCTCTCTCTCTCTCTCTCTCTCTCTCTCTCTCACCCTTTGCCCCGCCTGCTTTCTCTCTCGTCTCAAATTAAAATGGGCATTTTTAAGAAATAATTTCGAGCAGATGTGTGTGTGTGTGTGTGTGTGTGTGTGTACGCGCGCGCGCGCGCGCGCGCTGTTAAACAGTCGATTTGTAGAATGGAAATTGATGTATACAGCAAAATGAACGAAATTGTGAGCAGCATGAGTGCGTGTTGCGTCACTCACGTCAACTCGTGCTGGACTTCCACGTCATACTTGAAACAGCCAATCGTGTTCTGTGCTGTTGATCTCCCGGCAGAAGCAAAACGAGCTACACCGACAAAGAACCAGTTTGTATGGATTGAGGAAAATCATACAACTAACACTGTAATACTATCAGATTGTATGGCAGCACTTTCAAGCATAAAAACAATAAAGTCATGTAGATTAAAGTGTATTTTTGAAAACACAACTGCTTATATAGACTGTATCAAAAGGGTGTATGGTTTTTTGGGTCTCTGCATATTTGGAATTAGAAGGAAATGAAGATGCAGATATTCTGGCTAATCATTCTCTTAAATCCTTGATTGTAGAGATAGAGGTTCCTATGAGCAGAGCAGAGTCATCAAAAATCACACAAGCAAGATGGCAAAATGATTGGGACAGTCATATGGTGCAGGTTGGCACCTATATAATATAGAGAAGCAAGTTGGGGGGGGGGGGGTTAGGCACAGGAGAGAAGAGGCAGTGATCTCTCGCATCGGAATAGGACATTCTGGGTTAAATGAAATACTACATAAAAAAGGGGAAAACATAAATGAAAAATGTGATCATTGTAATAAACCTGAATCACTGCAACTTGTTCTCTTTAAATACAGAAAGGTTGAGGAAGAAACGAAAGTACCAAAAGCAGCAGCAGAGAAAGATCAGATAACATTCAATACAGGAAGCCTTAGTCACATTTGTTTTAAAAAATCTCAGCGTTTTGTTAAGGGAAACAGGACTGTTTCATAGGATCTAGGTGTATAATTTATTTTCTGTTTTTTTACTTACATTTGTCTGGCAATCTACTGGTCACACTCCGGTCCAGCAGGTGGCGACAATGCACTTTCAAGCTGGCTGCCAACCGCCATTAAAACAAAGGAAGAAGAAGAAGAAGAAGAAGGCAGCTGACAATCTAAACAGTAGCGGGGCGGATAATAGCATATTACAGGAGAATCGTTCACTTGCGGATAAAAGCACCAAAATTGGCACACATACTCCTTAGAAGTTGCTCTTTTGATATTTCCGTCTGGCCAAATGAAGGTTCAAGATGGCGGCCATTTTTCAAGATGGCCACCATTGAAAATACAATAATATTGCATTTTGCAATGAAATCCCATAGACTTGTCCTATTTGGATGATCTTGGTGTCAAATCATACATTTTCCACTATGCAGAATCCAAATTTGGACCCATGGACTTACTTACTGGCTTCCTTGAACCATATTTCAGTCCCAGAATCCTAATATTCTGGTATTTATGAGGTTTACATTATGTCCGACTTGGGTAAAATGGTTGGTAACATATATCTTAGTGTTGTTAGAGGTTTTATGTGTGTGTGTGTGTGTGTGTGTGTGTGTGTGTGTGTGTGTGTGTGTGTGTGTGTGTGTGTGTGTGTGTGTGTGTGTGAGAGAGAGAGAGAGAGAGAGAGAGAGAGACTGAAAAAAATGTGTCTGACTGTAAAAAAATCCAAAAGAGAAAAATGCTTGACCTGCCTGCATTACATCTCACTTAATTATTAGGCAACACTTCTCACTCGCACATACACTTTCTTACAACATTACTATTAATCTGGCTGGGGTGGCACCATGCAGTCATGAAGAAGCTGACACCCAGATCTTTGTGCATGCCAGGCATGCCACAGAAGCAGGCAGCAAGGTCATCATGGTCAAAGCCAACGACACAGATGTTGTTGTCATCGCAGTGAGTGTTCTGCAGGCACTTCAGAACCTCGGTCTGCAGCAGTTGTGGGTTGCCTTTGGCCAAAGACAGAACCTGAAGTGGATTCCTCTTCATGACCTGTGTGGCACTCTTGCAGAAAAGAGCAAAGGGATGCTCTTCTTCCATGCATTCACTGGTTGCGATGTTGTTTCAGCATTCCGTGGCAAAGGGAAGAAGTCTGCTTGGCAAACCTGGAATGTTTGTGATGAGGCTTCCAGTGTCTTCAGCACAGACATGGTCACGTTGTACGACAGATCCAGCACAGCTGAAGGTGTCGACGATGCAAGGTTGGACATGTTTGCTCGGAAGCAGAGGCCGTACGAAGCTCCTCCAACTCGATCAGCACTTAAGCAATAAGTCATGCGCGCATCCTACCAAGTGGGCTGCATCTGGAGTCAGTCAATAGTATGTCAACCAGAAACACATAGTCCTGCCAACTGGGGCTGGAACAAGAAAGGAGATCTGTGGCAGATTGTTTGGACAGAGCTCCCACCCTTTGCAGAGAGTTGCCAGCAGCTGGCCAAGTGTGGATGCAAGTTGGAATGCTGCGGTCGATGCAAATGTTACTGCTTTGGTCTGACCTGCACAGCACTGTGCAGCTGCAGGTGTGAGGTTTAGAAATGCTGTAGTAAAAGCCTACTCATCCAAACAGCCTACATGTAAAAAAAAAAAAAAAAAAAAAAAACCTGCCTCGGTGGGATCAGCACCTTACCGTGGTGGGGCACTTTGTGTGTCTCCATGACCCCTAGAGCTATGCCAACTGGAGTATCGTACTCCTGGCAGGGTCACCCACGCCAAACAGCTCGAAGGATAGAGACCAGACAAAGAGTGATCCCATGATGAAATTCTAATTTATCAGAATATTAGGATTCTGGGACTGATATGTGCAGTGAGGACGCACCCTTGCCCACGCCCTTGCCCTCCTTGCACCCCCCCCCCCACACACACACACACACACACACACACTAGACCTCTAACAACACTAAGATATTGGCTACCAACCATTTTACTCGAGTCTCACATGATGTAGACCTAATTAGGATCAGAATATTAGGATTCAAGGACTGAAATATGGTACAAGGAAGCCAGTAAGTAAGTCCATGGGTCCAAATTTGGGTTCTCCATACAGTCTATGGGATTTTATTGCAAAATGCAATATTACTGTATTTTCAATAGTGGCCATCTTGAAAAATGGCCGCCATCTTGAATTTTCATTTGGCCAGACAGAAATATCAAAAGAGCAACTTCTAAGGAGTATGTGTGCCAATTTTGGTGCTTTTATCCGTAAGTGAACGATTATTACAGTTATCTGCCCAGCTACAGGTGCTGTGTCCGAATTGCCCGCTCGCATACTACATACTACTGCTATATACTACTGCTAGATCCTACTCCTACATACTAAACACGTTGGCCCAATTCAGACACACTAGACGAGCGGTGGGGAAAGACGACCCCCGCAGGCAGAGAGTAGGTACTGCGCCCGTTTTAGACTCTTTGAATGGTAATTGTGCAAGTGATGGATGCTGCTGTATTATATTCCCGCACTGCTTTAGAAATTCACAAAGTAGCTTTTCAATTACTTTTAGCCTTCATTCACTCACGTGGTGATCGTTTGTTCAATGAGATCTGCCTGATTACTGCAGCTGTGCAGTTGAATGATGGAATAAGTGAGCTTTACCTCCATGACGTCGCCACATATTTGCTCATAAAATGATTACATGGGCAAATATGACACCATGACATGACAAAGAGATACAACCGCACATTTTTTAGGACAGTGTGCGAAGTTACATGAAACTTACATCTGTACTGCTGCGGTCCTGCCTGCTGCTGCTGCTCCGTCATGGTGCGCGCTGCTGTGGCCAGCCGGCGTTCGCGACGCATCTAAATAGGCAGCAGCTGGTGGCGCTAGCATCACATGCGTTTCAACAACTTTTAGGAGGACGAAGAAGAAGCCCACAGTGCATTTTGGGTCAGTAGCATGCCCGTAGGATGCACCGTGACCATCCTACAATGTGGGCGTGTCTAGCATCTGAAGTAGTATCTGAAGTAGCATGCTACTCGCTCCGGTGGCCAATTCGGACATGCTACATACTACTTCGACTACTACTTCGACTACTACTTGGCAATTCGGACGCAGCACAGGTATTGCTGCAGACCAGTACCTACTCTCTGCCTGCGGGGGTCGTCTTTCCCCACCACTTGTCTAGTGTGTCCGAATTGGGCCAACGTGTTTAGTATGTAGGAGTAGGATCTAG